TGTTGAATGCTCCATGTCTACTCAGGAGCTGAATGACCCGATCCGTGAAAGGGGTCCCCATGCGCTGTAAGCTATCGCATGTTAGCCGCCTCCACTTCCGGACCTCTTCCGAGGTCATTCCCCTCAGTTCGCCTATGCGTTGCGCGTACCATCCCCCCAGCTCAAATTCTGGAGTCATCAGCAACGAGGTCGGAATGGTGAGCTCAGGGTCTGTTCTGGCCTCGTTATCCATTATAACGTATTCGTCTCCTGACACACAGTAAACCAGGAACCGCTCTGGGTGGATGGGTCCCCAAGGATCCGGTGTGGGAGAAATCGTAGAAGTCCGCTATAGTGATAGCGTACCGATCCTGCTGGGTGCGAGAATAGTAGTCGACCCAAGGGTATAGCTCTGAGAGCAGTTCCTCAAGTATGAGCGAGGGGAACAGTGAAGAAGGAAGTGATGCGCTGAAGACAGAACGGCTGTGTATGCAAGGAGATGCGGAGATGCGAGAATGCGCGGAGATGCAGGGTATGTGGAGATGCGAGGTATGCAGATGCGGAGATGCGAGGTATGCGGATGCGGAGAAACGAGTGAATGTCTAGAGGGTACCAGGTATGCGAAACGGGTAGGGTACCAGGTATCGGAACAGGTAATCGGGTAGGGCGAACTAGGTACCAGGTATATGCGAAGACGTGCAGAAACCGCCTTGCAAGGAACTCAACTAGGACTAGCAATAGTCAACTGTCAATGGCGATGCGAGCATTCGCACGGGATGAGAAGGCAAACAAGTGATTGCTCAAGCAAGGAAGGACAAGGTAAGACTAAGCTAGTGACTCCGCAACACACAACCAGAGAGGGAATGTAGGAAAGTGTCGTCCGTACGAGTCTGCGACGTAGTATATAACAGAGTCCGTAAGAAACCGGAACCGTATAAGCGGGCGCATATGTACGCGAAGTCGGAGGGAGATAATATGTAAGTAGCACTATGCGACCTCGTGCATGGGAACTGATATGTAACTGGTCCAGTGAGGACGGATGGATGCAGACAGGACATGGATGGATAGTGCGTTGCGATGCGATGTGATGCGATGCGATAAGTGCATGGATTCCGCAACCTCGTGTGATGGTCCGCAACGGCCTGTGGAAGGTATGCGTGACTTCGTCCAGCAAGGGGAAATGGTGCTGTACGGGGCTGCAGCCAGATCGTCTCCTACACCGGGTCCCTGGGATAGATCCCTACGTCCAGGAGGTATTTAGCCTTCCTGGACAATACTTCACCCATTTCAGTGGGCTTAGCCCCATGGATATCTCTCTGTGAGATCCGCTTCGTTCTCCTAGTTGAGATCGTGTTATCGCTAACCCTTGTGTTGTCCAGGATGTTCTCATATTGCAAGGACATGGACGCGCACCCCAGGTCAACGGCGTCATTTGATGTCGTGGTCTCCTCCAGATATCGCATCCGGTCCATCTCATTTAGATCCACCTCAATACTGTAATTTTGCATTCCCGGTGGTGAGTTCGCCTTCCCATCACGTTTCACTGTGGTCTTCTGAGGGCAATTTCTAGATATATGGCCCGGCTGATGACAGACATAGCATAACCCTTCAGCGGCATGTCTCTCTTTCTCAGCTGGGCTCATTCTATCGTTCCTCTTATCTGTGATTTGAGGTTTAGGACGCCCGCTATGTCTTGGTTGCCCCCCTGTTGGTCTGGGGTGTCCATTCGATGGTCGATCACTCGACGATCGATCATCCCTCCGCGGGAAGCGGCCCTTTCGTCGCTGTCCATCCCTCCTATCACTACGTTCCTCATTTTTGGGGTTTGTGCCTCCCTTCCTCTCACCGGCCTGGTCAGTACCATTTGTACTCTTTTCCTTTCCACGCCGATCACAATTCCTAGATGGCACTGAGTGTGCTATCTCGATTATTTCAGCAGTGTTCTTTACTTGTCGGAATGAAGAGGTTTCCGGATTCAATTCCTTCTTCCACAGCTCGGTTTGCAGCATAGAATTGAGTCCCGTCCAAAGGCGAGTCACTTTCTGTCGTTCTGCTACATCCCCAATCATGTTCCATAGCTCACTCAGCTCGTATATGTACTCCCTTACTGACTTATCATTCTGATAGTAACGGTTCAACTTCTCACGCTGCTTCATCCTGAAATCAATGGGGAAACAGTGGTTGAATAATTCTGTAAAGAACCCGCGAAGCCTCCAACGGTATGGGTCTCCAGACACTTCCCTCGTGTAGAACTCACGAGCACGACCTTTCAGGTAGTGGGCAAGTATAAACACCCTCCTTTTCCTCTCAACCTGACCATCTTTCACATAGGCCGTCCCCTCAGTCAGAAATTGATGGAACACCCTTGAATCTGGGGCCCCGTCATAATAGACCGGGGGAATAGGCTTTAAGGTATTTTTCTTACCCCTTTTATTCTTCTTTTTCTTACTGCGGCGCTTTCTAGAGCTGTTCCGCGACTCGTCCGATGACGAGTCACTAGATTCAGAAGACTCAGACGAGGAACTCGACGATTCAGATGAACTCGACGAGGAGCTGGAGTCACTTCTGTCCTCGCTGTCACTAGGATCCGTTGGTGTAAGTACTCTCCTGCCCTTGGATTTGGGCTTCTTCTTACTTTTGCTTCCTTTTAGCTGATCGAGCGCCTTCCCGATATAACTTCGGGGTGCGACTTGCTGTACCGGGTCCATCGCTTGGGGTGTCATCCGGTTGGGTCCCGGACTGGATGCTCGTTCCAGGACCCTCTCCACCATCCCGTTTACTGGGTTGGTGGCTTCAAGGTGAGTTTGGCGTTTCTTGGGTTTCTTAGACCCTTCCTTCAATGCTAACTTCTTCTCCAGTTCCCTCAGGCGAGCTTCGTAACGGTCGGTGAGTCGTTCCTTCACGGCCCTCACTGCCGCTTCTGCCTTGAAGCGCGATATGTAACTGGCACTTTCATTCCAGGTATCTTCCCTGGGCTCTGTCACCTCACTGCTGTCTCCCTGTGGCTTATCGGATGTCTCATGGTCAGAGTCCGGTTCCCTTTGACCTCCTCCATTTCCCTTCGCCAGACGAAAGGATTCTAATGCTGCCCTTTGAGCATCTACATCGACCTCGTCGTCCTCAAACTCGGTTCCGCCCCAATTTCTTGGGTCAGGGGCCTTGCCCTTTTCCTTAGAAGGTCCTTCCCCGCGGGACAATGTACTGTCCCTTGAGGTATTTCGACTGACAGCCCTCTCTCGGGTCTCAATCCTCTTGCGATCGCTTCCTGTCAGTTTCTTCTCCGCTAACCTTACCAGGTGTTCTTGTTCCTGGTTCAATTCTGAGGCTCGTGGGCCTCCTGCTGGTACTTCGCGTGAGGAGCTTCTTCTCCCGCGTTTCCGTTGGACACTTGTCCATTCAGCGCTCGTCTGGTCGTCACCAGATTCTGCGGATTGTTCATCACTCGAACTTTCATTCCCGCTCTTAAGGTCAAAAGTAACCTTAGATCTCTCTTTCTCAGATTTACTACCTACTACACTTTCCTCTGTAGGGTCTACTGATGCCGATTTATCGGCCGTCATTTCTTCCGTCCTCAATCCCGCGGATTTGACTAATCCCACAGGTGTCGCCTCGAGCCCTCCGGGCATCGAGGGAATTCGCGTCAACACAATGTCGCTATATAAGCGGATCGGTGTGTCGACGGAGTTCGCAGGGGAAGGCACCCTTGGCGTTACTCCCCCCGGAGAAGAGGAGACGGAAGAGAGCATGGACTCACTATTAGCACGCGGCATACCAGCTGCCAGTCTAACGGGTGGGTCATTGGTTAGCGCCTGTCGTGCGCGGTATCGTGTAGCGTATTGAGTAGTTGACATAATGTTAATTAATTGTTGCCTAGATTCAAAACGACAGGTTGGCCAAACCAGAGTTCCCAAATCGTAGGCGTGAATAGGGGTAAGCTTGTTGAAGGTTAAAAAATATGTGACGACTGTGAGAAGCTTTTGGCTTTCAGAGGCGGCACAGTGGGAATTCAGACAATCAAGTAACCAGATACAAGATAGAATTCAAGATCGCCAAAACTATACTAGACAACGTAGGTAGGACTTTATAGTGTATAGTAGAGTAAGGCGCGTGATAAAGAAATCAACTGTTAAGATACTTTGTTTCATACGTGTCAGGGGGGGATCGATCTAAGACTTTCGACAACATGCGTGATCGGCCTAGGCTCGGCCTATCCGTCACAGTCACATGATGGTATGATATTCATTGTCAAGATTGACGTTGAATCACACATCTAGAGTTTAATTCGTCGTTCAAGCATCGTTTTATGATCCATCTTTAGTATAGTCTCGGTCGAGCTGTATTTAGTATGTAACTAGACCAAAAATGTAGCAACGGAGATCTGACTGCAACAAACGAGGAAGCGAGGAAGAGATCAACATTATCAGCGTCAAATCAGTCTCCGAATCGATGATTATCAGACATTGATTCGATTATCATTGATTACGAGGGCTACACAAATCTACTGCTACTAATTCACGAGTACTCGTTTAAGAATTGCCTGTTGTACAGAATCAAACCTTTCACGCAAGGTATGCGAGGCATGGATGGTTGTAGTAATGTAAGCTATGATTTCGTGGTAAGCATCATCAAAGGCAGTAGAGTTCACCGAGACATCAACGAATTGACCAGTTCGATAAGCCTGTAGCACGCAACGAATTGTTGCACCACACATTGCAAACAAACGATCGAGCGGACCATGTATCACGTCTGATAGGCCCCCTTTCAACAGGTCAATGACCATGTTGATGAGGACCTTGTTCTCCAGGGGCCGTTTAATCTCTGTGCCGTCGATGGTCTGTGGCCAAGTAAGCCAAACACCCCCACTGATTTGATGAGGATACTTACCTGTTCAATTTCGTGCAAGTACTCTGAATCCTCGAGTAGAATTTTGATTCGGTCTCGCGTGTGCGCCGGCTGGTCCTCCTCAGAAAATAATGGTAGACGTAGATGGTAACCAACTGGAACAGTGTTCAAAGCGTAAGATTTGAAGCTTCGTCGCATATCTGCTAACGAAGCCACCATATAGTGGTTGATCCCCTTGATATCCTCGATTTCCTCTATGAAACTCATTAGTGTCTTGATAATTCGGATCGAATAAACTTACCTTGACCGATTTTCGTTCGTGCGATTTGCAGTGCAGTATCGATCATTTTGTTGCGAAGCTCGTCTTCGGGAGCCCCGTCCGTTTCGGGATCCGCATTCAGGATGAGGCTGCGAAGATGTTCCTTCGCAGCCTCTTTGTACTTTCGCATTAATGTTGTCGAGAGCTTAACATGTCTCGAGATAGGTGGGTCCACGATTGGCACAGTGGGAGGATTCGGTACGACGGCCCCGGGTATTTCTGGTGTGGGGGGGAGTCGAGCGTTACGTCGTCGTCTCCCGGTGTCGAATAGATGTTTTTGGGTCTGTGTGTCGGGTGGATACTCGGTCACGGGCGCGCTCGGGGGATGAGGGGGATGACTTACTCGGATTACGCCCTGGGTTCTTTCCCCGCGGATCGTCTCTCCTGGGTGGAGGGGTGCAAGGGCGACGAGCCGTGCGGCCCCCCATGGGGCCAAAGGGCCATCTTGAGTCGAATCCGACTGTGGTGGGAGCCTCGATGACGACCCACCCCGAAGTAACGCGAATGCGGCGGCGTACGCCTCCGCCACTGCTCTGTCCTCGTTCCGATCAGCGTGGTACTGGGGTTGAGGTGGGGGTTGTGGGTGGTATTGGGGTTGAGGTGGGGGTTGTGGGTGGTATTGGGGTTGAGGTGGGGGTTGTGGGTGGTATTGGGGTTGAGGTGGGGGTTGAAACGGGGGTTGCGGGTGGTATTGGGGTTGGGGCGGAGGTTGTGGATCATACTGGAGTTGAGGTGGATGGTACTGTGGTTGAGGAGGGGGTTGCAGATGGTACTGGGGTTGAGGCTGGGGAGGCGGATGGTACTGGGATGGTTGCGGATGGTAATGGGGTTGAGGCGTGGGTTGCGGGTGCTGCTGGTATTCCACGGGTGTTGCTGCGCGTTCGCCAGCTAAGCCAAGCTGATTTGCCACAGCCTGCCCGCTTGGATTAAGATCTGAGTGTATTCCTGGGCGGAAACCTTTCTGTAGATTCAATGGTCAGTAAAAGAAACGAAAGGCTGAAAAAGGTACTTACTCTTGCGGCGCTGGGCTTGCGCCTGGCAGTGGATCTTGCTGGTCGCGGTGGAGAGTTGTTCATGGTGGTTGCGGCGTAAGATAGCTAGTTAGTCATTGAATCATAAAAGGTGCGGTGAACTTTGTCCCTCATCGATAATCGATGAAATGCATGCTTCTGCTATTCAAACCACTATAGTACATTGTACAAATGAGAATAGGGTTTCGCGATAGGAATGAGTCGTAGGGCGCCGACAGAAGTATTTGAATTGGTACCAAAAAAGTAGTATGGGTAGCATCTGACCACACTCGTGGGCGACGATCAGCCTGAAAGGGTAGGTTTGTGAGCTATTTTTGTGCTCTAGGGGGTAGAGAATATTCTCTTACCGTCCAAAACACCATAATCACTATTTACAGAACCATTGTCAGATTGTTCCTCCTCGTAAGCCTCCTCACCAGGCTCGTACTCCGTGTCACTACTGTTTGGCAGCCTGTGGGAGACGTATTGTCTTGCAAGCGGTGAGATTGACGAGATTTGGTAGAGCTGCTCGTCAGCTGTGGCTAGGGATTCGAGCTCAGAATCGTGTGATTCCTCCAAGTATTCAGCATCCTGCTGTAGGGCTGGAAGTTCGCGGCCCACTAAGAGCTTCTGGAACAGGCGAAAATCTGACTCTGCCATGTTCAGTCGCTTCTTTTCCTTCCGCTCAAACGCTTTGAGAAGTAGCTCGCTATATTGTACCTCCTGGATCTCCCAACCGAGCTGCTTGACCTTGTGACGGAGACTTTCTCGTGTAGCATGTTTGGCGTGCGCCGCCAATGTTATGGTGTCATCTGACAAAGATGAGAGACCGCTCAAAAAAACGTCTCGCCCCTGCTGCAGTTAAAAAAACTCATCAGTTACAAAATAAAAGGCCTGCTTGCCTTTATGACATCAGTAAGGGTGATGTCAGAGTTTCTTTGAATTGCCTTGCGGGCAAAACGCAGCTCCAGCTGGGTGGGAGCGCCAACACGCGAGTACGGGTGGCTTCTGTTTGCAGACCGCGCTCCACCCCGGGAACTGCGAGTGCTGCCGATAAGTGATTCGGAATCAGAGCGGTTTGAAATCGGAGAGTAGGTCTCTGAGCGTGGAAAGGGAAACAACTTGGGCTCTAAAGGCGGGGAGGTCAAAGTCATGACCTTCTCTTCCAGTGGTTTGGAAGGGTTAGAAATTTGGAAGGAGTCGACACGAGTTCGACCACTGGATCCTGATGTAACAGATACAGACGATGGAAGAGCATTATTGAGAGAACCTGGAATCATAACGCTGTCTAGACGTCGTTATCGGTGGTGAGTATTCAGCAAGAGATGTCGGAGTTTGAAGAACTTAGTGATTTTTTCTTCTAACAGACCGCGAGCACACCACGATGGAACAGGCAGAAGGGTGCGCTGCAACTGGGCTGGAAATACGAAATCATCACAGGTGAGTTCATCAAATGGTACAGCAGTAACTGACCGACTTTGTTAGTGTTCCCTCTGTACAATGTCCAAATTGCCGACTAGGGTTCACATCAAACCTTGCTGTTGTAGATCATCTCAATGATCAGGCGCATTCTTGTTGGAGCCGCGAGCCCACTTACCGCTTGCCAGTCCCTCCAGCTTTCCAACGAGGCGATAACAACCGGGAAGAGGTCACTGGCCAGTACCATTCAAAATCAGGCTACCTTTTTGGACGGGGACGAAATGTCTTACAGGAAATGGAGGATCATGATTCAGACCAAAAGCGCCGCAAAGCAATAAATTCATCGTACCCTTTCGTTGATCAGGCTGAATGGCAACTAGCAGAATTTCTCATCCAGCGGTTGACGCAAACTGATATTAACAAGTTTCTGAAGCTAGATTGGGTGAGCGGTGTTATCTGTATCTGCAGTTCTGACTGCGCTGACCATGAGCCCTGCACAAGTTTAAATCCAGACCCAGCCCATCCTTCAAGAGCGCAGATCAGCTATTTGGCTGGATCGATGCATTACCAAGTGGCCCAGCGTGGCAATCAACAACACTCGAGTTTACCAACTACACAACCATAAGGCCAATCGAGCTAATCTGGCGTGACGGCCTCGAAGTCGTCAAGGATATCTTCGCAAACCCAATATTTTCCAACCATATGATGTACGATCCTCACATTGTTATGGTCGGCTCTGAACGCGAATACGGCGAATTCTTTACTGCCAACAGGGCTTTCGCTATTCAGGTATGGCTCTTTGTTAGTAGTAAGGCAGAATCACTCAGCGCTCTGCAGAACAACCTTCCAGAAGGTGCAACCATCATACCAATCATCCTTGCATCGGACAAAACACCCGTAACCAGGATGTCAGGTGGATTAGAAATGCACCCAGTGTTCCTTACGATCGGCAATATCCAATCTGAAGTTCGGATGAAGGCCACTGCTCACGCATGGAGTTGTGTTGCATTCATCCCGATTCCAAAGTTTGACGTTCACGGGGATTTTCAAACGCTCCTCCACGCTCGTTTGTTCCACAAGTGCATGGATTTGATATTCGCCAAATGCAAGGTGGCTACGAGGATCGGCGAATACATGCCAGATCCCATGGGTTATCTCCGGCACTGTTTCACTCCACTCGTCGCATACACAGCCGATCTCCCTGAGGCACAGCTCATTGCTTGTGTCTCAAAGAGCGCATCACCACTTACAATGGCTACCCAAAGTGACTTTGGTAGTGCGCAACTTTTCCCCCGTCGAACAGGCGACCACACACTCAAGCTCATCTACGACTTATGCCAACGCGTTGATCCGTGGAATGTACCGCTCTTCCAACGTGAAGCCAAAGCATTGCTGCTCAGCGGTGTTCATCAGCCATATTGGAGAGATTGGCCGTATGCAGATCCAAGCTCTTTTTTGCCCGGCGAACTGCTTCACACGTGTCACAAATATTTTGGCGACCATCCTTTGAAATGGTGCAAGGAGGTTGTTGGGGAGGATGAACTTGATGCTCGCTACAAGGCGCATCATAAACGAGTCGGGACGCGTCATTTTGGGTCCGGTATCTCCCACATCAGCCAGATGACCTGCCGAGAACATCGCGACATCGAACGGACCATCGTTGCCACGATCGCTGGTGCAGCGAACACAACCCCCAATTTCGTACATGCTATCCGTTTCCTCACCGAGTTCATCTACCAGGCACAGAGCCCCATCCATACCGACTCGTCCATTGATGCTATGGTGCACTCCCTCGGCGAGTTTCATAGGCTGAAGCAAGCGATACTGGACGCTGGTGCTCGGAGAGGCAAGAGTGGAACGATCAACAACTTCTCCATCCCGAAGATCGAATTGTTTCACAGTTTTGCGGGGTCTGTCAAAGATCTCGGTAGTTTGCTACAGTTCTCAGCCGATGTCAGTGAACGGCTCCTGATCACGCACTGTAAATTTCCTTTCGAACGGACTAGTCGCCAAGCCAGGAATTTTACCCTACAGGTCGTCCAGATACTCAATCGCGATGAAACCATGCGTCGTTTCAATCTGTATACCCTCTTGCATTCGCACGGCACACCGCTCGTGAATGCAATTGCAACCGAAGATAGTATTGTCGCAGAGACAGATCCCACACTGGCCTGGATAGCGCGTGTGCTCCCCGGCGAGCAGAAGCGCTTCCATGGCCCGCGTCCCATCCGAAACCATTTTCTGAAGGGAATTTTGTCCGTTGAAGCTAATGCTGCTTTTCACGTCACCGTCTCCCCCGATCGCAAGTCCCTTTCTATCACTGATTTGCAATCTCTCTACTCCCTCCCCGATTTCGGCGTGGTGCTCGCAGAATATATCAACGATTCGTCCCAGAACACCCCGACAACGGCCTGGACATGTACGCGAGATTCAGTCAGGACATGGAACAAATTTCGTTTACAGCTGCTATCTACCTTCAAGTCGCGAGTCGTGATGCCCAGCCAAATTGTTCAAGCGTTTCCACCATCGGACACCTTCCCTTTGGGTAATTGTGACGCGGTGCTCGTGCAATTGCCTGCTAACGATGGTGAGTATCTGACTGCCGTCGTTATTCATGCGCTTACAAGCCTGTGCAGATACCTACATCGCACAAGTCCGTTGCATTTTTCAAGCCGTTGCGAAGAAAGGTCATACACTGCCCCGCTATCTTGAAGACTCTCCCCTGCTATACGTTCAGTACTTTCAGATCACAGCAACGCCTACTGAGGATACGAGTGCTGGCATGTACCGCGTGAAACGCATCTATCATCGGGATGGCACAGGCCGGGTCTTCCGACCCGGCAGCATCATTCCACTCACAGTGGTCACCTGTGCCATCGAGCTTATTCCTGTGTATGGGTCGAAGATGGATCGTACGATTAGTGCCGCAAACGCGATGGAGATCTGCGACGAGTACTACTTGAATACGTTTTCTGACAAAGAGGTCTTCAATACAATGCACTCTGGTTTAATGTAGACGCTACCTGCTGCCCGTAGTACAATTGATTATCTGCCTGTGGTACATTTGATTGTCTGCGCATCTATTGAATCGCATCTATCGCATCGCATCTATGGTATCGCATTTCTGAGTATCGCATCTTAGCGAAAGATAACTATTATCAGCCAGATATGGTGAATTATATTGGTGTTCAGCATCTCCACCAATCGCATGAGTGCGCTACTGAATTCGTAAGGGTTAGTAAGTGTCCGTAACGCGCGTAAGTCAAGCGTTCATTTCAGTGCATTTGCTGATGCACTGGCAGCCCGCTAAGTTAATTACCGTTGTTCTCGTCAACTCCCAAGTCATCAAATCAAGCAAATCCAGACTCCCGTGCTCTATCAATGATCCCCGATCTCTTTCGCTAGTGTCGACTAGTCCAATAACGGCCTTGATATTTCGAATATCGGTCACAATGGGAGCCAACTTTGCCTGGGCCCAAGTGAGTGTCTTTGCTGCATCTTGTCCGTCTGTCTTACATGGTGTTAATAACACTAGTACTTGTTCCTTTCCGCTGAGGACACCGAAGAATGGGTCATTAAGATATCATGAACAGGTTTCGGTGCGGGTTCGGGCAGTCGTATCTCAAACCGGTCCTGAACCGCACCACGGCAACTTTAATCATGGGACAAAACAGCACGTCTTGGAACCTCGACACGGGCCTCCTAATCAGCGCCCTCGACCACGAACGCGACGTGAACTCTGCGACCTGTTTAGCTGATAAAAAACAGCTAGTTACATGTTGCGACGATAAAAACGCGTACGTTTGGGACATTCACGCCGTCCTCAAAGAAGTTGGTGCATGTATCATCTTCACGATGAGTTCTGATAAGCTGATCTCTCACTAGCAGGGCGCAGCTGGTACCCCGTCTTTGAACGTACGTGGCATGCCTGTTCAACCTGAATGCTTACCAGATCAACATTCCAGGCTGATGCTACGCGACGTTTAACCCACATCAAGGGTGCAAGTCGAATACCACAAGGGTTTTTTGACGACGTGCGAGACCGTGTTCACGTGCGTTGACATCATTTCAATCAACTAATTCTTGATCTCACCCCTATGCTCTCAGCCCTCCACAACACATCATCCCCATCCCTTTTCAAATCGCACCCGCGACGTCACACCATCTTTGGGGTTGGGTGCGCGTGCTTTCTTCGGTCGAATGTCCTCGTTGTTCCATCGTGCTCACCCTGACAGCCACGATGCCAAAGAATTTCAGCAGCACCCAAGGCAGGGTTCTTGGCACCAACCTCAGGCTCATGTCGTGGAAGTTGTAGTCATGAACGCGCAGTATAAAAGAGTATGCATGTCCACATCCCTTTCCATGCTCCTTGTGTTTATATGTCTCGTAGGCTTTACACGTTGCCCCACCCCCGAACAAAAAGAGCACAACGCAGGGCGCTCAAACCCCAGGACAGAAACAAGCTCAAAGCCAATTTCAAGCATTGTCGTCGCGTCATAAACTTGCTCAGGCTGTTCCCGCTGCCACCACCACCACCACCACCACCACATCCGCGACCGACACTCCCTCTCATACTACTGCCACCATCGACAATCCCCGTTGGTGGACTCGCATCATGCTCTTCATTTGCTGCACAGCCGTGGACTATACAGATGCCAGTCACTGATGCGAAGGCAGCTGCTCGCCACTCGGGCACCATGCTGGCATTCCCATCCGGGTCTCCTAACCTCTATGATCCCCCAGTGTTGCTGATATGTCAATCTTCCGTTTCACGATTCTTGATTTGTTTCGACTTGGATAACAGTCATATGGACTGGGCTGTGATAGCAAGGTCACCTAATTGATACTAGGTGAAGTCCAATTCTACCTGTTCGTGCAGAGAGCTGCTGAACGATGCTACGATTAGACTCTTTTGCCGACTTTCAGCACGAGCACAAGAATGATTCAGTTCGTTCGCTGCGTCACAATGTGTCATGACCCTACATATATACGTTACGCACGCACACTTGTGGCCAACCCGAATAATCGTATTTGACGTTGACTCAGCGACATGGATTGTAACATGATTGTGGTGGGTGCATGTATATTTCTTCTCCGAATCTGTGACATTGTACCGAACTTTGGGGATTGCGTTGTCGATGGGAGATCCCGTGGCACTTGCTGTAACTTATTGTTCCTTTTTGATGCGATCTGTGAGGGCCGAGATACTGTTGGTAAGTGTTTTCTTCCTTTGTCTACGATCCTTACGTACTGAACTCCCGGCGCAGCGCCCAGGAACGTTCACCGCCTGGTGTGTGTGTTGTGCACAGCAGCCGAACCCAATCTTCAGCGAATCTGAGAGGCTGCAGGATTTCCTAGGGTTTAATTTAGCGCTTCAGACTTCATATAAGTACGGTTGGTTTTTGACACGTTTTAGAACCCACCACAATCCCATCTGATGTCTGAATCGCTCTGCGCTAGTACGCCATCGAGTTCAGACTCTTTGCTGCCTGATGTGTACGATGTTACAGTTCCATTTGCAGAAGGAGCACCTGGCTTAACTCTAAATCCACAACATTTGCACTCTCCCTGCCATGTATCATCTGAACCACCAGTAATGTTAATACCCAGTGCACATTCGCGATCCCCATCTCCTCCTTCATTGCGCCACCGTGATTCCAGATCATACTCATATTCCCGATCCCCGTCTGCTCCTTCACTGCGCCACATTGATTCCAGATCATATTCGCGAGATCGCCAGCGTCGAAGGATTCCATTTGGGTATCACGAGGAAGGAGATGACCATGTTGGACGTCGATGGCAGCGACGGTATGTTCCCGCTTACTCTGTGTGCTCGCTGGTTCAATGGGTTGTGGTGCACAAGGGGTCGGTACAACAAGCAGTGGGTGCCTGATAGGTATAGCTCCGTTTCGCCTGTGGGTGCTCGAGATACCGACGATTATTTCTATCTCAACATCCGCCCCGAGAGCCAGGGAGGCAAGTTTTGCTATACTAAAATACAGTGCATGGGATGCGTACTGAAGAGGTCCGTAGAGAATCCGCCGATTGTGCTCAGCGACTTCAGTTCAGTATTGGTCTCCTTTCTGCGGTATGTCATCATAGAATCGGATTTGCGTAGGTATTGATACCTTGTTCTCAGTACAGTATTTGTGGACGACAAACCCCTCGAATACCCTATCCATCGACTTTTCCAAAAGATGAAGGTACTCCGGTCCAGATTGGAAGATGCACGCGACCTCTTGGGCGCTCCGCAAGACTCGACATCCACAGCCGAAGTTTTCGGGTTCAATGTGTCTTCTGGAAGTTCGTTTTGCATTGCTCATCTCGTCGAGTCGCTCTAATCATAATGAATAGGCGAAGCGGCGGCCGAGTACATTGCTGATCTTGTGGTGCATTTAGGCAAACTATTGGAGGTCGTTGAAGCGGAATGCAATCAGACGTGCGTGTGCTTCAGTTCATCGTGTCTTATCGTGTCATTTATAACCATGCAGGGCTAAGAAACTTGAAGAGTCGCTCTCTAACAATAAAATTTCATTTGACCTTCTCGAGTATTACTATGAGGAAGGAGGGTCATACGCCTACAACATCGGGATTGAAATTGACGACGTGGATGTCGAGAGGCGCATTGTAAGCACTACTTCTGTTCGCTTGTTCACGGTCAATAATGATACACTGCATGTTAGGTCTTGGTAGGCTTGAAACGTGTTTACTACAGTGACCAGAGGGAGTAAGTGCAACCCCCTTGGGGACATGGTTATCCGTTGAATTCTGACTGAACTTGTTCAGGCAACTGTTCTTCGAGATGGAGCATTTCGAGTGGGATGGTGTTGGTTTCCAGAAGCGCACTGTAACTATTGTTCAACAATCTTACCAGGTACTGTTACAGCTCTACGGCGTAAACCCACAATATATTTACCCAACAATTTTAGGGAACTCGAGAGGTATCCTCCTTGGTTCTTCAACGCATGACGGATGAAATGCTTGCTAAAGTGACCGGTAAGAAATTTATAACATTTCTGTTGCTACGATGTCGAATCACTGTCATTGTAGAACGTGGGCGACTCTACCTCTCCTATAGCAGAATTTGTTATGCGGAGTGTAAGTACTATATCACACCGTCATCGCGCTGCTTTAATCCCTCTCACTTGTAGATTATGATGACACACGAATGCGGGACGAGTTAGTGTCCAGCTACCATACTGTGAAACCACGTACGAGACGGGTGATTATAGACCCAATTGGCTTTCACCGTGCACAGCAAGGCTACAGCCCAGATCTGTAAGCGGCATTTAGTATTTTTCGTGTCGAGACTAAGGAGCACGACAGATGTATGCCACTTCCTGACAACGTGGAGGAGTACGTCGCGCGCCTCCCTTACTGGATTGGTGGGTGCGATCTTGAAGCACGAGTAAGCAAATGGCACTACATGTCCCGCCGATGTTCAAAGTTCACTGTCGTTTGCAGGAGTGGCGAACATTCCGTGTGTGGGATTTGAAGCCCATCGAGTATGATCAAGAAGCATGGAGCAAATTGATCTTGGAAACCAATACCAAGGTAGGGGTGTCCGTATGTCTGTCATTGTTGAATTGCAAGCTAAACTGTTTGTTGCAGGATCTTATCAAAGCACTAGTGGATACTACCGGCTGTTCTTTAGGCACTCCACATCCCGTTCGAATGGGTAAAGGAAAGGTGTGTTTTGAAGCACCATCATGACTTGTCTCTCGTTTACCATTTCATAGAATGTCCTACTCAATGGCCCACTAGGAACTGGCAGAATGACAACTGTTCATGCTGTCTGCAATCTTTTCAAGAGACCTCTGTTTACTATGTCTGCTCACGACTTTCCAGACAACAAATGGGATCTGGTGCCCTACATTGCTAACCACATGGCGGTATGTACAACTTGCAACTTGTGATACTTCTTCTGACGAGACATGACCATTATATAGCTGGCCGCTACTTGGAACGCGGTAATTGTGGTGAAGGATGCCGATGCAAGTACCGTGTCTGAAACCCTTCCAATGTATGATTTATGAGACGTGCTGCACAGGTATTCTTGAAGGGGACATATCCACGTGATAAGGTATGTTCTTTACGGTTGTAGTATGACTGTTCAATGTTTAATTTATATGCTGTCAGGATGACGTCCATGCTACTCTCCGACAATTCGAGTCAGATGATTGTATCTCTTTCTGGGTAACAACTGTCTGCGACAAAGACCTCCTGAGGTTATTTTCGGCTGGTGCGTAACCCCATAGATGTGAGCTGCTAACCGCTAAATATCCTCCCTTGAAGTCGTTGATTTCCCTGAGCTGGATGCTGCAGCCCGTCGTCGGCTTTGGCTCTGTCACTTTGGCCAAGAAGAGTCCGCTGGACTTAAATCGACCAGTGAGCATACGCTTGTCAGTTCCTCCCTCGGGGATGAGAAGAAAACGGACTACCTGGCGCACCTTCGCGAAATCGAGAAACTCTCGTGGTACCAGTTGGATGGTGAGTATCATCGTCTGCTGCTGCTAACGTGGTGTTAACGGTGCTATTAGGGAAGATGATTGAGAACATTATGCGCTCCGCGCGAGCACTGGCTGCCTCAAAGTGAGATATCTGTCATGGTGTTGGTCGTACACTAACCAGTATCGTATAGCCGGGAGCATCTATCCACCCACCACGTCAAAGTAGTTATGAAGTCGCAGCGATTGGACAACCTTCCTTTGTGGCGCAAGCTAACACGGTTCTTGACGCTTCCGGCTGGGGTTCTACGCACTGGTGTGGTGAACCAATAAGCATTGAGAGGCTCTCGAATCGATGGTCCACCTGTTATGTTTGTAATATCTTTTTACGGTGATATGTAACGCTAGAGATCCGCGTTTGTACTTGCTCGATTGTAAAGTAGCTAGGTGTTGTCGATGAGAGATGTAAATGTAAATGTATATTGCTGACGACACAGTCTGGCTGCGGTGGCACTTGCAGGCTACAATTTGGTGATAATGATAGTGCACAAAGACTGACGCAAGGCCTGTTGATATATTATGATGATTACAGCCATTGTTCGGTCAGTTCCCGCAATATTAATGTGTTCTCTCATTCTCCCGAAAACCCACCTTTCCATTCATAAATCTACGTAGAACCGTGGCTCAAAGGTCATAGAATCCATGCCAGCCAGTCCTCGGTTGGTAGACGCAGGATCAGTGCTGGCCGGTGTACATTGGAATCCTGCCAGACTCCATGCCACCCTCTCATCCCACCAGTCATCGCTGATTCGATCCTGGGCGCTGCTCGCTCGAGACGGAGCCATCAGCTGGATACCGCAGACAGGTGCGCATGATACCTCCTACCTGCATGGTGTGGCCTCGCATTTGCATCTCGGTGGCCTGGTTATACGCGCTGGGTAGATGAAGGCTCTGCCCACACAACTGGTGCTGTGTTTGTTCGTGACAAACGCCTACTAGTGACAGGTTCACAGCATATTGCTTCACCGTGACATGTTGACAGAATAGAGGGACAAGGCCACTTCACAACATGTCAATCACAAAGCTCTGTGTTTCAGCTGCACTTGCCGAAAACGCAGAGCTTGTTTGTGACTGACTCTGAATGCACGATGCTGTCCGGCAAGGATATGATGTCCGGAATTCTGTTGGACTCGGATGCTGCTTCAATACGACAGCTTGCTGATGGGAGTTCTGGCAACGGTTCGCAGGTCGTCGACGGGATAACTTCTAAACCGACAATTGAGAAAACACGTTTCAATACAATCGAGTTAAATAAGATGAACACAAATATGCACGGAGTGCGGTTGACCACTGCTCAACCAAAAATGTCAGCCTCACAAGCCTAGGCAGATACCGGCGTACCTGTCAGCCTCCTGGCCGGAGATATAAAATTCGGGCAGCCTGAACCCCCTACCCACTACAGTCTTGTCTTTAACAATCACATACGACCCCACTATCATAATCTACCTCACCCTCATTTATCATCAAATTATGCGTGCATTCATTCTCGTCACAGCCCTCGCTACGGCCACCATCCACATTGCCCATGCCATGCCTAGCTCCAACATCGCGATACGCAGTGCCTCCCAAGACGCCGCAGGCATCCCGCACGTGTCACATCCTTCCCACCAACGCAACAGACTTTACCAAGGAAAGAAGGTTGGCGAGGGTGAACAACGGATGGCCCCTAAACAGGCTGCGCCAGGTCCCGTTCATCTAGCTGAGCCGCGTGAAGAGCAAGAGGCGCCGATCTCTAGAAGGGAGAAGAAGACCAAACGAGGAGTGCTCAGGGAGAGGACGATCAAGAACGCAGACTACGGCTCCGGAAGTGCTCCTGCAGGGGAGGCTGCGGCGAATGCACACTCCCAAGATCCTCCTGGCCCGACGGCCACGCCCGCAGCCGCTCCTAGCCCCGCATGAATCTCTGATGACACAAGGCCTCCTCAAGCTGACCACGGCTGACACGTTTCGGAGGATGTTTCGGTCGGCAGTACAGGAGGAAATTTGGAGAATCTGGCAATTTGTGTCATTGGCCTGTATCATTAATCATCATTGCATCGTGTAACCGGAAACCGGACCGTTAATATTGAATGGCCAGACTGTGTCTGTCATCCGTCACAGGTCCATAACATGACTATGTAGTACTGCCATGAGTGGATGAACGGTAGAGCCTCTGATCAACACGCAGCTTGGCCAGTGAAGTGGCCACCATTGTGCACAGCCACATATTATTCAGCAAGGTTTGGGCGCTCATCTTAAATCACCCTTCTCCCGCAGCGGTTGAAGCCTTCACACCCATTATCTCTTACTACAATGAGCTCAAGCCAATACCCAGTTCCACCACCATCGTATTTGCCGTCTGGCTCGTCTAGCAAGCCTGTGAAATTTACTCCTGAGGACGATGTCACTTCGCCGTTACTAGGTCGCTCCAGGTCCCCAGGGGGTGGGATTTATGATCAGCCCCGACAAGGCGACCTTCCTGACGACTTCAAGGTATTTTTTTCGAGAAACCATGTGTTACATGGCCCTTCTGACACTCCTTCTGGCAGTACGGCGTTACGGTCTCCGAGAGCTCCCCTGAGGTTCGAAGCGCATTCGTTCGCAAGGTTTACACCATTCTCTGTACGTGCAGATGTCTCTTCGTCCGTATATTTTGCTCATCAAGCCACTTGCTGCAGTTTGCCAGATTGTACGGGGTGCTTCGCATTGGTTTCTGTGGCATATACTCACGTTCATCCCCAGCTCGCCACTTGTATCGTCGCAGGCGGAATCTCCCAGTCATTTGAGGCTATAGCTTGGGTTACAACACAGTGCGTCCTCATGCTCCGAAAATGACGCGCTTCTGATATACTTGTGGTGCTTCTCAGCACCTGGTCATTCTATGTCCCTCTCTTTGGTACCCTAATCAACCTTGGGTTGCTGTACTGGAAGCGTCATAGCCATCCCCTTAACCTGGTTTTGCTGTCCACCTTCACGGTAATGGAAGCATTTACCCTCGGTGTCGTAACTGCGTTTTATGATAACATCATTGTTCTGCAAGCACTGTACGTCCCGATCGATCCCCTCGTTCTACTCATGGCTGAGCAATTTGTCAGACTCATCACGCTCGGTGTATTCTTGGGCTTGACTCTGTTCACTTTCCAGTCCAAGGTACGTTCCTCAGACTAATCCAATGATACCCTATACTGATAATCTCGTTCAGTACGACTTCTCCGGTCTCGGCCCCTGGCTCTTTGGTGGTCTTGTCGCCTTGCGTATGCATCACATTTCATATCTAGAAATGAAATTAACTTTCGTCCGCAGTTATGACTGGCATGGTCGGCATCTTTATTCCGTTCAGCTCCACGATGGACATCATATTTGCAATTGGCGGATGCCTTATCTTCAGCGGCTACATTGTCTACGACACGTATATCATCAACAAGCGCCTTTCGCCTGATGAATTTATCATGGGCTCGATCAGTTTGTACCTTGAGTAGGTCCTTTGCCCCTTTCTATGCTTTACACGGCTAACGGGACGCTCGCTTTCTAGCTTCATCAATCTTTGTACGTTATCTCTGCGGATCTGTATGAGAATTATGTTTTCTGATCATCGCTTTTTACAGTCCTCAACATCCTCCGTCTCTTGAATGACCTTCAGGACCGGTAGATTGTTAAAGACGGGGTGGTGTAATTTATGCGCTAGTTTGTGGGTTATGGGCTGATATCTCTTATTGACGGACGGTTTCTATGTGGTATTCGTATGTGACTGAACGACAGAATGATATGAACTTGGTTCGTGCATGTTTGGTGCAAGTGGATTCATTATAAGAGCGTCAGACTATCGTCCGCATACAAAGGCAAATCGCAGATAGTAATTATGTACTCGTCTAAAGTATACATGGCCCATCGAAGCCGATCGAACAAACCAGAACTATCAAATAATTCTGCGTAACAACTTCACCAAAGTGCTCTAGGTAACTGATAGACTCCCTTGTGATATATTTCTCTCATCTTGAGACGATAGACAACACAACTAGAGAGAAATATATCACAAGGGGGTCATAGCTGTCGAATCTAAGGTACTAGTAATTTTTTAGATGAAAGTGTTGTTAATACATGGCCACAAGGAATTACACCAAATCATACAAGTATACACGGATTTGATCCGCATCCGCTCTCAGCATTGCGCTTTCATCAACTGCGACACCCTTTCCTCCGTGTGACGAGGGGTAAAAATACAAGGGAACACAGGATGTCTGCATCGGTTCAAGGTTGGCTCAGATAAACTGCAAGGAAGGAGCCTCAAGGATACAACTCACGTCGTCACGCCTCCCGTCCACTTCACCCCTTCAGCATCAGGCCCGACGTTCCATCCCAACGCCCGTTCCACCCTGAAAAAAGCAAGAATATTCACGACAGCAGCGAACAAAGAAGCATCCGCAACATGACGTCCAACACTGCTCCAAAGATGAGGCAAAACCATCTATCCATGAACTTCGAAACAATCTTACCAAACGCGTCTTCCGAATCCAAAAGCGAAAGAAATGTCATCAGGACCATGTGTTGATGGCGCTTCGACGGAGACCTTTGACATGTGGCGCTCGGGCATGAACTTCGTCGGGTTTGGATATTTCTCTGGGTTGCGCGCCATAGACCTTTGCATATGAGGAAATCATTATGGTTTGATCTTTGTTCACTTGACATGATGAATTACCATGTGTTGGCCATTACGGTAGCACCTTGTCAAAAGATTTTTGAGCGGAAATAGGGCTTTTTGTTTGTGTAAACTGACCTTTTGGAATATAATGGCCTTCGTAGACGTCCTCATTTACCGTGGCATGGGGAATGCCTAGACACACGGTTAATGATCGTATTAACTAGCGTTCGAGGAGTCAATAGCACTGACCCAGAGGTACGACGGGGAACCACCTCAGCGTCTCCTGTATGACGGCATTGACGTAGGGCATAGAAGCGCGATCGTCCCAGTCAGGAAATCTTTCGAGGGTTTCCCCAATGACGGAATCAATCTCTGCTTGAGCGCGTGCTTGCACCTCAGGGTAAAGAACCATCGCAAGCAAAAAGACATATAAAGTGGAAGTCGTCTGCGTCTTTAGTCAGTTGATAGCTAAAATAGAAATCTCATCAAGACATACTGTTTCCGATGCAGCTAGAAGCACGGGGAAAATCAGAAATATGTGAAACACATTCGTGATCATGGCAGATTCATCACGAACCAGCATAACCAGAGGCACTGGCTTCCTTGATCGCTTTCTCAAGAACAGCGGCCTCCTTTGCATCACTTGTTTTCTCTGGTATACGACGCAATGCATCCGACACCATGGATGGTGCAGCCGTTCCAGCAGCCTAAGAATCATCAGTATTTAAATCACACTGAATACGCAGAGGCACTTGGCACTTGCCAAATTCTTCTTCACGTGTTCAAAGGGCGTGTCCACAATTATGGGAACGAGGGTTCTCTGGAGTATTGCACCCCTTACGAAACTCGCTCCAGGGAGCCAGGGAGGAAGTTTCTCCACTGTGAGTATAAAAGAATAAGACCACAGCTTAGCGAGGTCGATGGTGCAGAACAATACGTACATATCGGGAATTCTGATACGACAGCTGCGACCTCAGGCCTGAGTTCTCTTACAGATATCGCAAGTGAACGCTCGATAAGCGCTATAAAAGGATCATCACGGGGCGCTGTCGAATAGTCATACACGATTGACATGATGATGGACGTGCTAAATCTATGGAGAAAGCATGATTCAGCTACGTCATAGGTGAAAGGGGGATAACTAACGTGTGGAGATGGGCACCATAAGCCTCCGGAGATACTAATAAGTTTGACACCAAACTGCGAGCGTTGCGCATCTGAATCGGACGAAAGGCTGGTGCTGCTTCTAAGCGGAATGCTTGATGGAAGATTCGCCTGTCTAAGGAGACGTAACAAGTGAGATAAGAGAACTCGAAGCCTCAGGGCTATACTGACGAAGTCTCCACCTGTCCGAGTATGGTAGAAAGATAGAGGCAAACTCGGTGCCGAAACTAGGAATCGTTGAACGATAGGCATACAAACGATAGAAGGGGCCTCACAAGTCAAGAACGTGCATAAGCCCTATGGGTCTCGTGGAATAGTTATGTGAACGACGGTCGAGCAAGTCATGAGCAACTCTTTCGGAGTTGATGATCACGATATCCTGACTGAAGAGTCGAGAGTATACGATCTCTCCTGTGTCACAGTTCAGGACATCCACATATACAAGTGGTTGTTCTACGTACCATATTCGGCTCCCCATCTTGAGTACGCCAACCAAGGATGATCTGTGTCGATTCCGACCACATTTCCAACGAAAGGGAGAGGTGGAGGACCAGGGGGTAAGGGAAGCCCCTTAGTATCTCTCTTCTTTTGCAAGGATCGCACTATCACAAAAGAGAATAGCGATAGGAGGGCAATCGCGAGGGTGGGGGCCATAACTTGAACAGTGACTATGGTGACTGTACCTCAAAGACCTCGAGCATGACCTCGGCCGGTTTATATACGCTTTGACAACGTGCCGACGTTCTACGGTCAATTTGTATTTAGCCGTAATAGGAGTGCGGGATGTTCCTGCAGCAAGTACTAGTGTCAGATTCTAGTCAAATTCTGGATCCGGTGGGCAAACTTACAATCTCAATGGCTTCAATCAAACTTTATGTAAAATGAGTTGCAGTTGATACAGTCAATATTGCCCGAGATGAACAGGAATAAGCAAAGATTGAATTCAAGCAGTGACTTGCACTGTCACTGTACATAGGGAACTTGTCATAGATAAGCATAAAGTGTTGTGCTTGAGTCTTGAGTATGTGAGAGTTGTGATCAGTGCGGTGCGCGGTGACCGAGAAGGGGTGCGGATATCGAGAACTGTGGGTGCCGATTTGAATCATATTCCGAGTAGGAAGTCATAATGGGGGAAGGAGTGTTAGTGGCCGTCCAAATTGAACTTGACTGAATTAACGAAGCGCAGTGACGTCTCGAACAAACATTAATCCTTTTCCAGATATCTGCGTTGTATGAATAGCGAACTGCGGAATATGTAATCGTAGGCTTGAGTTTGGTTGGCTTCGCCGTCAGGATGATGACTTGATTAAAAGGGTCCTTCAACTCGAATATCAGTGATATCGCGCTTTTATCGTTCATTTCTGCGGATGACCTATCATGAATCGTGATACTCACCTTCGAAGAGAGGCAATATCCGCATTGAAAACGTTAGGGACTCCAACCATATCTGATCACGGTGTGGTTTAGCGCCATGTGGAGCCCCAAGGCTTTCGCCCATCACCAATGTGACTTAGACCAGCGATTAGTTTCAGATCTTCTGATAGGGCGCGCGTTTTACCAACTACATGAGGGGATACATCATGATCATGATTCATGATGACGGCGGTTGTAGTGGCACCGCTTTTGCACCGGTTGGTTCGAATTCTATTATCATGATTTGTTTGAGCTTGTTCTTTTGTTATTGTCAGGGGCCAGCTCATACATGCCATGGGCGTGTTCAAGAACCATGTTATGTCGCTCGGAATGAATTCTCAACGCAGACTTTTAATATCTGAGCGTGCACAGATCTGCGTACAGGCCCTGGTGTGCTGAGATGCACCTCTCACCGCATTTACAGTGCTAGTCCCGTTCGTACAGCTCGCCCCGGGATGTTTCACTTGTAGTGGGCACCCTCCTGTCACTATCGTCTCTTATGGTGATCTAATGATGGTTTTCAGATGGGCCTGTGTGAAGTTTTGTGACACCCTGTCAAGCGCTATGCAGCCTTGGCACCACTACGCCAAGCCCCATCGAACCTTGCCCTCATCCAGACTGGCATCACTCATACCACCACAGGTTCTCCCAAACATCTGAATCTACACAGCCCCCAGGCCGCGTCAAGCTCCTTGCGTTGCGTCAGTGCCTCATCGCGATCGCGTCACACTCCTACATGCCGCGTCAAACCCCACCCTGCGCGTCAGCACTGCAACCATGTGTGCTAGGTATATCAAATCCTGTGATAGACTACATCATTCGTTCGAAGAAGAAAGTAGACGACATACGTGCATACATCATCCATTTTGCGGTGACATCTCTTTTCGCGAGTATGCAAAAATCGCACGTTGGTTCTCTGAGAACATACAATGTTTCCAGTGAAGTCGAAAAATGGCTCGGTGGCATGCCTTTGGTGCATGGTCGGTGATTTCAAAAAGTGTGCGCAAGCTCGGGAGAAGGAGTGGGACGATAGCGAGCTCTTGAAGATAGCTTGGGTTGATCTGACGATAAGCTGACAACTCCATGGCTGACGTAGACCCCAAGTGCCCTGACCACACTAGAAGCAAGGGTGTTCGAGTATTCTGAAGAATGTGCGCCCGTGAAAAGTCGCTGTGCTTCGCAGAGGCCCAGAAAGGGAGGAAAACAAAATATTGGATGATAATGTCGTGTGTCTTAAGGATGAATAAAAGCACAAGAGTAGTGCCTGTAGAAGGATGAACAACGGAACCGAACTCGAAGGAACTGTTTCAACTAACCTTTGGCGTCACAGTGGCCGCGTCAACACACGGCCGCCCACTAGTACTGCCGCGTCAAGAAGTGCGTGCATATAGGTCATCCAATATGATGCAATTCAGCTGATCGCTGCTAGTGCCTCCTACTAGACCGCGCGGTGGCAGAAATCCGGTCTGCTGGACTGAAGTTTGCGCGGCATCAACAACATTAGCTTCAAAACGCCGTAATTCGTTGAACCTGTGATATGATCAGAAGACTTGGAACCCACTGGCAGGCGCAACAAGTTGAATACAACAGGTTACCGAGATATTCGGGTCCAGGTTGTATGTGTACGTCAACCTTAGTACTATATGGCGCTAAAATTTAATGAGTCCGAGTAGCAGTTTTGAGGGGGCGTGCGCACTGCTGGCGCCTGCAACAGCCGCAGCCAAGCCGCAAGCCCACGATTTTCAACATACTAATAATCTGCTTAAAAGTCTAACACATGAATTCGACCCACTGCGACTTATCCTCCTCCAGAGTTCAAGCTAAGTATCTGACCAACCAAAGCCGAGCATTCCCGAATCTCCTCACTGTTCCTCGGTCGTTCTTTTTTCAAGGCAACGGGCACAGATCAGTGAGTGCAGGGTTGCGATACGAGTTCTTGTAACTTATTACTCGAATTTTCAGGATCATCATGTTACAATTCATTAAGCTGGTGGCGAATAGCGCCCACAGCAACCGTTTAAAGTAACAGGACACGAGGAAGCGCATTGATACCCTGTTATATCACAGCGGACGAAATCTTTTCGGAGTAAACCATCTCCCTTCCTACCAATGGGCAAGTTCAAGGGCTTCTGGAGTTTCTTGAGCGAGCAAGGACGAGACCTTCCCCTTCCAAGAGAGTTGGTGGACGGGAAGACGCTCGTCTTAACTGGAGCGAATGTTGGATTAGGAATCGAGGCATCGACCCATTTCGCGAACAAGAAGCCCAGCTTGCTTATCGCGACATGTAGAGACACAGTGAAGTGCGAGCAGACACTGGAAGGTATGTATGATAATGATAATCTTCATCTGGTGTACTGGTAAACAAGTCACGCTTATCACGATGTTCTTAGTTCTCCGCAAACGCTGCACTGGAACTCAACCATCCAGTCTCGATTCATGGCCGCTGGAACTGTCTTCTTTTGACAATGTCCGCTCTTTTGTTGACAGGTTCGGTGCAGAAGGGCCGGAACGCCTGAATATCCTCGTCGCCAACGCGGGTACGTTCACGCCGGTTTATGCCCGAACCCAAGATAATTGGGAAGTAATGTATGTGCTTTAGTTTCGTCCCGTGCATATTCCGATTTTCTCACATAACGAAAGATTGCAAGTCAACTATCTCTCAATCGCCCTTTTGAGCATTCTCCTTCTGCCTCATCTGCTCCGTTCGGCAACCTCTGATGATCCATCACGATTGGTCTTAGTGTCAAGTTTGGGACATTATCTTGCGGGACCCATGTTGACAGGTTCACAAAATTGGGACCACGTATTAGGGGCTATTAATGCGGAGAACTTTGGGGTGTCGGGGTTGGTGCTTGTCATTTTCAGATCTCCAGAACCACATTGAATCTGTACAGGGCATCCAGGTACAACCTATCGAAGTGTATGTCGTGATTTGCTAAAATGACTCCACTCTTACTGAATCTAGTTACATAGTGCTCCAGGTCGCATTCGTGCGCGAACTTTCTGCCCGGCTTCCTTCTCCCACTCCACTAGTTGTCACTACCGTTGACCCGGGATTCTGCCACTCTTCCCTACAACGGGAACTTGAAAAGTACTGGCTCTTACGTATGGTTCTTGGATTCGTGAAGTGGCTTCTTCGCGCAAGAACCTCGGAAATGGGCAGTCGCAATCTTGTCTATGCAGCTCTAGCGACAAATGCGCAGGCTATGCACGGGAAGTATATGTCAAGTTGCGAGGTCGTCGAGGAATGTGATTACCTGTTGAGTGCTGAGGGCAAAGCGTTCTCTGAGAGACTTTGGGTAAGTTTTCTAAGTTTCAGGTTAATCCGTGCAGTCCCTTGAATTACGTTCACAGGGGGAGACCATCGAGGTTTTATCGAACGTAGATGGTCGCGTGTCTCAGATCGTGAGCTCTTACTTGCCGGCTAGGTAGTACCCAGGTCCTGTCACAATAAAGCGAATGGCAGCCCTTTTGTCTTATCTGTCGAGTGGCCTGGTGGTGCCTTGCAGTTCAGCATTGTGTTTCATAAGGAGCTAAGTTGCTGATCTTTTCATCTACTGATGTAGAAACTGTACGTCCGCAATGGCGATACATTTATCGTTGTTGGCTTCTGTATCCGGGCGCATTCTGTCACCCAGGACAGAATTGTGATCACACTCGAACCAACCGCTGGTACCTCTGGGCTATAACTCTGGTATTACTGCATTGTGACAAGAGTAATGGTGCGCAAAAGGATTTTGAATTGGTTCGTCGACGTCGCGTCAGGACTGCACATATGCTCCATTCTACATGATGTCTCGACCTGTCGCGTTACCGGATACCTCTAGGTTCCGCTCAACCTTCTCCACATGTGTACGCTGTAGTGTCGATTGCAAGACTCTGCCATGTGTGAGTTCACTTACCCCTTAGTTGTCGGTGAAATCTCACTTCTTCATTTACTCTCACCCCCCAGTTGGCAATCCAGATCAACTTCCATTCTCCATACGTTACGTACCCGATTGCTTGCTCAATTCTCAGTCGGCAATCCAGATTGACTTCCATTCTCCATATGCATTCGTACCCGATTGTTACACAGGTAACATCTCGCCCTCCAACGAAGCTGCACATTTTCATGGTTCCCTGTTAGTAAGTTACGATCTTCCAACCCCGTTTTATTGTGCCCTTTTGATCTAACCGGTGAGGGGTATGACTCTCGGCATGTCTTTCTGTCCGACGATGTATATGTCGGAGACTTTACAGCGCAGTCAGTGGTATATGAGCTTTTGGACATTCATTCCAGCACGACTACTTGCTCTGAATCCGTGCCTTGGCCGACATGAAACTTGTAGTGGGGTGTCACGCTTTTGTATCAGAATACGTGCCTGGCAGACTCATCGATCGTTACTGACCTGGCTATAACGAAGGTCATTTGAACCGTTTATGGCAAATTTAAAGTGAGCCAGCCTGCTAGCGATTATCACAGGCATTGTGCATGACTGCGCACATGTATGACTGCATGATATATACAGGCTGTGGTCATGGCATGGGGGGCTCTTGTCAGCGAAGCTGCCCAATCATATTAATAGCCGAGTTGCAGACATCGATCGGTAAGCAACCAAGTGGACGACCAATCTAGGAGGTTAGAGCCCTGGTAGCTTACCAAGGAGGGGTTGGTAACACTCAGGTTATGTATTAAACTATCTTTTCCACATTGATTGGCCACCAGCGTGATCTACAAAGGCTCCGTTTGAGTTCCGGGATCACGCTGGTGAGGAGTAGTGAGGAGCTCCTGATTAGCCCACGGTCAGGGACCAATCACTAGGGTGGTGCTCTATATTCGATTATGTTTTCTGTCGTCAGAAATCTTCTGTCGAAAGCCTACTCCCAGCTCACAGCGAATATGCCTCTGTCATCGTCACCGAATTCTTTGTGGAGATAACACGCTCCAACGCACCCACGAATTCCCAATAATTCACGGCGCGTCCGCATCAGATCCTCCCTCACTCCTTGGAAGGATATTACCATGCTGCGGTTGCTCTTGTGTGCCAGTGTGATGATGCCTCGGATCGAACCGGGGAATCCATGGTAGTGACCATGGAGTCGCGAGATTTATTCGGAGGGCGTTCCTAAGAACTTTCTTAAATAATTTTATGCGCCCAGGTACCTAGCGAAGGCTCTACCCACGGTTCTCCAGAGCTCCACGTGCGCAACTTCTTGTTTGACACTGCACAGCTCTCAAGCGACCTACGTTTTTAACGTGTGCATACTCACGCAACGACGTAAAGGATCTATCCGGGTTCTGAATCGTTCACGTACAGTAAGCACCTCACTAATCAGATATCTCCGGGCTGTACTGTACACATGTGGGTATGTATCAGATATCATTGGCGGGCGATACCTAATTCTATTCAAGGGGTGTTTCGATTGTTGACCTAAGGCTCCAAGTTCATCAGCTGTGCTGGTAAGTTAATAGATGGCGATACGATCGTTTTCGGGGCGCGGAGATTTGATCATTGACGTCGTTATTATGTAGCAATCTGCCAGGTCTGCACCCAGACGAAATCTAATCTAAACACGTTTCCTTTCGACATTCGATTCATGTAGTGATAAGCTGGGTTTCTCATGCGGAAGCGACGTGGCGGTACTCGCACACTGATTGCTTGGACAACCTACATACGCCACGTTCCTCCCAATGATGGCCGTACTTCGACTTCCGCAGTAGATTGGTATATACAACGTAACTCAGCGACCGCCAACTCAAAGAGACTTATCGCGGCTGTGTCTGCCACGTCCTAAAAGTTCACTGCATATACTGGTTGCTTTCCATGGCAGCTAATGCATTATAATTCGGGGTATCATAGCTATCTAAGTATATGTGAAATACACGGGTGCGCAATCCAACGCATTTTGCATCAGAGGTGAATTATAGCATCATACACAATGAGTACAAACAAGGGCTACACCATAGACGTAGCAGACACCCGTCCATGCATACGCGGGCATACTAGGCATAAGCCTCCAGAAATCGTCGACAAGGGATTAAATTAGCATAACATAGTCTTGTTCCTCGCATTCAGGATGTCGTCCAATATGATCGCGATGTCCTCTTTCCGGAAACCAAAATATCCATCCCAATATTTGTAAATCAGAAAACCCACCACCGCCCGCGCCCACGGCCACGTTGTGGTTCCTTTATGCTCGCCTCGTCATCGCCCACACCAGGCGGTGCACCAAGGCCAGCGACGCTCGCAAAACTCACGTATCCCGATACCTGCTTACAAGCTTGTGATGCCGCGCGCAGATCAAACTGCGGTGGATTCACTGGTATTTGGGATTTGGCGCTCGAAAAGCTCGAGAGAATCGCCTGGTTCGGTGAGGGCGACGAGGGCGTAGTGTATGGTGAAGAAGGTGACTTCTTTGTTGGAGTCGAGAATGGCGAAGGTGGGAGAGGCGTTGACATCCACGGCGAGGTCTCTCCCTGCGATTGTGGTGATCGTGGCGATTTTTGCGAGTAAGTTGTAGACGCCGACTGCGAATATCTATGCCCTCGGCTGCGTTTTGATGATATTGATGGTAGTATCAAAGGCTCCACTACTTCAGGTGCAGTCATATGCGTTTTCTCAGATGATTGAGAATTTATGTATGAATTGGAGAGCGAGCGCGCTGATGAGGGTGGAGATGCTGATGAAGACTGAACAGGGTGTTACATATCAGTATTTAGTTCAGGGGTGGGTGTGTCGTACACCATGAGCGCTCACCTCTTCATCAGGCGACCTCTTTATTCGCCGTTCCTCTTCACGAATTCCCCGCTGGAGGACACATTCTAAGCGTGATCTCAGAACAGCCTCATGAGGCGCTGCATCACTTCCCAGGACATAGGAACGTGGTAATGATGTCGAAAGACTGTCATCCAGTTTCTCTTGCTGGACGGGAGCAATAGGGTAGCCCTTGGTGTCTGAGTCTGAGCTCGACCTGAGTAGCTGAGCATAGGACGAGTCTTCGTTCTCATTCGGAACGTAGAAACTTTTCGACTGGAAATTCCGTATGGAAGCAGCACTATTCCTGCGCGAGGATTGGAAGATCAGGACGGGTTGGAAGAAGTCGTCGTCGTCACAGTCACTACATGTTGACCGCGACCTGGAACGTGCACGGGAGGTGGCGGTGGTACGAAGGGTATTGTCTTTCCTGAGGGTATCTCGCAGAAGACGCTCAGACCGTGAGGATGGTCGTGGCGGAGGTGAGTGAGGTCGCTGGATGCGTGAGGAACTGCCCTGTTGAGGGGTGCGAGGACTGGGAGCAATTATAGACATTGCGAGAGTAGGTTGTGAATGGGAAGATGTGGTTAGCTTATTCGGTGTGCAAACGCGACTTCGTGGCGAATGGGTTCGAGATGATGGGACACGTTTCGTATGCGCAGTCGAGTCACAGATTCTCGAGGATGCCGTAGAAAGAGAACTAGGCGTACGGGGTATCGTCGAGAGATATTGTTGGGAAGCAGAAGGGGGAGGAGATGATGGTTCCAACAAACGGATGGCCATGGGAGAGGATGATATTAAGTATGTGCTTTTGCAACGCTTGGGCAATGCTTATGTCTTGTGGGTCTTGTGATTCACATAGACCGCCTCGCTGAAAACACGAGGACGACACGTAGTAAAAGAGTCCAAGCTCAGCGCAGGAAATAAGGGGGAAGCAAGTGGAAGATTCGTTGGAGGAGATTGCCAGGCATGGCATGTGTGATTTGAATGTAAAACCCAGCACACGATTCACGGCAATATCCCGCGACCCCAGAAAACGGCTTGACCTAGATCCGGTGTCATAGATGACGGAACAGATTCAAGTGTGTTCTGGGTGACTTCCTTTTCTGTACTAAACTACAATTACATTTCAAGAATTATTTTCGTCCGCTAACTTTCCTTTTTAAGTCAGCGCCACGCCGATAAATTACCTTTTCCAACGTCGGTTAAAAACATGCGTTTAAGTTAAGTCTCAGGCTCGTCGACGCTCAGCCGACAACGAAGACACGCTTTCCGCGGCAAATCATTCTCTTCCGGATGTTACTCAGCATTGTTCAGCCATATCTCCCCGAGGATTGCGTGAGCCGTGCTCACCGCATCAACTAACACCGACCGCACTGTTCCCTATATGCTGGTGCGCCACAGCAGCTGATCAATGACTCACAATTCTTATCCCCCCAGCTTTGGCCAGGGGTATACCAGCACCGCCATGGGCTATTTTCTTTCAATTTTTAATATTTATACGTTACTTCACGGGACTTATTTTGCTGCTATCTCCGTTCGGCGTCGCGACCTACGGAATCCTTGAAACTGCCGTCGACCGCGTCACCCAGCCTGCTGAGATATCATCCCCCTCTTCTAGTCAGCTCGCGTTACTCCCCTCGTCCGATTTCCGCCAACCTATGAGTTCTCCGACCCTACACTGATTTAGTACTAGTTTCGGCTTCCCCAGGCTACCCCTTGCATGTCTCATCGTTCGATCCGCAACCTCCGAGCAATGAGGCAAGGTTTTACTAGTCTCGTTACATTGGCCGCCGTACTTCCGAATTTTTCACTCGTCCCACCTGTCCCATGGTGCACGTTACCAGATGCTTACCCTGACTTGGCGTACTGAGTACAATTCTGGTGAGTCAACACCTGATCATCTCTCCGGCGTGCCTGGTAGACGTTGATCCATGACCATGGCAGTCAGTATTGCGATCATAATCATCGTCATGCTTGTGTGCATCACCCCCGCATTTGCCAAGATTAAGCGCTTCTTGGAAGTTCATCATACGTTAGAGTTTGTCGATAATATATATTTCTTCTTTGAAAGGGCCGTTAGGTTATGCCAGGCTAGGTTCGGCCTGCTTTCGCTCCGTCGAACTATATTTATTTTCGACGTTTGGATCCGACCGATCGGCGAGTGATCATCTTTGCGATATTTTGGGGGGCATTCTTGCTTTTCCATAGGGAAGAGCATACATTGTGTGTTATCATTCCATTTAATGTCGTACCATGAACAATAGATCGACTTGTTTTCGCTGAGACCTCCATAATTGTTTCATGTATTGTTCTTTGTCTAGATCTCTACAGCTTTTGCACTGCCTTTGTGGTTCTCGAGATCATCAAAGACATCTATATGCAATGCGATTGTCGATTCGAGACGCCGACTCGCGTTCCATTCGACACTACCACAGCAGCAATGGATGATCGAGAATGCAACTAGATCAAGCACACTGCCCCTTTTCCAGGAATTTAAGAATTCAGGTCTTAGCACCGGTGGTCCGCCACTTCTTCCAGTAACATTTAGATTCGATACGGCAACTTCTCACCATTCAGATGACAATCAATTCAAACAAGCGCATCACCTCCGTGATAACCATTGACATTGACATCTTCGCGATTGCCGTTCTTATCCGTGGCCTCTCGTTATTCATCGATAAGTCATTTAGACAAATCAGTATGGCTTCGTGCGACTCGATCGTGTACATCATCAGTGCGATGCTGTTGATTATCGGATGATCGCCGGCCAGAAGCGCCCTATGATTGTCGAAATGGTCAGGTCATTGCCAGTGGAACACAATATCTGTCTCAATCGCATATCACAACAAAGCGATTCATTCATGTCCGTACCTGCCTCCGATGTTATTTGAATGGTCCTCGCGAGAAGAGAATGATAGCCTTGTAATAGCAGGTATGACCGGGTTCTTGACCGCGGAGCCGGTGACCACGTGATTGAAGGCGACCAAATGGCCATTGGATGCTGGACGTTGAACGCTTGATAATATAGCAACTTAGTTGCTGTGAATGACGCAAACTCCTTGAGAGATATATGCAAGTGGAAGTGGATTGACGTTTAATAGAAAGTCGCTTGTGTGGAGTCCTGTGGGGTGGAGTAAAGCACTGCGGTGGATCCGATGCTTATTTCGTTGGAGGCGCCATATTGGCCATTTGGCCGCGTCAAGCCATACCGGCGACCGATGCTTGAAATGATGTTGGAGAACGGCAGTACCCTCGATTCGATTTCCCTATAGGAAAGGTGAGTATCCCAATTATGCTTATCATATGACTTGGACATACTCGGTGGAAGTAACTGACCTGTCGTCCTGAATGCGGGCTCTTCTTTGCTAGACATTTCCCATTAACTAATTATCCACATTCGCATGGGGCGGATGAGTTTTAGCGTCCATGGAATGATACATGGAAGCCAGCGAACGCGGCGCAGGTGATGGTGGGAATATATGTATTATGATTTGGCCTTCGACGAGCTAAAACGTCCTTGATAAGTGGGGGTATTGTATAGAAGCGAATTCGAGTTTCATGTCAGTCTGCAGATGTGCTAGGAGCGTAGATTAGATGCTCACCTTTGTCCCCCTTTCATACCAAACTATGCAGGGTCCGATAAGAGTCTCAGGCACTCTGCTTATAAACCTAATGTCCAGACGGCTTCAATGACACTTGCCAGTGGCTGACGTTGGGATTCTTGGGAAACACCAGTAAGTTATACCAAGGATCATTCGGTCGTCGCCGGGGTTCCGTGTCGAGTTGACAGATCCATGCGGAAGTTATCCGGGTGCTGAGCTTGGCCATGGCCATATTTCAGGACAAAACTCGTGCAGTGCCTGTAACCACACCCGATTAGAGGTTGGTATATGTAGAAAAGATTTCGGAGGGACATAGAGAACTTGACTGTGTTGGATTTCAGGAGCCGTATCCCGGACCTATTTTGCTGAAGGACCTTGTAGTCTCAGACGCTCAGGACTTCTTATTGCACAATATATTATGATCAAGGTCCATTCGAATCGTTCTGGAAACAGCAGCATCAAATTGAGGTCATTGTAAACCTAAACTTTCATGTCTGTAAGCCCAGACTCGGTATCTTTCTCACTCATCTTGGAGTGGATTACGATCAGAAGTCGAGGTCAGATAGACTTGAAAGAGTTGTTCGTACTGTGTCTAGATCCCTGATGTCTTTCCTAGTCAATCTCGATCTCGTTTCGAGGATTCAAATCTTGTGGGGATCAATGTCAATCGAACAGTTTCCTTGAACGCTAGGTTAGAGTGTGCTACCGGCCAGCGCAGTATTAATGGGGAAGTGTCTTATTCTTGACCCGGCCGCCGTCTGGACCGCGTCGATATAATTGGACAGATTGCTATATTTGCACTGTAAGGTTCCTCACGAGTCACCAACTGAACAGCCTCTGATTGGTGGGAATGAGTTAATTTTCAAATGGGACCTGACTTACCAGAGGACGGATATCGACCTTGATAGTTTCTTGCTCGTCCTAGGGGTAGTTGAACATTGTGGAACATCGCACTGAAGATGCAAAAGGATAACAGAGAAGACTGCAGGGTTCGTGGGGCATCCTATATAGTGATTCTCAGTCAGATACCCACTGGCGTTTCCAAAATTATCCAGCTGACCTGGTGGTTGACCTTGTGATTCTTGTCGCCCGACGATATCCTCCACTCCCGAGTTCTCTCCGAGCAATGTTAATACCCCGTTGTCCTCCACATAACAAGGTCAGGATGACAGTGCGTACCTCCAGAGGCTGTCGAGTCTCCAGTGTCACTTTCCAGACGCGTCCTTGGGGTACTCGTCTGTGAGACTTTACTGGTCTAATTAAAGGGCAATGCTACTTGTCCACCTTGTGTGTTTATCCTTCTTCGTGGGTAGACTGATGCTGGGAAGAGTTCGATAAGACGTGAACATTCTCGCTTGTCTAGGAAGTCTGCCCAACACCTTGAGGGCAGTGTCAGTGCTTCTACACTTCATGGAAGTTTTGACAGTGATCTTTTGTACTAGTGAGATATCATTGATCCTTACTAGCCGAGGATATACTCACAACAGGGAACCAATTGCCCACGAACTACTTCTACGTCTCGGGTATGACATTTGGGCGCAGTGAGGTTGCCAACTTGCGACTGATTGTGCTTCAATGAGAAATGACGTGTACGGCCAGTGCTAAGATGGACTTGATAGCGTGAAAAGTGATGATTGATGCTTCTGGTCGCCGATCACTGAAATGTCAAAACCTAAGACCCGAATGTGTGACGGTTTGGGGTTTAGTTCAGAAAGGATGTCCTTACCTCAAAAGTCTGTTCATATACGCAACGCGGTAGGTCCTTCACAGCAAAGCTGGACTCGATATGAGTAAGCCATATCTTGGTACACTGCAAGTCACTGCATGCATAAGCCTGCACCAAATAAGGTTTCTCGAGACCATGCTTGAATGAGCGGTCATCCTCTGGGCCATGTTATATTGCTCAGTAGATAACTTGGCAAGTTCCACGATCACCCAGTCTACAACATGCAAGTCCCGTTGCCAGTCACCGTCTCCAGAGGTACATATACGCGTGAAGGCCCATCCGGCTGGCGCGAAGGCTATGATGATTGAGGAAACCGCGCGACAGGGACAGGCTTGTCCGTAAAGTATGGACTACCGGATGACGAGTGCGTTGAAAGCTGCCTCATGGCCCCACACCGTCACGGTGAAAGTACAGAGCCTTCAAAGACCGGAACACGCTTATCCACGGGAAGCTGGGACTGTGTTTCTTATGAACTTGTATTAGAGAGGCGACTTACTAGTTGTTCAGTTCTGAGGGACCCGGCGCCGTTGGAAAAGACGGTTTATTCTAGGATAGTATCTTGGAGAATTGTGGTGCCAACAAGTTGCCACGGTGGGCAACTTCAAGTTTGGCCAGTCATTTCTCTCACGAGTTTCCCCAATCATTGATGTTTCTTTGGACACAGTTGCACACGCCCTCCAGATCTGCGTTGTTCTGTATACATGTGGTGCGCATGTTCTTTGTGAATGATCGATACGATCGTCTTGCAGAAAATAGGGCAACTGCTTTGCATTTTGGTTCCGAGCATGGTGGGTCTTTCTGTCTGAGGTCACGGATTTCCGAGCAGGACTACAAATCAAGGTACTGACCTTCGTCTTTAGCAATTATAACATCAAATGTAGTCTTAGAAATCTCTAATGTCATGCTGTCAAGGCTTTCAAAGTTGTCGGGCAGGGCAGTCCGCTCACTAGCGCTGTTGCCTTCGGGGACCGGCTCGTGTCCACCTGACCAACCTGTGCCCAACACCCAGATCACGGTCTCACGCTTTTCTTAGCCTGTCCTCCGGAAAACCAGTGTGAACAGGTGTGAGCTTGATCCACGAAAGTACCCTAATTAGCGAAGTTCCCCATAGGTTGAAACATATGCGCCTACGCCCGGAACGGATATGTCCAAGAATAACGTGTCTTCACATCGAAAGAGGCGCAGTCCGTCCACATGCCGACAGCCCAACTTGAATAGCCCATGTCTAGTTGACAATTCTTTCCACCCTACGACTCCTTGCTTGTTGACCTTCTAGTGCGATGGCCTCTGCTTCGGCCAGTCTCGTGCCCCAGGCTGTAAGCTCAGGGGAGCTTACGGACCTCGTTTCATCTTCTACATCTGCCACCGTTTATCCCACAGATGATTCCATCCTTGCTGTTCTCAGTGCTCGATTTCGTGCTGATTTGCCCTACACTAGACTCGGATCCACAAACCTTGTGGTAGTCAATCCTTACAAAACACTCGCCAACGTCAACGATGCTAACGCGAAGGAGTACGAAGAGAGATGCTACAAGGACACCAAGCTGGGCTTGGCAGATTCTCGGAGACCACCTCAACCTCACTTGTATGAGCAAGCGGCCAAAATTTATCTTCTTATGAGAAGGAGGAACGAGTCTCAAGCAGTCGTCACCCGGTGAGTTACTTGCGCATCGGATGAAACTGCAACTCATAGCACAATTCTGCTAGGGGAATCTCAGGGTCGGGAAAGACCGCAAGCAGTCGCCTACTCGTGGACCAGATTTTGCGCCTTTCAGCTCACTCCAAACGAGAGACCAAAATTGTCGACCAAATCAAATCTTTCACACTGCTACTCGAGTCTTTCGGAAATGCAAAAACGTCTGTGAACCCAAATGCCTCGCGACACACACGCTACACGGAGCTCCACTTCAATGAACGCGGGCGTATCAGCGCCGCAAAGGTCATTGCCTTCGGGCTTGACAAGTCCCGCTTGACTCGCTTGACACATGAAGAACGATCTTACCATGTGTTTTACCAACTTCTTGCTGGAGCTACGCCACTGGAGCGTGACTACATGGGGCTGGAAGGTCCCTCAGATTACGCTCTGCTGGCATCATCCAATTGCTATCACTTACCTGCTGGCCCATTTAGTGATGACGGCATCGCGATGGATGACTTGCGAGACGCCTTCAAGACCTTAGGCTTCAAGTCCAAGCACGTCTCGTCGATATTTAACGTGCTCGCTGCCATCCTGCTGCTAGGCAACCTTCAATTCGGGGAGGCTGATGCACAGGACGTATCTGCATATGTCCTCAACGTGCCAGCTCTTCAACAGATAGCAAAGCTTTTGGGCGTTTCCTCCGAAGAACTCAGCGATACGCTGACGTGCAAAACAAGCTATGTGCGCAAGGAGTTGTATACTGTGCTACTCGATGTGCAGCAAAGTGCGGCACAGCGAGACCAGCTAGTTCGTGATCTCTATGCAATTTTGTTTGCATTTGTGGTGGAAACAGCCAATTTCAAGCTAGCACCTGCCTCCCTAAACCCTTCATGTTCCGCCACTCGTATCGTGCTGCTTGACCAAGCGGGCTTTCAGACGCGGGCACCTTCAGGGTCGAGTGGCCCAACTCCCCTGATCTCCGCTCATCAGAATGGCTTTGATGAATTCTGCATCAATTTCACCGATGAAATCGTGCAATCCCACATCCTTCGTAACATTTTCGACGACAGTACAACTTTCCACAGTCGTCTGATTGCTGATGGAAACTCGCTACCGGCCATCATTGCTATGGACAACTCAGCCTGCACCGAGCTTCTTCGGGGCCCATATACCACTGAGAAAACATCACGGAAACCTGGTGGCCTCCTGGGTGTTGTTGACAAGGCCGTCCTGTCCTTCAAATCAGGGCGTGCGGGCGATCAGCGGAATGATGAGCTACTGCGGGATTTGGTTGCCAAGTTTAGTGTGCACGCGTCTTTCGTTGCAGCACCGGCTACCGAAAAGAGGAGATCTTTCGGGATCAACCACTATGCTGGTCCCTGTTCATACGACATCAGCGACTTCGTGGAGAAAGATGCCGACCTGCTTGACCCTGCTTTCGTCACTCTCCTTCGCAGCTCGACTGATGCATTTGTCGCGAAGCTCGTGTCGGGCCCCAGCTTGTCTACGGAAAGGCACCAGAGCGATGAGGAAACTATCGTCCAAGCTCAAGTCTCTTCCCGCCCTCTTCGCATGCTCACTCCTTTGGGAGAAAGTGCGGATCAGAACCCTCGCCTAAACCCGTCCAAAATCTATCCCGTCACTACGCAGCTCAATCAGACGCTGTGGAATGTTTTGTCCAACATCGAGAATGTGCCAACGTGGACTATCACGTGCATTCGTCCCAATGATAACGGCTTCTCCAACTCCCTTGACAGGCGTCGCGTCAAAGGGCAAATCAGGGCCCTGCTACTCCCGGACATCGTGTCGAGGAAGCAGGTCGAGTTTGTTGCAGACTTTGATCAGGCAGAGTTTTGCGACAGATATCGTCCTACTATGCGCGGATCAGATGCTGAGCGTATTCGTCAGTGCGCCCAATCTAATGGTTGGAGAGAGGGCATAGACTTTGCGATTGGGAACCAGAGGATCTGGCTGTCGTACTCGGCATGGAAGATGGTAGAAGATGTCGTGCGTTTCGAGGAGAAAGAGCAGAAGAAGCTTGCTCGCGAGGATTCACAAGAGGACGAGAGCGCCATGCTCGATGATGCCACAGATTACCCTGGTGATGAACGGCAGTCAGCGTACTATGATGAACCGCCTGCCACACCATTCCACGAGCCAAAAACCCCTACGTTCGATGGTAATTATGCTCCGTCTCATGTTGCAGCTCCTAGTCACCGCGAGGAGTCGGGTTCCATGACGTGGGACAGGAAGCACGAAACCTTTGATGGGGCACCTCCCATTATGCCTACATCAGCCATCTTATCCGAGAATAACGCTCCTGAAATGTTGGAGGAACAGTTGCCAACCACCCGAACCCGACGTTACTGGCTTTATCTCGTCCGCTTCTTCACCTGGTTCATTCCCGATTTCTTGTTGTCGTGGCTAGGTCGTATGAAGCGTCCTGACGTCCGCCTTGCATGGCGGGAGAAAATGACCATCTGTATCCTCATCCTCCTAGGAAACGGTCTTGTCCTCTTCTACATCATCGTCTTTGGTGTCATTCTCTGCCCGAACTTCAAGTACGCGTGGACAACGAACGAAGTGGCTCAACATACCGCTACCAATGACTACTACGTCTCCATTCAAGGCAGGGTCTACGACATCTCCAATTTCGTTCGCGGTGACCACAGTGACATCGTGGGAGAGGCAAGTAATGGTGCGGACACCCTGGCGGGGCTCGCTGGTACCGACATGACCAACTACTTCCCCCCTCCCTTAAATGTGGCATGCGCGGGTCTTGTCAGCGACCCGACGATGAAAATTACTCCCGAGAACAACACCCTAATCTTGTTCCCGACAGCCATGCATTCCTCCGGATCCAATGCTCCGACAACTCCCACAGCTCTCGACAACCAGGACTGGTACACCGCAACCTTTAAACCAAAGATCAATCAGTATCTCCTTGGTCCATTGGTTTGGGAGCCAAGCGATATCTACTCTCAGGCTAATCAAACCACGAATCCGCGGTGAGTGGTGCTTAACCTTCTTCAGTGACATCACTCATCATCTCCGCAGAACCTGGGCAATTTACGAGAATAGTATCTATGATTTGACGGACTACATCTACACCCTCAACACGATCAATCTTAACGTCGCCAAATACAACTTCCTTGACCCGAACCTCGTTGCAGTCTTTGAGCAACAAGCCGGGCAGGACATCACCGGCCCTTTGAACCAAGTCTTGGCCGCCATGGGCACTGCAAACCGCACGGCGAATCTGGACTGTCTTTCTAACGCCTTCTACTATGGAGAGACAGATTTCCGATACACTCCTAGATGTCAAGTGCAGAACTACCTTTTGCTTGTGTTCTCCAGTGTCCTCATGGCCTCGATGGCGTTGAAATGTACGTCTCCTTCTTATCTGAAACTCGCTTGCACTCACTCGACACAGTCCTTGCTGCGCTCCAGCTCAATACCAAGCGCTTCCCTGAGTTACTGGATAAGTTCGTGCTATGCCAGGTCCCTTGTTACACAGAAGGAGAGGACTCCCTTCGCCGCACAATTGACTCGCTTGCCGGTTTGGACTACGACGACAAGAGGAAGTTGATCTTCGTCATCTGTGATGGTAATATCATCGGCAGCGGTAATGAACGGCCGACGCCTGCCATCGTTCTCGACATCCTTGGCGTTGATCCAGCGAATGATCCTGAGCCCCTGATGTTCAAATCGATCGGAGAGGGCTCGCAGAAGCTCAACTATGGCAAGGTATACTCCGGATTGTACGAATTTGAAGGACACGTTGTTCCGTACGTTCTCCGCTCCGTAACCATGAAGCTATTGCTGACATTTCTTTGTTTAGGTATATGGTTGTCGTGAAGGTCGGGAAGCCAAGTGAACGCTCGAAACCCGGCAACCGCGGCAAGCGTGACAGTCAGATCATGTTGATGCAGTACTTGAACAGGGTGCACTTCAACGCACCTATGTGCCCGCTAGAGCTCGAGATATATCATCAGATGCGGAATGTTATTGGGATTGACCCTGCGTTCTACGAGTACATCTTCACTGTGGATGCAGACACGGTACGCTTTACTGCACACTATCTCGAGAAGCTCTAAGATCTTTTTCGCAGTCCGTGACTCCCCATTCCCTTAACCGTTTAGTGGCAGCCACGATATCAGATTCCAACATAGTTGGCATTTGCGGTGAAACAAGACTCCAGAATGAGGAGGGATCCTGGTGGACCATGATCCAGGCAAGTAGTTTAGCTTTGCACATTTTGTGTATTCATGCTGACATTTCCATAGGTATACGAGTATTACATCTCACACAACTTGTCCAAGGCTTTCGAGAGCCTTTTCGGCTCAGTCTCATGTCTTCCTGGCTGCTTCACCCTTTACCGCATTCGCACCAATGACAAAGGCCGACCGCTCATCATCTCCAACCGTGTTATTGATGAATATTCGGACAACAACGTGGACACTCTGCACAAGAAGAACCTGTTCTCCCTCGGCGAAGATCGATTCCTGACGACGCTGTTGATGAAACATTTCCCTACCTTCAAGACCAAGTTCACTCCGGACGCAATTGCGCGTACCATGGCGCCGGTATCCTGGAGAGTACTGTTTTCTCAACGTAGACGTTGGATCAACTCGACTGTTCACAACTTGTGCGAGCTTGCTGTTCTCCCCAACCTTTGCGGAGTCTGCTGTTTCTCGATGAGGTTCTTCGTCTATCTTGATCTGATCGGTACTTTGGTAAGATCCTTTCAAATCGTCAACGCACAATTTCTGATGTTTCTCATTAGATCTTGCCTTCTACTGTGGTTTACGTGAGTCATCTCATCTTCTTTATCGCTGAGTTCCAGCTGACTTTGCGTTTAGTTGATTTGGCTGATTATCGAGGTCGCGACCGGACAATCTCCGTTCCCTTTGATTTCCATAATTATGTTGGCAGCGGTGTATGGTCTTCAGGCTCTCATCTTTATCATTAGAAGAGAGTTCATGCTTGTCGGATGGATGGTGGTATATATCATTTCGTGAGTTAACTTGTTCCGTATCAGATGCATGGCTCATTTTTCGTTATCACAGGTACCCTATTTACAGCTTCTTCCTGCCCATATATTCATTCTGGCGGATGGACGAGTTCGGTTGGGGTAACACTCGTGTCGTACTCGATGATGGTGGAAGTAAGAAGGTCATCACCACCAACGACATGAAGTTCAACGAGTCAATGATACCGTACAAGAAGTTTAGTGGTACGTTCAATATACCTTCCCACTCGCGCTACCTGCTAATGGGAATTCGCGCAGACTATGAGGCTGAAACTTGGGGTGACAATCAATCCGGGAACTCGTATGGCTCGCCTCCTGATCACAATCAAGCAAGCTCCATGTATCTTTCTGCCCCTCAGCCACGTCTCCCATCAGGTTCACAACGCCCGTCTGTCTACGAGTATGGCCGCTCTGAGTCAGGAGAACACGACTACTACCGCGACACGAACATGATCCATAGTAATTCGTCACATCAGAACCTACATGGGCCTTCACGTCCGAGCTCTCGTGCTGTATCTGACGCCAACCGCCCACCACCTCAGATGGCCAACTGGAGAGGACCCTCGCAGGAAAGGATCAACATGTTTACGCCGACCAATTCGGGTCCACATGGGAGCGTTTATGGCATGACGCCGCCTGACTCACGAATGACATCTGGAGTTTTCAATAACCGCTCCATGTCCCCTGCCCAGAGCTTAGGTGTTCCTACTCAGCCTTTTAACGGAGGAATGCGGACGTCTACGTTCTCTATGGCCACGACTGCATATGCTGGTCCCAACCCCAATCCTAACCCATCAGATGACGAACTGTACAACGCACTCAGGAACTTCTTGAGTACACAAGACTTGATGACTGTTACAAAGAAGTGCGTTCTATCCTATACTTGACTACATCCCCTGATACTAACTTCGCCACAGGACAGCTCGTGAGGCTATGGCGGCTCGCTTCCCCCGCGCAGACTTGATGCCTCGCAAGGACTTTTTGAACCAATCCATTGACAATATTCTTTCGCATTGAATAATAGATACATCATTAGGACAACTTGCAAAATTTCCGTTAGTGTAAGCATTCATTTCTGGGACATAATTACAGGTTTTTGGACTTAATTAGCCATCTGGACATGTTGATTTGGCGTCGCGTTCGTTTTATTTGTAGTGCATGCATATCATTCGTTGCGTAGGTGTTGGATATTGTTGGACATAATATGATGACGACTTGGACTGTTGGAACCTCGTTAGAATAAACTGACTGATGATTAGGATGTGACACAACTATGACGTGTAAAGTAAGAAAGACATGATCTATGAGCATTGGTCATGTTACTCGAATAACGAGAACCATGAGCATGAACGCGACCAGCACGACAAGTATACTCATGATCACCAAACATGTTGTACCTCCACTCTTTCCCCTGAAGTCCCTCAGCCGTATCCGTTCCTTCTTCATGAATTCGAAGTTGCCCTCGATCTTCTCCTGCATTGCTTCGACAACGCTCTTGTCTTTGACCAACGAGTCAGCAAAGTGGGTGGCATTGCGCCGAAGTTGCGTCGCCATTAGTGCGAGTTGCTCTGAGAGCTCTTCCTGTAGTGCGCGAGAGTTTTGAAGAATAGTAGGTGTAGCAGTTATCTTGGAAGTGGCGGGAGATGCTGCAAGAAGAGTTGGTGGTATAAGGGGCTCAGAGGGTAAAGACTTTGTCTGCGAAGACGGTATGAGGTCGTCCGCACCAAGCGCGCTTTGAGCTGTATCTTCTGTAGGGATGAGGGTGGCTTCGACAGGTACGGTCTCGAGATCAGCTGCCTTTGTCACAGGGGCGCGTATTGATGGCAGGATTGGTGTTGGTCTCTTGAGTGGAGGAGCCGCTTTCTAATTCAGCAGATGAGCCGAGAAAAGGGAACATGTGTCACAGTGAGGACTGCATACCTGTTCGACCTCTGTTACAAACGCTTCAACTTGATCTAGCGTCGCACGCAGGCGTTGATAACGATGTTCTGAGGCTCTACAGAAGCATACTAAATGTGAGACTAAACGGACAGTCTGCCTTAGTAATTCCACGTACGGTGAAGTGCCATGGTCATCGACCTCGACGTTCTTTAGGAGCAAGCGGGCGTGTCGGATTCGCTGAGACAATGTCAGATTCTAGGAGCCTTATATTTATCATGAATTATTTGGCACGAACCTGGAGAGTGCCCTGGGCTTTGATCCAGGTGTCTCGCTGTGAACTATCGGACCAATCATCCTCGGACACGGATTTCTCAAGCCTTTTGACCAGGCGAGGTAGATTAACTCTGTCATGAAGAATCTGGTCGTTAGTGCGTACGCTCATGTTAGGTCGTTACAGGTCAGGAAGATGGGGTGCAGGACAAGGTGCGTCCATATGTCTTGGACTCGTGCTTGACATGCGGCGTAGCGGTCACGTAATGCCTATCTCACTGATGGGAATATGTTTCCCCGTTTGGAACTTACATACCACTTCCTTTGACGAGCCGTGCCCGTTGTTGCCTCCGCGAGTTATACCCTTCCTGCTCACACGCAAGGACAAATGGACGACCAGGAATCGCAAATACATCGGCTCGTCGAGAACGCCGAGAGAGAGGAAGACAGGGGCAGTAGCCTGGTAAGTTTCGCAGTGATTCTCTGTCTTTCTCGAAAGACCTCACCTCAATTCAATAGCGGCGAGACGCGCTCACGAAACTCATTGAAATTGCTCATTCTTCAAATTCTCAGCTCAAGTGCTATGCAGCAAATCACATAAGAAACTTTTTCAGTGATTTCCCTGACCTAGAGGAAGATGCTATCAACGTAGTCTACGATCTTTGCGAGGATCAAGATTCACAGGTGCGTCGTTTTGGTTTCGTGTGCTCCCTTCATGACACCCCGACTGCAGGTCCGCATCGAAGGTTACCGAGCAATCTCAAGCGTCTCATCTGTTCAGCACAAGTGGGTTAAACGAAATTCGGATGTGCTCGTGCAGCTTCTTCAAAGCGGTAAGTAAGGCGACTTTGGAACATATAACGCGCAAATGACAGCAATGATGATGAGCACATATGCTTCCAAATTTCACTTGCCCGAGTTTTGCTGATCATTCCCCGTAGACGAACCGGAAGAGGTCGCCGTTGTCAAAACAGCCCTTTGTGACCATCTCGACATGGATCCGGCTGTCACTCTAGGAGTGTTGTGCGATCAAATAATTCCTCCTGAATATACGATAGACGAGGAGGAGCAGCAAATTCGTGATCGTTTACGCTCGCTCGTGATAGCCTTTTTGAAAGTTGACGCAGCTGAGGCCATCATACGGAAATACACCAAAACGCCTGGTACTGATACAGAGAATGTTTTCGTATGTCAACTTCTGACGGTAACTTGGTGCACCTTTCTACTGTATCACAAGGCTAACTCGTCGATAGGCTATCAAAAGGCTGGAAACACGCGACGTTGAAGTGATCATAAAGGACTTGCTTCTGATGATGCCTTGCTATAAACCAGGTTCTGCGCGCGGAATGGACCTTCTTCACGTGCTTATCGACAAGGCGAGGTCATCCCTTAACGTGAAATCGAACGACTTGGGATCCATCAAGACCATTGACTTCTATATATCTTTGGCGCATTTCGTCGCCATCCAAAAACGAGTTGCTTCCCCTGTTGTGTTGTTGCGATTTTACTGTACGTCTCTGATGGGGAAACCTGTCTTGCAAAGGTTTTCTCCCGAAGAGCAACTTGTACTTGCGGGCCGAGTGGTGGAGGCACTTGAAGCATGCGAAGAAGAAAGTCGTGTTCACCCTCAAATCTGCAGTCATGAACAGCTTTCATTTCTTCGACGACAGATTGTTGATGGAGCGCCAAATTTGTTGGAGGCAAGTCGTCCGCACGATTCTACGGTCAATCCACTGAACGGTTGTTTTAGGCTCTCCACGACACAAAACTCGAGTCTTCAACTATGTGGGACACATTGCGCTCCCTCCTTCTGGCTTGTAAACATGTAAGTCGCGTCATTCGCCTGGTTTTGCAAAATAACTCGTTTCCAGCGAAAAGAACGTGAAAACTGGGTAGTTCCGTTTAATTTGGCTACATCCATAAGCAGGTTCCAGGCACAAGCACAACAGCTGGGACCAGGAAATAACAGCGATGAAATTCGAGTACTCATCAGGGTTCGCAGTGGGCCGCTTTCCGCTTTCTCCATTGACGTCCATTGTTTCTTTCTGTGTTTGAGCAGTCGCTAACCGAACCTTCAATGTCGCAAAAAAGTCCGAGTACAACTATCAACGGGGATGGTCTCCATTCTCGCCCTGAGCACCTCCCGGCTCGACCTCAAATTGGACGTCCGCTGTTGAAAAGACCAGATATGTCAAGACCTTCGCATACAAACACGAGTGGCACGACATCGAACTCTCGGCCAGCAATACAAACTCGCGACTCTGGCCCTGTCGCGTTACCCAAACGATCCTTGAGCTCTGGAGAAGCTGTACTACAGATCAAGCGAGCAAAGACGGAATTGACTGAGGAACGACAACTGACACCTTCGTTGCTGAGCCGCATGACGGCGCCTACCCCAGGTGATGCGGAGAAGGCCTCGCGGAAACGTGGGGGAGTAGGAAAAAAACGCGTGGAGGATTCGTCCGAACCGGACAAGCATCCTATGGGCGGTTATAGCATTAAAGGCGCTGCAGCACATGCCGAGCGGGGCGAGGAGTCAGGAGATCCCACACCAAGAACTTCGTCCTTGCTCGATAGGCTGAACAAATCTGAGGGCGTGGATGGTGGTGGTAACCGGAAGAGACATCGAGGGAAGGCATGAATCAGTTCCTGGGACGTTGATATTTATGTATGAGCATCACTGGCACTTAATCTTGATTAACATGAATACTCGCTGTCAGGTTTTATAAATTATAAACGCGACTGTTCCGCCGATGAGTTTCAAAGTACTACACACCTAATTTTTAGAAACGTTACGTAGGCGCGGTACGAAAACCCCTTGTTGTTTCAAGAAAAATACATGGTAGTATGCTATGCACCATCGGGATTCGACATACAACAAACACAAGGCCTTCGGCCACAACATATAATCTTATGATGACCTTGGAGCGTCGTCCACCCGCGTGCGTCTCGCGTACCTAACCAACTTCCAAACACACCTTTCAATTCAGAACTTTAATTCTTCTCCTAGGACTAGCACTACCGCTCGTATGTCAGATTTCCGACATCGTTAAAGTCGGCTGATATTTGATGCTCTCCAGAAATTGCGGGGTACACACACGCACCCTCAAAGTGAACACTTTCTTTACGCAAATCGTGCCATCTTTCCTGTAGTGTCGTCGACGATCATATTGAAGGTAGCTGAGGCCTGAGGTCTCTACAGCGAGGATTAGGTCTTAAGAGGTTGCAACTGGTACACGCTGGCCGTTGCTTACGTTAGCACATACGAACCAACATAATGATTGTGACCTTGCGGAGCTCCATCATGATTTACTAAGTTATGTTTGTTGATTGCTGCATCTATGTGACTCTCAGTTGAACAAGTGCGTTGCAGGTACCATGATCTCTGGAATGGCCCAGTGGCGTACCATCGAAATGTCCGAGTCAGTCCTGATGGCAACAAGATATATTTTTGGATTGACTACCATGACCTGTCGACTGCAGCGGGTTCTGAGGGCAATGAATGCGCGCGCACAGCGCCGTTCATGGCGCTCGATCTTCTTGTTGTTCACAGGGTCAACGATACGAAGTCGAATATTTGTATCTTTTAGATGAGTTGCGTCCCTGATATGGGTTTTCTCTTGAATTCGCTTGCATTACCGTGACAAGCATGGAGTCATCCGGCGGCCATCGCAATCATCGAGCCTTTCGATTCATGGGAAACTCCAGGCGCTGCGGTACGTACTAGCAAGGAAGAGTCATGGCAAAGTGACTCATGGCACAATACGGACTTTGAAAAGGCAGTTCCCTATCACTAGAGCCTAGCGAAGCAGCTCGCCAAGAAATACCGTCAGCACTCGCGTACTCTACATCCTCGTATCTCACAAGCTGCAGCCCATCACAGAGCTCGATGGCAAAGACCTTTTCAACGTGTGGCATCAATGCATCATGTGTACGTAGTTAACTTCATTGTATATATGCGGTTCTCTGTTGACATATTGCACAGGTCACTTTGATCTATGGAAGGCAGGGGTCCATCACCGAGATGCCAGCCCTAGCAATATGACGTATTACAAGTCTGAAGGCGCCCTGATGGGTATCTTCTACAACTATGATTTTTTATCATCACTGTCGACTCCGGCGGGCTCTGGAGGCAACGAACGCATGGGCACAATACCGTTCATGGCGCTCGACCTCCTATCTAACACGTGGGGTCAACGAGGCGAAGTCAAACATTTGTATCGCCATGATCTGGAGTCCTTCATGTGGGTTTTCGCCTGGATTTTCTTGCGTTATAGGAAGGGAGACATCCTACCACCGGCATCGCGCCCCTTGGATGAATGGGCAACTTCATGCGCCGGGACATGTGGTGAGAAGAAGTTATTCTTTCTGAATAATGTCCAAGATATCGAACCCTCGGACATCGACCCTGAAGACATAAGTTCGGATATGTGGGATCTTGTCATGGAGTGTTTTTTGGTGCTCGACATAGCCGCCTTCGATCGCCGTGTTCGCCGTGTTCAACAGGGATCGAGGGCAAAAGGAGGCCAACAGACAAACATCGACGTCGAGGAATCACACTCGGATATGGATGGTCTTTTATTCAAGTTTACCACTTGCAAGAGTTGGATGAAGCTCAGCGAGCTTTCAGAGTAATTTTCATTACCTCTTACCCTATATACGGTGTTGTGCGTATGAATGCTTGAAACTTTGCAGTTGTACATTCACACTACGTACAAGCGATCACTCTCGATAGAGGATATTAAAAAAATGAGTCATGCAAGTACAGGTCGTTATCGCCATGAAGACAGACAAGCAGGGGTCGGACGGCCCGGTCACTTTCCGCATACCCAATTAATTCGTGCTTGAAAGCTTCAAGGGCCGAACCAGCACGATGTAAGTATGAATAAAACTCTGTTGACATCGACACCCCGAGGTTTCTCTCATGAGGCTGTTGTGGGCCATAGTCAAGTCGAGCGGCCATGCGGGCGACGGAGTGGTCAAATGCTTTCATCGCGTCCCGGAACCTGATCATTTCCGCAGAGGGCAATGCCTTTGCAGATGCGGACTCATGCTGTAAATGAGGGCTGGATGCTGATAAGACTACGTCACGATGAAAGTGCAGAAATATGACAATGGCTTGTCAGGAGCCGCGAGAGACGAACATCGTCTTGTATACTACTAGGATATGTCGGAGTCAACAAGAGCAGGCCGGTTGATTGCAATATCACAGTGTCACGTGTCAGTGCGCGTGTTGATGGGAACACGTCGTCGGAGTCGAACTTCAATATTACCACCGCATCAGATTGATCAATGGTCCACAACATTTGTGCTTAAACACTTCAAGGACCTGTATCGAACCACACGTATCTAGGACTTAGCTGGAGCTCAGAGTTCAATGCACATACTATATTGGGCCATCTACGCGCAATCTACACCTAAAGTCGGCATCACGTGCGCGCGTTTGATGGAGCGCGACTCAGCGCGCCGTCGGAGTCGAACTGGACATCAAACCCACTTCAGATTGATCAATGGTCACCAAATTTGCGCCATACCAGTCGGCCGGATATAAAGCAGTAATAGGCCGTTCTCTTTTGTCCTCTTAGTCTTGGGATGGTGGCCAAGGTCTTTGGGGGAGAGGCCTGGGAGAATCGCACTAGCGAGTCGGAAATCTTGGAAAAGGTGAAGGAGATCGCTAAGGTGAACCAATCCGTAGAAGGCCATATTCCTGTGCTGTTCTGTCACGAAAAGTTCACGAATCCCACGTCCTCAATCCGAGAAGCGCTTGGCTTTCTGGAACCTACCAAAGGCAGTCGCGTGCTCTACATCCTCGTATTCCCCAAGCTCTCCCCCATCACGAAACTCCGCGGAGACAAGCTTTTTAATGTGTGGCGGCAATGTATCCTATGTTCGTGTTTCATGGCATTTATATCGCTCTTCGTTAACATAACGTGCAGGTCACATTGATCTATGGAAGGGAGGGGTCCATCATCGAGATATCAGCCCTGGAAACATGATGTGGTACCGTGACAAGCTCGGGAAGTTTATGGGTGTGATGAACGACTACGATCTATCGTCGTTGGCAAGTGCGGATGGTCCTCAGGGCAACGAGCGCACGGGAACGGTGCCGTTTATGGCGCTCGATCTTCTCACCGCAAGGGCACAACGAGGCGAAGTCAAACACCTATATCTTCATGATATGGAGTCGTTCGTGTGGGTTTTCATCTGGATTTTCTTCCGTTACAACAGCGAAGGAGACCTCCTACCACCGGCAGCGCGCCGCTTCGATGCATGGGCAACTTTAGGCGCCTTCCAATGTCGCAAGGACAAGTTAACCTTTCTGGATGTTCTGGAAGAGTGCTCCCGCCCGGACGTAGGGAATCTGACGTGGTGTCTCCTTATGGAGTGTGCCTGGGTGCTTAAAGAATATCGTCATCATCGGTCTAATCAGAACTTTGGTCAGAAACTTGGTCGGCTCATAGGAGCAATCGATCCGTCGGTGGACGGACTTCCAGGAGTGGTCGAGCAGCCAGAGGAAGTTGAAACTGAAATGGATATGGATAACTTCCTAGTCATGTTTACCAAGACCATGGGCTGGAAAGCGCTCGAGCGCCGCATCCGTTCACAGTGATTTTCCTACTCATGACTTTCTGAATATCAATCGGTGTTGCACTGGACGACTGACTCCGAACGAAGCTTGAAAATATCCTTTCAAGAGATAGCTATGAAAAGGCGGAGGCAAAATTTCCCTTGCTAGCGGTTGACGATGCTCTTCTGAACGATATGCACACAAAAGCGGCAGCATATCTCAAATGATGCGCAACGGCGTACTAGTGGCATAGAACTTTGTCCGCTCTCCAACCTCCTGAAGTAGAAGAGGCTCAGACCAGGAGATGAAACATTGCTTCCGCCAAAAAATCAAGGGAAGAAGGCTCGATATGCTTGATTTTTGATTGTTTGTATGAGAAAGACCAGGAGATGGTAGCTTGGTGTCTCGTACATAATATGTAGAGTACAAGCGTGAACTCTGAGTCTTACGACACGCCTTGGCGCTGCGAATGGTAAATTTAGACACCTATGTGAACAAATACGATCTGCTGTTCGAACGGAATCTTCTTGCGCAACGTCTTCACAGCCTTGTGCAATGCTCCCGCGGCACGTCTGCAGTCCAGTCTCCCTGAATCATCAACCAGGTTGTCGTAAAAGACAGAGACGATCTCGCCTGCCACATTATCGTCGACGGACCACATAGAACCTATCACACTTCGAAATCCGGAGAATTGCATGGCCGCAGCGAGATGAATCGCCTCATCAGGGCTCGACTCATCACCGACGGTAGTGTGACAAGCCGACAGGAATGCGAACTCCGGGTTCTGCAAATGAGTTCGTATAATGTCCCTGATCATTAAAGGCCCGTCGTGCATGGCGAACGAAGACTCGAATGGTTGTTTTCGATTTGGCATGCCATGACAGGCCAGGTGTAGCCACTGTTTGCGACTCAATGCATCCAAGGCTCCCTGGACTGTTGCTTCACTGTCCGCAAGCGATGTAAAGGGCAGCAAGGGCGCGACACGTTGAGCGACGACATCCAACTCAGCAGCGACACAACGAAGTGTCTTCCCTCCGACCGGGTTCGCTTGACCAATGGCAACGAAATTCTGAGTAGACGCATCTCGAGACACCTGCTGTCTCGCGCGAATGAGTGTGGCCAAAGTTGGGGTGTAAGAGGAGATGTAAAAGTGAGAGAGATTATGGCTAAGCAGTTCGTATGGTCCTGCTGCGTGTAGGGGGAGCAGCGTGAACTCAGCGGTGGGACACCACCAGATGCGCGAGCCGCGAGGAATGAACCGCCTGAGCACTTGAACTATGGGTCCAACAACACCATGCCAGAGCTTGCGTAAGACGCCGATGATCTTGTGTAACTCAATCTGATGATCAGAAGAGCCAGCATGATCTGTGAGGGACAGAAATGTGGAGGAGAGGTCCGTGACGTCGGTCTGTGAAATATCAAGTGGAACGCGGACAGGATCTTGGGCGCTCAGGATGATCAAAGCGTCGCAGCTGTACTGGCTGGCATTGACAATGATGACTGGACCACCTTCTGCCGCTTCCTGGAGGTCAGAGAACAACGGAGGCAGGAGAAACCGGGAAAAGCCGGGTAACATGCGGATGCGGGAGATAACATCATTCCACTGCATGGTCAGCTGCCGGATTTGCGGGGATTGGTCTTCAGGAGATGCATCCAATGCATCCAAGACTTTACGAAGGCGAAAGCTGACTTGCTTGAACTCATCTGCCAAGGCTTCGCCGGCATCACCTGATGTAGAAAGGTCGTCCAGTGGTTTGCGGAAGCGCGCCAACTGGGTCCAAAATACGGCACGGCCTTGCTCCACCAATTCCACAGCAGTCTTCAGAGCATCATGACGAACAGCACATGAAAAAGCGTCCATGGCGAGGGATGAAGTGGCCTCCCTGATCACATTGAAATAGCGGGATGAGGACGACAAAACAGCAACGTGCTGGTCGAGAAATTTCAATGTGGTCTTATAGGCAATCAGTGCGGATTTATGCTTGAACTGCTCTGCGGAGGCAGCCCAGGACTTTGCAGCACAAAGATCTCTACGAGAGACTGCGTGAGATACTTGGAAAAGTTGTAGATAGAGTCTGAAGGCCTCTTCCAAGTCTGATGAACGACCATGCTGCTGGAACCTGGTTTGAAGGCTGTTGGCAAGGTCACTCAGAGATGAGGATCGTAGAGAATGGCCAGAGGGACAGAGCGCCAATGCTGCTCGATGGAGCTCGATGGCCTCAGACAGGTCAGACAGGTCGTTCCGTTGTTGGAATCTAGTTCGAAGGCTGTTGGCAAGGTCGTTAAGGGATGTGGGTCGAAAGGAATTGCCAGGGGGACGTAGTACCAGTGCAGCCCTGTGGAGCTCGATGGCCTCATCCAGGTCAGACATGACACCGTGCTGCTTGAATTTGCTTCGAAGGTTGTCGGCAAGGTTGTTGAGAGACATGGACCGGTGAGGATGACCGGGGTGACGGAGCGCCAGTGCAGCTCGATTGAGCTCGATGGCATCAGAGAGGTCAGACAGGACGCCCCGCTGCTGGAATCTGTGGTGGAGGCCGAAGGCAAGGTTATTGAGATACATGGATCGGTCAAGATGGCCGGGGGGACGGAGTGCCAGTGCAGCTCGATGAAGCTCGATGGCCTCATTCAAGTCAGAAAGCATGCCCTGCTGCTGGAATCTGCCTCGAAAGCTGATGGCAAGACTGTTAAGAAACTCGGCTTGAATGGGGTGGCCAGGGGGACAGAGTGCTAGTGCAGCTCGATGGAGCTCGATGGCCTCAGACAGGTCAGACAGGGCGCCCTGCTGCTCGAATCTGCGTCGAAGGCCGATGGCAAGGTTGTTGAAACACGAGGATCGAAGGGACTGGTCAGGTGGATAGAGCACTAGTGCGGCCCGATTGAATTCAATGGCCTCATCCAGGTCAGAAAGGGCGCCCTGCTGCTCAAATCTGCGCCGAAGGCTGATGGAAAGGCTGTTGAGAGACGAGGATCGAAAGTAGTGGCCGGGGGGATGGAGTACTAGTGCAGCCCGATGGAGCTCGATGGCCTCGTCCAGGTCAGACAGGAATCCCCTCTGCTGGAATCTGTCGTGAAGGCTGTGGGCAAGGTCATAGAGAGAAGAGGATTGAAGGGGGTGGCCAGGGGGACGGAGCACCAGTGCGGCTCGATGGAGCTCGATGGCCTCTTCCAAATCAGAGAGGATGCCCTGCTGCTGGAATCTGGATTGAAGGCTACTGGCAAGGTTGGCTAAAAAGCTGGACCGATCAGGATGATTTGCAGGACACTCCAGCAAGGCCGCTCGACACCATTCCACATTGTCTGCCATGTTATCGTAGTGAGGTTACACGAGAGCTGATTAAGATGGAGATGCCAGTGGGGTCAGGCAAAAACCGCAGCTCACTAATATGATGAGTGTCTCGTTAATGAGTACAATCGAGCGAGATGAAGGCGAATACGCACAGAACGAGCAGAAATTCGATACAGTCAGTTTGCGACTGGCTATGCCGCTGGCGCCTAAAGTTACATATATCGCCTTTGAGGTGAAGACGTATACAAAACAACTCGACACGTACTACACAAAAAAGCTTTCAATATTGATAGGAGTTCCTGTTGGATGTCTGTCTGTCCTGCGGTCCTGGTATCTCTACTGCCTATGGTTAAGTCTGATAAGGTCAAGCACGACATGCTTCACACCAGGGTACAGGCACAGTGTCTTGACTAGGCACCCGCATCAATACCGTACGTATACGGGTATGCCACCGGTTTCTTGGCTGTCCAGTATTTGGATTGGCTTGGCGAGGTACAGAAGTATGACAAGGACAGGGCTACATTAGCCGCGTCAGTGAAGGCTTGAATTTGATGCCAACTCACTGCAAGTGGCAATCCTTCCTGATTGACAATAATCCTCTCGAGAATTGGAATTTCTCTTCGCATATTGGTTCTAAATGCATGTTTTCACGCAGGACCGATGCAGCAGGGAGGTCGTTTTTGGGGGGTGGAAATGGGCCGAATGTTCACTCTTTAGCCATACAATGTTATTTGGTTCATAGACGTGACTGCAGGAGACAGAAGGTGCGACTAGTTGACTAAGCTTTGCCACAGCACGGATGGGCAATGGGGAGGGGCAACACCCTGCCAATTTCAGCAACTACTGCGATCAACGACTCGGAATGCATCCTAATGTTAAATGCATCCCTCACGGTCGACTTAGACTAGGTGTTACTTTTGCTCGCACCCACAGTACACGTTGGATAGCGCAGTGAACAATGCTGCCGGCAACTTCAAGTAAGCTTGTACTTAGCATTCGGAATTTTGCACTGAACATTTCTGTCTCTCACTCAGCACAAGAGCAGTGGTCGTCTCTGATTTAGTAGATCGAGCGAGATGTATCTTTGGCAATACACTTCACTTTACTCGACACCGCTTCAACATTATCCATCAGCACATCAGTTGATGTTCCTTTGTCTTCGTTCGTCGCTCGTGCCTACGAGTGATGGATGGATAATGAGAGATCAGCCCTACTCTTGCGTCTACTAGTACACATTTTTTCACAATCTCCAACAGCGGAATTTTAACACTTTTATACAACGTCGACTCGTTGAAACGCGTCGTCGGACGTTTCAACCGTACCCTACCGGGGTTTAGAAAGCAAATTCGTTAGATTCAGCGCTAGGAGTCGGGAGGAATCGGATTCACTCCAGGCTCACCCTTCCCCTCAAAAGCATGACCCATATGGACCTTCTATCTGACAGCAGCTGTCACATTCGCAATCTTCAAAATCGGTGATTGTGTAGTCTGGTCCACACAAAAACAAGAATGGCATATCCTTGTTGTGACCTATGATCGTTCCGCACTCCAAATGATCTGTGAGTAGCCGTAAGCATACAGTCTGAGATCTGCGCGTCCACAACCCACTAGACTGCAAAGTACTCACTAGCTTGGGCGCAGGGGTGGCCGATAATCTGTGCGGTAGCTGTACCAGCTATTACTGCGGCAGACATGATCATAGTGGTGAGTGAGATGAATTTCATAGTTGCGATTCAGCAAAGGGCTAATGGCTGATGGTGTTTTGCTAGTATGACTATCTTCACTTTTATACACGGCCCGGGGTGTGTATCTGATGCTCGCATGTCCGATGTACCGGAACAGATGCCAATGCCCCGTGGCACGGTGTTTTTCAAGTACTGTAATCGACAAGTACAGTCACAGAGCTCCAATTGTATTATGATGCCTTAAGCGACGTGGAATCGCGGATCCACGAGAAATTGAGCTGGGAAAGCACCAAGTTTCAAATGTATCACTCACTGGCATTCGTAGCTGAGGCCAGCGGCGTTGAGCATGTTGCATATTGAAATGCAAAGGCTTTTTGCACCCTTTGTTTCGAGCTTGCGACTGCTAGCTTGGCGATCGAACCAATGCTGGCAGCTGTATGATGCTTTGCGATGCCGCAGAGGGTCCAACCAGAAAATGTTTCCTCGCAACCTCAGCTTAGTGAACTGCAGCATGTACAGCCGCAGAAATGTTGAATTGATTGTCTCCTCCACTTTGGTGACAGACCGCGGCCTGTTTATACATCGTTTGGACCTATGTAGTGCTGGTGTCGTGGCCCGGTGTTGATGCCCAGTGAGAACTGACTATGCTGGAAACAGCCGGGGTGTGCCAGAATATGTTTATCGTAGTGGCTGAGGGAAAATGTATAGATTAGCACATCTTAGATATAAAACGGTTGATTTAGCATATTGACAATGAGACGGGGCAAGGCCTCTAATGCCACGCTATGTTTTTCATTGCAAGAACATATAGAAAGCATACTGGCGCATATTGGTGTTCACTTCACTGTGGGAAGTAAAAACCATTAGATTAAGTGACAATGGGAGTGAATGTGTTAAATTCACTCCCAGTGTCACTTAATCTCTGGTTACTTGCATTCATTGACAACTGGGGACATTGAATTTCACCTGCCATTATTTAACAGCGCTGAATTTCACAATCGACAATGTTAATGGTATGAGATTCATTGTCAAAATTTTAATGCCGCTGAATTACAGTAAGTTAATCATCATCGTTCTCGTCAACTCCCAAGTCATCAAATCCAGAAAATACAGACTCCCGTGCTCTATCAATGATCCCTGATCTCTTTCGAGTGTCAACCAATCCAACAACGGCCTTTATATTTCGAATGTCGGTAATAATGGGAGCTAACTTTGCCTGGACCCAAGTGAGTGTCTTTGCTGCATCCTGTCCGTCTGTCTTCCATGGTGTTAATAACACTAGTACTTGTTCCTTTCCGCTGAGGATGCCGAAGAACGGGTCGTTCGGAACTTGATACACTAATATTTTGTCGAGATGTCCATAGCAAATCTTGCATATGGGCTCATGGACGCCTCTGCTATATTGTAGAATTTCATACTGGACTAAATGTAAGTCTACAAGCATGAGTATGATATGAATCTACGTACACGAACATAACAATTCTTTCGTTCGTTCTGACCAGTCCTTTTCGATACAGCTTCTGTTCTGAACGAATCTCCACCGTGACGTATACGGAATTTGCCTGTGGACAACACACTCAGGCCTAGGTGAGTGGTGACTTCAGTCGTGCGCTTGCCAAGCACTTGACTGAAATAAATCGCTAGCCGTCTTTCGAGGTCCTGGCTCATATGTGGGATGTTTGTGTACGGAGGTCGCAGCACATAGTCTGCGTCTTCACAGAAAGTGAGTTCGGTGTTCACTAACATATGCTAAATTGTTACCGACATTCTGGGTAGCTGCGCTCATACCCAATAGGCCCATCTCCGATATGCTCATTAACTGCCTGAAGTTCGTCTTCTAGGTCAAAGCGCGCTGCGAGTTGTTCAAGGTACGTCATATGGAGTAGGCGGTTGTTCAGGTGGCTCCATGGCTGTTGTACTGATCGTGGACCACTTTGTAGGACATGGCAAAATCGTTCCATATAGAATGACCATGTGCACCATACAGGACCACAGTCCCGAATTCCATCCGCTACGTGAAGGAGGCCATGTGCTGTCAGGGTGCACACAGACAAGCGTTCACATTTGTACTGGTAATAATATCTATTGAATTGATCAATTGAGAGCTCAAGCGTTCTGAAAATGACCAACGCACTGTTCATATTTTTGAACCCATTCGCTGAGGCCATTCTTGATATCACCAACAGCCGCCATGGTAATTTGAAGACGTAGCATGGTCTTCATCAACTCTACCAATTGACACATGTGGTCGTAGTATTTGTCCTCTTTGAAACGACCATGCAGGAGAATGGGGGCGAGATAAACGAACCAGAAGCACCACGACTCTGCAGTAAATTGAGATCGATTTGATGCAATGTTGCTGAGAACCCGCACAAAAGCAGACGGGATATGTCTCACTGCCGCAGCAGTTTCCTCCCCCACCTGCTCCCATATATGTGGGGTGATTTCATAGTCCTCATCACCGCTATCGAGCCCCTTGAATTCACCCGTCCAGAGATTCACAAGATTTGGCAGGACGTTCTCGAGGAAAAGATGAAACCACTCCCATGGAAGTGAACAAGCATAATCAAGAGAACCAACACGACGCAGGGCAGGATAGCATTTGATACCGTGGGCCTTTGCAATTTTCTCCTTTTTTGCCTTGGTTGGTGCTGCGGTGATCTCTGCCAAGACATTCCCAAACTCTCCGTGCGTCCGAAGGGGCAAGATGGTGGCATCATATATAATGCGGACTGCATGAGGTGGTAGATCAAGTGGTGGCTGCAAAGGCACGTAATATGTTCGCCTGTTGCCTCGAACACCTACAATCTTGCAGGAACGACAAGGGACAATGGCATTCACACCCTTGATGCCCAAGAATTTTTGGATGGCAATAATGTCACCGAGCTTGAAAATCAGAAAGGCATGCATGTCAAACATTGCCTGTCTGCTCGCATCAAAAGTGGGCACTCCCAACGCTAGCTGAGCTGCTTCGTCATCCAGTGGTGACATGAATGACTCCATATCCTTTGGTTGGTTAGGTCCAGGAATAACGCCAAGGCAAATTAGATTGGAGAGTCGAGTGCGTATATTGGGAGGGAGATTATAGTTTTGGATCAAAATGGGGGTTGCGGATGGGCCATTTCGCCGGCGCTTGTACAGCAGATAGCTATCTGTGCACAAGCTAAGTGCAATGTCACGAGGGTCTGAAAAGTAATGATAGGGGAGCTTTTCTCCGTCCACGACAACTTTGTGGCGACAGAGCTGCTGGTAGTGAGAGGAGTCAAAGACGTCCCTCATGTACCTGGGGTCGGACCTGTACTCTGCACGATACGACATCTTCGCAATGAGCTCGGGCTTCTGGAAAAAACCCTGAAGGCGAGGAATGAGGGGAAGGTAGCAAAATCTTCGCCTGGCTTTTCCTCTGCTGTCTAAGCGTGGCTCACCACAGTACTCGCAGAATTGGTTGTGTACATATTTCTCCGTGTATGCCATGCATGAATTGACACAGCAGTCGTGGTAATGTGGTTTGACGCCGGAGAGTATTGCAATGCGACGTAGAATGATAAATTGTGAGTCTAGGGGCAGTCTGTCCCTGAGTGCAAAACGCAGTTGGTCATAGGCACGACGAGTGGTATGACTCGTCATTTGCCATTTGAACAGCCGGATGTTATCGCGGTCTGCTTGTGACAGTACATCATTTCCTAGCAGAGCACTTTCAGAGATTGGCTGTTAAGTTATGACACGACTTACGAATGTCGAACAGATCTTCCTCTCGCTGCATCTCCAGCAATTCTTCTAACATGTCGTCACTGTACCCTGCTATATCTGCATCCAAATCGTCACCTTCTGCCCATGCCCACTCTGAATCTGTGATCCAGGAGTTCTCTGAGGCTTCACTTCCAGATGTCTTCGTGTCTCCATCGGATTCTACATCCATCTCGTCATCTTGCACGTTCTGTGAGAATCCTCGAAATTCTGATTCCTCTGAAATATCCGAGTCCGAACTATGACTGCTATCCGAGTCAGTTATATTGGCATCTTGGCTGTGCGAGTCGTCTTCAAATTCTGAAGCTTCAATCTGACTCTCCTCGCCATGGGCAGCGGCCTCACGATAATGTCTGCGACGTTGAGAAAGGCTCAATAGCTTGTTGCAGGTGGGCTTGCATTTGCAGTGTTTCTTGCGGTCATCTCGTGCCATGGTGTAGGTTGCAGCTAGACACGTGGCTGATGGGTTCTGAGGCGCTAAGATTGCGGCTGAGTCACCGGCGAAAATGCGGCTCATTGTCATCTACAATATGGGTTACATCTGTAAGACTTGGCACAAATACTAGCGCTGTGCTCATGGCCTTCTGTTTCTCGTTGTGTTCCCATTTGGGATTCATCCTCAGGTGGCCTTTCTCTCCCGTCTGCCGGCAGCATTCCTCTTCCTCGTGGGTTCGAAGTTTTCTGCCAGCAAGGATGTTCCAAGGGGCAAACACAAGACCTGCATGAACAAACGTGAGTTGAGGCATCAGAGAGAGAAGAATACGGGATGGCGTACTGCGCAGCTGCACTAGTGCTCCTTCGCTAAGAAAAGGTTTGTGTCAATACAGGGCAGGTAAAAGATCGTGCACACCTCAATGTCAATGTACGCTCTATGATGGAGAGACCATCAGCACTATGTGTAGTTCGACTGATGGTCCAGAGTGTATGTTGAATATTACATAATTGTTTGTGTTTGTTTGGTAGAAGTTGGTGTTACTCATGTCGTCGTTCAATTTTACTCTTTAGATGTCAGGTGAGGTGCTCGATGCGGCTGGAGGTCTCCGCTCCTGCACCAATGAACCTTACATCGCCCCCTCGTGAGTTTGCAAGTACTCATACCAATACGCAAAGCGGTTGTCGTCATGACGGCTGTTGATATCGATGCTCTTCAACCACTTTCGTACCATCGGAATGCGCCGTTCCGTAGAAGACACTGCAACTAGCCGTTTCGTGACCGGTGAACGTGTCGAAGCCCTTCTCAAGGTTTGATATTTTGACATCATCCACCGTTCTTTCATTAACTAACTACCTATGCAGGAACTTCCAAACCTAATTGCTTTTGGTGCTACGGAGTACATGGACGGTGCTTTGTCGCTGCCCGTTCTGAATCAACTCTTACTTCGTGGTTCTGCGTCGCCCTACCCGTGGACGAGGATTCGCGGTGTACGATCCAGAAGAAGATGATCACGAATGCAGCTACTTCCCCCAACCTTCTGCTCCCAGTACCGTCGCACCACAGCACTTCCTTAAAGTGTCTTACATCCGTCAACGTTGCCGACACGCATTTCTTCTCGTTCACCACAAACAGCAAGAAGAAATCGCCCACATTAGTAAGAAGTATGTCTTTCTCTTCCTTGTAATTTACCGTTGACTGAACGTTGCCAGATTCATCGCTTCCGCTGGTACATATGCCAACCTCGTCAAGTGCGTTTCCACTTCGAGGATATCCGCAAACTCCCTCCTCCCATCATTGCATTCGACGCACTCTCGGGAAACCCGTAAGCAAACCCGCTTTCGTACCCTGGCTGGCTATCGTGGCTAATCTGTTTCCCAGTACTACTTTACATTCATCGCAGTTTCTTTGCGCAGGCTATCATCGAGAACCCTGTGAATCCGTTAAAGAGCGCTTATGCGCCATCATTCCTGGCTGCTTACCGGGCGTCCATCCAGCAAGCGTTTCAGGAATATCCTAGTCTATGTGCTCGCTTTTGGACTGTCTGGACTTTCGCATTTTCTGCTGCTGTAAGCATTTTGTTTGGTTTCGACGACGATTGCAGCTGATAGCCAGATAGATCGTCTTTGGGACAATTGTCACTCGAGGTCCACAATCTCCACTGGCGTCTAATGCTATGAAGGAACTGGATGACGCCTGCCGTCTTTTCTCAAAAGCAGCTGCACATAGCAGACGTGCTGCTCAAGCTCTGGTCAGTGTTCGCTGTTATTTTGCTTAGTACACTATGTGATGGAGACCATACCACAGCCAATCCTTACGAAACTGAGCGAAAAGGCCCACGCATCCCCTGCTGCTGCTCTGAACGAACGGCCATCACAGCAGCTAGGGCAGCAATGGAGCGTCAAAGTGGAGCAAGACGACGATGAACTCGAAATCTTTGCTGGAAGAACTAGATTCATTTCAATGAAGCGAGCTTCAGGACTGCCTGTAGACTATCCGGAGGCATCTGCGTCTGCGTCGTCTTCTTCTAATAGCAACACATATCTAGTAGCAGGTTCCACCGAGCAACAAACCGCGCAATTATATCACCCGGAGCCTACGGCTGACTGGGTTCATTCGGCTTCGAACCGTGGTAGTCGTTATGATATGCATCGTTCGGACAATTCCGGTACACCTAGTGCAAGCACTAGCGTTCCGACCCAGCTATGGCGACAGCCCCAGAGTTCTGATTATGCATATGCTCCCCAGCATCATGTATCTCATTCAGCTGCACCACATGCGCACCCTACGCACCATGTAGCGACGAACGCGGGTTCAGACGGTGCTGGTACAGCCGAAGAAGTCCATTCGTATCGTTGCCAAAGAGCGAGAGGGACGAGGAGAAGTCCATCATTGGACTGTTAAGTACGCTTTCCACATCGTAGTACCATAAATATTCATTTAATTGTTTAAATTGCTCTTGCCCAATTTGCCAGTGTAAATTCAAACTCCGACCTCCTTACGACGCGTCAGTCACATATGCAGGAACGTCTATTTGCCCCTCACGCTTTTACCTTCCTGCACTATCAACATGCCGAAATCAAAATCAAAAACAGACAAACACCACCGTCTGAACGCGCTTGGTCGCTCTATGACCGATTTGCACCACCAGTTTAGTTCACACAGACGTGAGTTGCCTTCAATTCATGCCTCAAACATTTGACTCAAATATTATATTCATTAGGGAAAGAACACATTAAACGGGCTGAACGACGATACAAGACACACCCTAGGCACCAGAAGAACAACCATCCTATTCCGAAACCCAAGGGCCGCGCAGGGCGAAAAGATGGCTACAAGTTAATCGAGGCTATGGGTCTGGTGGACAGGAAGGAACACTACAATGCGCTCGTCGTCAGTTCAATTTATATACTGCTGCTTAATGTATGCTAACCCTGCAGATGGCGGCAGGATAGGGTACATATGCTTGCCGACAGGTATCTGAAAGACAATGTGACGATCTTGGGTCAAGACAAACTTCTGGTCCAGAATATCATGCGAAAGGTGCGATATATGCACCTATATCTTACTCACTCTTATTTGATGGATCGGAAAAATCAGGCGCAGAGTACCTCACGCACCTTGCAAAAGTTTGACCAAGGCTGGCCCGTTTACGATATGCTGGCGCAGTATCTGCGCAACCGTAATGCCTATAATAAAAAAAAAGCACAAGAGTTCTTGTTTTGTGCGCATATATTCTGACTTTTGTCCCCTAGCACCGCTTGGCAGACTTGGTTGATACTGGTGACAGCTCAGATTCTGATTCCAATGCGACAGATTTGGACTTGGACTCCACGGATTCAGACTCGGACTCCATGCATTCAGAATTGGACTCCCGCCAACGACATCATGGTATATATTTCTTGCATATATGCTATCACGATCTCACATTACGAGACCAACAGATACTGCATCAGAGGATGAGGAGACCGATTTTCAAGGATTCGGTAATAGTAACTGTCACCAGACAAAGAAGGCACGTGTATCGGACACCAATGCACCATCACATCGCAGAATTGTGATATAATTGACTGATGACCAGCTCACCCAGATCGGCAAAAGGTTGCCCCGGAAGCCACCTACATCTAAGCTGGCAGCCTTGACGTCCTCACAGAAGGTATGTCAGCATCTTTCGAGCATAACTCTACTCAATATGTCTAGGCTCCGTCGAAGAAATCTTCTAACATGCGCATGGTACGGAAGTCCAAAGCTCCACAATCACGACTGAAACCCAAGGTGTGTGATTCAGTATCGTTGCACGTCATATGACATACTATCACCTCAGGAAACTGAATCCGTGAAACAGTTCGGCAAGAGAAAGGACAAAGATGTACGTTCTGCTACCTCAGTGTTTCTGGCAGGACTGGATGATTTGTGTTCATGGATGATTCAGGAGGATTATTCAGATTCTGACGTACCGACTATAAAATTCAGAAGGCTCAAGGTATATTTAATTTCTTGTTTGACCAACCTTAATGTCATATGTACTGCATCTGCAGAGATACGACAGCGCTCGTGATAAAACAGGGAGCAAACAAGTCAGTGTTCCTGAGCCAGATGAGCCTGCCCAAGTACGTTCAACTTTATTCTACTTTCTAGGATTGAATATGAATATTATAGGATTTGGGGCTGGAGGCACTCGACAACACCAACACATCTGATCGGATCTCTGGAGCTTCCTCTATCTTTGACTCTCCTGCTCGTGATGCACATCCTTCTGTCTTTGATCAGGATTCTGATGACGACGAACTCGAACCACTGGATGACTGCGATGACAACAGCAAATTTGTCTCTGCTCACGATATTCCTACGATCTGCCCGAAGCACCATTGCAATGACGAAATACCTCGCAGCCCATCTTCGAAGCTGTACGATGCCTTGGAAAACTATGTCAAGCTGACTCGCACGCAGGGACATTCGACTGTCCGGTCTCTAACGCTCTCGTTCAGCATTTGCGCGATGATCAAGGATGGAGTGCAACGAGAAATCCACCTGAACGACGCGGTTGAACGAGGATGGCCTGTACTCGAAGTGGATTTTACTCAAATTCCTGCCCGTGTGTACGAGCTGAAGGAGAGACTCGACATAATCATTTTTGCCTCACCTTCTTCGATTCATGACCTCAAGGCGTCTCCTTTTAGCGACTTCCTCGAGGATATGGCTGCAGATAATTTCACTCTTCAACGTCTTGCGGATGTTCCCATCTTCAACAAAGAGAGCAGGATCCTTGCGAACGCGATGCCAGGATAGTGAGTCTCTTAGTTGCACCTCCGAATCCCCCAAAATCACAAATATTTGTAGCTACGGACCTAAAGGCAAAGCCATCATCAAGGCATCACTACTCCGCATGTACCCTCCAGAATTCACGCCCAGCAATCTCTTCAACCCATTGAGGACCGAAAAGTTCCTCGAGTACTTTGGCGTTCGTCTTGTCGGAGCTGAGTTAATCTCGAGAGACCTTGGTGTGGATATGAGCGAGGCCTGTGGTATCGCTTCGCAAAGTCTTCCTCATGGAGCTTACCTTTTTCCGGATGACGACGATGACATTGAACTGGACGAGATCCTGCACAGTATCATGCTTGGTGTATGGGACGATCGGCGGGAAAGGGCAAAGCTTAATGAGGCTAAGGAGAAGCAGCGTCCAACAAATGGTGTAGCGCAGCCAAGTTGGATGTTAAAAATGTTCAGAGATACTCCAAGTCCGACGGTGTGTGTCTACCTGTCATAGTCTTGTTCGCTGACATACATTTGACATTCATCTAGCAGAACGAAGATGTCACTGATCCTGTCGTGCGGAGGAAGCCAAAGAAGGTAGTGCAGGTCGGCAACAAAACTTCCTCGTATTGTAACTCTGTGACATGGATGACTAACTACTACCCTTACACAGACTGTAGCGCCAACGAAGACCCACCAGACACGCTTGCGGACTTCTACAACTCACGGCCATGCATGATGCCACTTCAAGGATCCGAAATACTTATCTTCGCTTGGGATGTTATCACCACTACTTGCTCGTCTGCTTCATTCTCCGGACAGTCTTTTGCTCTCTCTTCGGTAGTCGCTCATCTGCTTCATTCTCTGGACGGCCCCTGCAATCTGGTCAGCGTGCTGGTCTCTCAAGTCTCCAAGTCTATTATAGTTATGCAGTAATGTGTAATGTGTGTTAATATGTCATTTTTTTTGTCCGTACACCTGCTGGGTAGACAGCACAGCATCACGACACTGAATTTGCATCATCCAATTTGTATTGCGACACTGAATTTGCTGCGACAATGAATTTGGGTCAGACGATTAATTTGAGTCAGACAATGATTCTCACACCGACATTAAATTCAATGTTTGTCAATGAGCGATTCAGTGTCGCACGGCGGCACTGATTTACATCAACTGTCAATTAATGTCATAGCTTTCAGCACTGATCATGAAGGTCTTTGGTATTGATGTTCATTGTCTCCACTGCCCTCAGTGCTTGCAATTCCCTCGCTGAATGTGCTCATTTAGGCCGAGATATGATTATGCTGGTATATGATAAAACATGCTCTGGTATTATCACTCTAGGATACGCAATGAAAAAAGGAAAACATGCAATCAGAAGCAACATGCAGCAGAGCGGGTGAGGATCAAAAACATCATGATAGCCGCAGCTAGGATCTAGTACATCTTGCCTGCAATAATGGCGGTCTTGTCCCAATTCCCTTCAGCAATCTAGAAACCATCAATTAATAGAACGGAGACGATGACGACAAACAGACTCACGAGTTTGCTTGCTTCATCATCATACTCCTGGATTAGATCAGTGGAAACATGCGCTGCATATGGAAGGATCTCTGTCACATACCTTCCGTTGCCCTTGGCTGAGACTGTTGTAATAGATACAGAACTCGTCCGTCGATCCAGTGGTATTGATCTGCTTGAGCCAGCGGTGCGCACATAGGTTACTGGTTTGGTAGTCAGGCACATGACGAGCGCGAAGTAAATTCACATACCGTCCGTTCTTTGTTGGGCTTGGACGCATTTTACACTTGCTGCCAGTTTTACTCACTTTCTCTTTCTTTATGATCAAGCTGGCGCTGTCGTCCAGCAGAGGGTCTATAGCACCAGGGGTATCAAGAGGGTGAACTGGTGTGACTTGTGGAGACGGTGGTATGTCGACATTTGCAGCAGCGAGAGAATGTACAGAACTATAACATGTTAGTAATGGTCTGAACAACAAACGACGACTTACAGAGGGTTCGGGAGAGTGACTCTGACAGGCTTATGGACGGTGACAGATTGAGACTGGTAGCTAGTGTCAGCTGCGCTGACAGGGTTTGTGGTGTGAATGTCATCCAGATTGGTGACAGGTACAGGTTCGGGACACGCAAGAACGTTGTCAGTATTAACCGGTCCAAGATCGGAAACTGAGGGTGTGATTTCCGGGTCAGTAATAGACTCGGGCTCCGCAGACGGCATTGTTGTAGACACAGCGGGTGTATCGAGTGCAGGCAGACTCGCCGTTAAGATACTTGGAGTGTGAGTTGGAGATGGAGATGCCGATGGTGAAGCAAGTTGCGCAAATGAATCAACTACGCAAATATAATTAGCGAGATACTATGGCAATTGAAACACGCACCTTTTGTTTTCTTGATAGGAACCTTTGACTCAACAGGCGACATCGTCGGGCGCCTGCGCTTCTTGCTAGTCTGTTCATCGTTAGTGTCGTCGTCGTCGTCGTCGTCATTGGCATCTTCTTCTTCTTTCTTGACGCTGTCCCGAGACTTGCGATTGTTGTCACTGTCGAGGTTGTTCCGGCGCCAGGAAGGATATGAAGATGTTGCAAGATAATCTAGTTTCCAACCGTTATCAGCAAATTTGAACAGTGGGAACGTGCCCTCCATTAGTGAGTGGACCAGCTGTCTCCCAGAGGCTGACACCTTCCCCCATGATGGTGGGGCCATTTTGCGATTCAAAAGTTCGGACCAGCCCCCCCGAAGGAGCTTGCGAATAGCCTTGATGGTGGTTTCAGGTACTGGGTCCCCATCTGCATCCTCAAGATATGGCAGCTTTCCGCGATCAGCGGTTCGGCTACTAGCAGACTCCAGCCACTCCATATAGTCATCCTGAGTCCAGAACAATATACTGGGGTAGAGTTGACGAGTGGGACGAGTGGAGTCGCCAGAGGCTGGGCAAATAACCGGCGAGTTGGATTGATGAGGCTGAAAGGGATCTGAATGGAATGACCGAATAGAGCTTGCAAGTTGTTCAAACATTGCTCTGCAAATTGGAGCAATAAAAAACAACGGAGGTGCTAAGAAAATACTTACTTGATTGTATCACGTTCCATACTCAGCTGGACTTCGCGTAACTCCAGTGCCCTGCAGCGCTCAAGTAGAGCTTGAAATTGGCGACTATCCTGCATATATGCGCCCTAAAGATACATTGGTGAGCAGAAAAATGTTAATAAAATACTTACTTGTTGAAATTGATACCGTGGCGGGGCTGAATCAGCGAATGGGTCAGGTAATGGCCCAGACAGGGGCGAATGACCTGGGTAAGACGAGTCCCCTCCCCATCGTGGATTCGGTAGTGGGGAGTGAGAATACAAATTCCTATCGACGGAGTGCGCAGAACCCTCGCCAATTGAGAACATATTGGATTCAAATAACGGTGCTGGTGCTAGTGAGGAAAGGTAGAGATTGAAAGGACTTGCAGCCGACCGATATCAATTTCAGACTCCGTCAGAACCTTCCAAATTGATTGCACCACGAGATTCTAGTCGCGTGCGCATAACTCAGTCTACTATTTATTATCCTCAATGCCTTCAACGTCTACTATCAACATGTTAGAAGACAATATTCTAATTGAGATCGACGGTGTCGGCTCGATGTGGGACACCTATTGTCTTGGTCTAAATGTGGTCACTCCTGGCTTCAAGGTAAGTAAATAGTCGTTATTATTAAGTACTACTGATCACATCGTGTTTGTATCGTTTCAGCGAGTTGTTTTTCGGTTTAGAAACATCGACAAGGCCCTTCAGGTGGAAGAAACCACTGTAAAGTGCGAGGAGGTGGACAGTGTGAAGATTGAGAAGGACGATCACGATCAGGTTCAACTCGACGAGGATTCTGTGTATGTAACCTTCTGTTTGATAACTATTTGATTCGAACTAACAAATTTTCAAAGGACTGTGTCTCCATGTAACCTCCTGACTCGACGCTGCGATAATCCAAATGCAAGCCCAACCAACCCGCATGCACCGTGGCGCTATTCAGTGCGACCGTTTGATCGGTCCGACATCGCTACCAAAAGGAAGGTGCTGCATCAAGACATCAACGACTATCCCTCCAAGCGTCGTAAATTCTAACTGCGTATACCATCACTTCGCATTGTCCACTCATCCCACTCGTGTTTTTGTTCAGTTGCTCATCCCACTCGTTTTTCTCTTGGTCTCATTGTATCAACTACTGTTTGCTGTCGCCTGCTCTCATAATACCTTCCGTGTTGCTCACGTCGAATACCTCTTGTACCAATGATAGAACAAATTTTATTCAATATCGTCGCCACCATCATCATCGCCGTCCAAATAGCCTGAGTAAGGTACTCCTAAGTTGGATATGTCAAAACCCGGTCTCTCCATCATGAAAAAACGAGGCTCAGTAACTCCCGAGGGGAGTGTTGGGGTGTGCGGGACCATAGCGACGACACTAATAATTTTCTTGACATCGAGAACGTGAACTTCGTCGAGTCGTGCACAGTGTTGGAATACGCAAGCACGCTCGCAGCCGAGGTGTAACGTCATCGCCCTTATTGTTTTCGTTTCGACATGTATGTTCCTGATATGCGCTCTTGTTCTGTCATATTTCTTTTGTCGTTTGTCTCACTTACTTATACGTTCAAACAAGAGCATTCGCGATTATATAGTTCACGCAGTTTTCACGTTAGAACCTCAGACGTTTGCATTCACGCAACGACTGAGGTAAGGAACTCCTTTTCGACTCGTATATTTACCTTACTAAATGCTACGTACAGTATCTGTTCCTTACAGGTAAATATACCAAAAGACGTTTGCATTCACGCAACGACTGAGTATCTGTTCCTTACAGATCCGCGTGAATATTATTTTGTCATTCTTATAGGTTATGAGCCCACAGCTTTGAAGAACCTCAGAACGACCGTCTCACCTTTGATCAAATATTGCTTGCCACGATGGCCACTGCCGTTCCTGTCACGACGGACACCCTCCCGTCGAACGTACCCAAACTCGATATCAAGGGTACAAATTGGGCCATTTTCTCGTTGCGTTTTCAAGTCGCTGTCGAGGCCAAAGAGTTGTGGAAGCACTTCGACGGGTCTTGCCCCCGTCCTCCATCGCCCGTAACCACTGCAGAAATCACTGCTGTTGAGAAATGGCAGAAGAACGAGAACCTCGCGAAGCACCTACTCATGCAATGGATCCCCGACTCCACAGCTCTCCGCATTCGTGCCCTCGCAAACGTTGCGATAATGTGGGCTGAGATCGTTCGTGAGTATACAGAGAAAGGCGCGTATGCGCAAACAGATTTGCGTACCAAGTTTCTCGAATTGAAGTGTCCTGCTGGGCACGACGTGCGTCAGTTTCTGGACGACCTACGCGCGAAACGAGACGAACTGTCAGCAGTTGGCGTCGACATCGAAGAGAAAGACTATCGCTCTACCATCATTCAGTCCCTCCCCAACCATCTCGCGATCTTCGCGTCTGGGCAACTCGCAACTGCCAGACTCTACAGCACCACCAAGACAATCGACCCCGATATCCTCATATCCCTCATCATAGAGGAATCGGAACGGCGTACTAGCCGGGATGCGCGCCCCTCGCGAACCACAAGGTCCAGTGGTGCTGACCAGGCCTTGGGAGTAACGGATCATGCCGCTAGAGGACGGGGTGGTGGACGTTTCAGGGGACGTGGTTCGTCCTCTAACAGGCAAGGGAGGCCGCGTCCTCCATGCTGGAATTGCGGATCGCGAGAACACTTTAAGGCAGCCTGCCCCGAGCCAGATAAATCAGCAGGACATCGCGCTGACACAACAAAAGGATCTGCTCACGCAGCAGCTGACGACGATGACGAAGACGATGGCGTATTCGTCGTTGAGCACGCCACAGACTGTGACTCTGTGTGCTCACTCCCTGCCCTTTTGTCCATAGAGACCTCCGACTATGACGCGAATGAACGACTAAATCATGTCGTTAGCGACGAGGATTGGTTTTCGGAGGTAGGAGAGGATGACTTACCCTCTTTTGACGGTTGGGAGAGCCAGCCAGCATCTCCTATCAGTGGAAGCGTCACAGGCGCGATCGACAACATCAGTGAACCTCAGGGGGAGGAAGAATTTGCTGCCAAAGTCAGCACTGGGCGCGAGAACGGTGCCGTCGTCGAACTCTACGATTCTGGCACCACGCGCCACATCTCACCATACCGAGAACATTTCGAGACCATGTCCCCCATCCCACCCAAACCGTTCGTTGCTGCTAACAAACAGCGCTTCAATGCTACAGGCATCGGTGAACTCGTCATCGAAGTTCCTAACGGGATAGACGTCTCAAAGCTGCGGCTTACAGAGGTTCTGTACTCACCTGAGGTGGGGTACACTCTCGTGTCGATTGGCCGTTTGGACGACCTCGGATACTCCACTACCTTTGCGGATGGCACCTGCACCATCCACGATGCCTCTGAGAATGTCATTGGCACCATTCCCAAGGACGCTCGAGGGCTCTACCGCGTCGACCACGGACCAGACAGTGCGCACGCAGCAGACGAGACCATTACGGTCATGGAGCTACATCGGCGTATGGGTCACATAGCACCCAGCACCGCCAGGCGTCTAGCAGAACACGGCCTTGTAACCGGCGTCAAGGTGGATATGACGTCGGGCGAACCAACCTTTTGCGAGTCGTGCGTCTACGCAAAGGCGACCCGCAAGCCCGTGGCGAAAGTGCGTGAGGGAGAACGCGCAGCTGAGTTTGGGGGGGAAGTACACTCCGACCTATGGGGCCCATCGCCTGTTCCTACCTTAGGAGGACGTTGTTATTACATCAGTTTCACCGACGACAAGACTCGACTCACCTATTTGCACCTCCTGAAGCAGAAGCACGAAGCTTTCCAGGCATACAAGGATTTTGAGAGTTGGTGCAGCACCCAACAGAACGCTCGCATCAAGACCTTGCACTCTGATCGCGGTGGTGAATACCTAGGTAAAGAGTTCAGCACGCATCTCAAGGCCGCCGGTACTACGCACAAGCTTACCGTACATGACACTCCTCAACATAACGGAGTGGCCGAGCGATTGAACCGTACCTTACTTGAGAAGGTACGGGCCATGCTACACGAGAGTGGACTCCCTCGCTTCCTATGGGGCGAAGCTGTACGTCACGCCGTATGGTCGAAGAATAGGACACCTACCAAAGCTTTGGACGGTGCCACACCTCTTGAAGCAGCCACCGGGAGAAAGCCAGACTTGCGCAATGTTCGGCCATGGGGCTCTAGAGTTTGGGTGCGTACTGAGGGCGGGACCAAGCTTGGGGGGCGTGTTGAGGAAGGACGATGGCTAGGGATAGATGACGCGAGTAGGAATGGGCACAGGGTATATTGGCCCTCCAAACGGTCAGTGGCTGTTGAAAGAAATGTCTATTGGGACTCCACGGAGGTCACGACGACACCTCGCGAGGGGGAGGAAGAAGATCAGAGCCCAAACGCGATGATATCGTCGCCATCTTACTCACCTCCTGACCCTACCCCACCAGCCACCATCCCAAGAACTCCAACTGCCATTCCCCACTCCAAGATCCCCATCCCATCAGCTTCCCCGATCCTCAATATAGTCGCCAAGAGAGTTCGAAAACCAAGTCGACGAGTCCTGGACATAATCGATGGAAGCGGTCCTGTCCCAAAAGGAGTTCAGCTCCCTACACCAGAAACCACAGCCGAAGAAAGGACTCACTTTGTTGGAGAGGAAGCAGCAGAACAACTCATGGCCATCCTGGAAGAAGAAGACGACGTCGCAGAACTCTCACTAGCACTTGTTGAATTCACCGCAGAAGCTGAAGCACTTGAACCCACTAGTCTTGCTGAGGCTAAACGACGTCCAGATTGGCCTTTGTGGGAAGGAGGAATTAGAGAAGAACTCACCACCCTTGCAACAGCCGGAACTTGGGAGTTAGTAGACCCTCCTGCTGGCGCCAACATAGTAGGGTCGAAATGGGTGTTTAGGGCCAAGAAAGATGCGGCCGGCAATATTGTTCGTCACAAGGCACGCCTCGTCGCCCAGGGTTTCTCGCAAGTCCCTGGAGTCGATTATTTCGATACTTACGCACCAGTTGCCAAACTGGCATCCATCCGAACCGTCCTAGCGTTGGCTGCACGATTAGACTTGGAGATACACCAGATCGATATCAAAGGTGCTTACCTAAACGGTGAGCTAACTGGAGATGAAGTCATTTACATGCAACAGCCACCGGGTTTTGCCTCACCGGAATTTCCCCATCGTGTTTGCCTTTTGCGCAAAACTCTATACGGCCTCAAACAAAGCGGCAGACGCTGGTACCAGAAGTTAGTGGAAATCCTCGTGGAGAAGTTAGGGTTCAAGCAGTGTGAGGTGGATCAAGCTGTTTTCTTCAAGAAGCCGAAGACTGGTGAGCGCATCATCATCGTTGTCCACGTTGACGATTGTACTCTCGCTGCATCGTCTCTGGACCTTATCGCCCAGTTGAAAAACGACATCCGTGCCCACGTCGAGATCACTGATCTAGGCGAGTTGCACTGGCTCCTTGGGATAGAAGTAACCAGGAATCGCGACCACCGTACCATCTCCCTTTCCCAGCTATCCTATATCGACTCTATCGTTCGTCGTTTCGGCCTTGAGGACCTCAAACCAGTGTCCTGTCCAATGGAACCGCACATCAAGTTGCACTCAGACCAATCACCATCGACTGGAGCAGAGTACGCCGCTATGCGGCACATACCATATAGAGAAGCAGTAGGATCTCTCATGTACGCATCCCTTGGGACTCGCCCTGACATCTCATACGCGGTAACGACCGTATCCCGTTTTTCCCAAAACCCTGGACAATCTCATTGGGACGCCGTTCGCCGTATCTACAGGTACTTGGTTGGAACCAAGGATTTACGCCTAACGTATGGAGGAGTAGAGAGCACGCTCACTGGTTTTGCCGATGCAGATGGAAGTATGGCGGAAGACCGCCGCGCAGTCTCTGGATACGCCTTCTTGATAGATGGCGGCGCTGTATCTTGGTCGTCGAAACGTCAAGAGATTGTTTCGCTTTCAACAACTGAAAGCGAGTATGTGGCCGCTACTCACGCTGCAAAGGAAGCCTTATGGCTACGTTCGCTCATTGGAGACCTTTTCGACCCCATCACTGAACCAACTACCCTCTTCTCTGACAATCAGTCCGCCATTGCCCTTACAAAGGATCACCAATACCACGCACGCACCAAGCACATCGACGTGCGCTTTCATTTCATTCGCTGGGTAATCGAGGACGGGAAACTACGCTTAATCTTCTGTCCTACGGGAGACATGATAGCTGACACCCTTACGAAGGCTCTCCCCTCTCCCAAAGTTAAACACTTCGCCTCCCAACTCGGACTACGCGCGGCTTGAGGGGGAGTGTTGGAATACGCAAGCACGCTCGCAGCCGAGGTGTAACGTCATCGCCCTTATTGTTTTCGTTTCGACATGTATGTTCCTGATATGCGCTCTTGTTCTGTCATATTTCTTTTGTCGTTTGTCTCACTTACTTATACGTTCAAACAAGAGCATTCGCGATTATATAGTTCACGCAGTTTTCACGTTAGAACCTCAGACGTTTGCATTCACGCAACGACTGAGGTAAGGAACTCCTTTTCGACTCGTATATTTACCTTACTAAATGCTACGTACAGTATCTGTTCCTTACAGGTAAATATACCAAAAGACGTTTGCATTCACGCAACGACTGAGTATCTGTTCCTTACAGATCCGCGTGAATATTATTTTGTCATTCTTATACACAGGAAGCAACAGTTTGAGATGAGATTCTGAGAAGTGGCTCGTCGGGGGGAGAATATAACTGAATCAACGCGACATTTGCAAACTGCCAGTCTTCTTCGTGGCCAGGATCTGCTTCAACAGATAGTCGTGTAAAATATAAGACTTCGCCGAAGCGAGTCTGTCCGTCAAGATCAATCTAAATACAAGCATTAGAATTAGTTAGTAGTAGACAATAAATTACGGGCGCACCTTTACGTTCCGTGAAATACGTATCTTATCCAATGGCTTGAGGGTTTCTCGCCAAGCGGAACGAGCAACCTGCCCATTTGGCAGCAAAAGACGTGCCCATTTTTTGATCCGCTGAAGTACCTGCCCTGCTCCGAGGAAACGAGCAAATACTTCAGCATGCTCTGGATCTGGTAGACGAAAGTACCGGTCACGTTTCCGTAAGAGAGCATAACCATCTCCGAGGTTGACTGAACCGGTAGGGAGGCCCTTGGGAGGCTCGTCGAGCTCAGGCAAGACAGAAAGTAGTGTGTTGACTTGGCAACGTCGGAGTCCCTCTTGTGAGAGGTTAGTGTAAGGATTTGACGGTTGTCGAATTTCTTGGCCGAGGTTTCCAATTGTGCGCTCCATGGTCCACTGCGCATAGCAAATCGGAGGCCCCTTACGTAGAGTCTCGGGAGCAAGGTGGTTGACTTGATGTACACATGGCCGGATAAACTGTAGTCGATCTTCGTGACGCTGGTAATACAATGTTTCGAATTCTTTCTCCCAGTTGCAAAGAAGAACGTGCGCGTGTCGAAGATCTTCAGTGGTGATGTGATGCTGACATAAGAGCTGGAAACCACGAACGAGTTTACAGTAGTTTAGCCAATAGGGCTGGGGGAGGACACCGTAAAGAAGGGCAGGACCGAGACCAAAAGTATACAGCTGGAACTCCCAGGTCTTGTAGCTCATATTAAGCTTCTCGGCGATGTTCCGTGGCTTGCGGTCAAAAGATCCGGGGAGGTATGGTCCTGCCGCCTCAACGAGTCTACCATGAGCTTCCCAGGCATCTCGGTCTTTGAGAATGGCCCAATCCCACCTATCCACATCATCCGATGGGCCGCAGTCCATTGTTCCACGCCAGAGACTGATGTTGAGGTCACTGAGATTGCCGGCAATGTGCATGATGTCCGTCGTCATACAGTGAGGAACTCCGAGACAGTGGGTAGGTTTGAGGCCGAGAATTAGGGGGGGCTTGGTGATGCCGGTGTGGGTCTTATTTTTGTCCAACTGGCGCTGGTTCGGAGACGCTACGAGCAGACGTAAGTTTTCGGCATATTCGTCCGACCCTCCTGGTGGAATCTTGAACACCTGAATATCAGGATGTCCGCTACCAGGAGCACACCTATGCGGCTTGAGGAGAGCGGGGTAGTAGTGACTTCCGCGAGTTTTTCGTCTGCCCCTCACGCCGCAGTATAGACGACACCCATTCTTGCCACTATGGCCGACCATGCCGTCCCAATATACGAGGCCAGGGCCGTCGGCCGTCGTGTAAAGGAGATGGAGGTCAGAAATAAAATGAGCGTCGCGAGACGCATCCCAAATTGGAAGACCTTCGTTCTGGAGAGCTGCCAGGTGGTGCATGCCCACGACGAGGAAAGAGTCGAGATTCTTGGGCTTATTGGGCCCTGGTATGAATCCTCCAGGTCGGACATGTATTTTTTTATAACGTTTGTCGGGGGCGATATTGACGATAACCCAAATGTACATCCAACAGTCCGACTGTTTGCTTTCGTAGAGTTGGGCCCCGTCGAGCGAGACCATGAGGATAATGTCGTTTTCCTTGATGTGCCCGTCGTTAACCATGTCGAGGTAGTCATAACCCATCGCGATGTCGTCTATAACGGGAATTCGGCCTGTGCGCTCTAACTCGGCGAAGATTTCCTGCGTGCGTTGATGGAGATAGTGCATATCTTGCGCACTCTCTGGGTTCCGGTACACGGCTTGGAGTTGCGGGCCTATTGGAATGGTGATGAACTTTTGCGCAGCGACCTTTAGCCGTCCGCCGCTTGCTTGCATTTTCGCCTGGTCCCAGCGAGATGTCCCGCACAAGGGACAATTGTCTTCATCAGCATACGGACCAGTGAATGCGATACACGAGTCTGGGCACATATCATGCTCAACAGACTCGACTCCGGTGTATTTCACAATGAACTTCTCGACGGCATAAAAACTTAGTATCTCATCAACTCCCTCTGCACCCTCAAAGTTGCGTGTTGTAGCTCTACATATCCGGTTGTAGGCATCTTGAGAAGAGTGTTCAAGGGCAAGATACATAGATATGCTCTGCCGAACTCCGGGGCTCTCGATCATTCCAGGTTCTCGGTGCGGGTTGCGCAGCCTTTCCAGGACATCGCTACTCAGTTTCGCAATTGGGTCCTCGAGCGAGGCATTTCGGAGTAGGTTCACAAATACCATGGTGTCCTGCATCTTCTGCATCACCGCGCTCTGGGTGAGCTAGTCGATGTCGATGTTGGGCCTAACCCTAGGCCCAACATCAATCTGATGTTCGTTATCGGGAGGAGGGTCGTTGAGAGGAGGAGGGTCGTTGAGAGGAGGAGTATATCTACTACTAGGTTGAAACGACGTTACCGTAGTGTACTGCGAAAGCTGTGCGATAGCAGCAATACGACATTACCGTAGTGTACTTGATGCGATCGATGCGACGATGCGACGATGCGACGATGCGACGATGCGACGATGCGACGATGCGACGATGCGACGATGCGTGGGATGTGGTTGTGCAATGCAATGGTGTATATGTGTACGACGCAATGTATACAAAATGATGTGAAAGTATAAAGTAGCACAGACCAGCACGAACGGCCATAGGACGAAAAGGGAAATACAGGTCTCAGCATCTGCCGGCTGTTTCCAGCACAGGCAGTTTTCACTGGGGTTGATGGACGTAACTTGAAGCGTTCGAAATCGAAGTTCCGGGAGTTGGCGCCCCCGGTGTTAGGTGACGTATCATTTTACATACATAAGGTCGGCCCATCAGAAATGTGCCTCGTGGGCTAGCTCCCGCGAAGGCAATGGAGAGCCTCAATGGGTATACATCTTCTCGTCGCTCTCATTTCACATCTTCACTCACAACCCGTCGACATTTTGGTGTACCCTCGCTCCAATCCCTACCACCTTTCACCGAGATCCACGCCCACTGGCAGGGCAGTCGTACCACATCTCTAACGGTCGTTTGGAATATTAGTTCTGAAGTGTGATTGAGGGATGCTGATGAACGGGAGCGGAAGGATGTCAGGATTCGTTTAACCTCAAGAGTCAGAGTAAAGGCAAGGGAGCTTGGAGATATACTACTCTCATCAAGTCCACGAAGACTCGAGCTGTTGATGGACATAAAGTCAGGAATGTCATGAAAAGACATGGAGGCAGATTTGATAATGATAAGATGCCCCGACACCAAGATGGAGACAAAGTTGGCAAGGTATGGGGTTCCTCCATTTTGAATGAAACGCAGCTCTTACATTCTCCGTTCGTAGGCTGCTCCAAAGATCGGAGAAACGAATATTGGGTTCAGGATGCTTGCTTCGACGAGGTGGGCAGAAGGAGACAGGATTAGTGGCAATGCCTCCATTGGGATTGATGCGCCTTTAACAGCCATCATCAAGAACACGAAGCTGGGTCTGGGCGCGACTCAATAGTCACATCTTCAGAGCAAGATCTAATACCTTCCATGACCCCTATTAACCTAAGCCCTGATGAAGCACAGCAAGTCCGCCGTCCTTATGGATAGCGCAGTCTGAATGTCATCTAGCTACTGGACATCACAATCAAATATAGTCGGGCATATTTCATTGTCTCGTCACCAAGCTTCCTGGGAGAAATTCACCGTCGGCCGTGGGAGATTTGCGGTGTGGTTCACGGTTTGAGGTGGCGGGACCCCTGGCACCAGACCCATAACCTGGTGGAGGGGGAAGGGGGGCAAACGAGGCGGATGCTGCGCGTTTCGTCGTTTGAAGGGCCGGGGTGAAAGCGAGAATGCAGGAAAGGTGTATTATTCATCAAAGTAGGTAGGTGGTTGGTTTTCTAGGTAGGTACAAATTAGCTAGGGAGTTTAGTGGGGGAGTTAGTTAGTGTACTATGTTCGAATTAACAATAATGCCGTCCTGGGCGTGCGGAAGGAGCAGACACAAACGGAAGAGGGAACAGGGAAGGAAAAGGCCAAAGGTAGGTGGTGGAGAGGCGTGCACCAGTGGAACTTCGAGTCCGAGTGCAAACAACGGGAAAAACACGCTGGTCCGTCGTCGTCGTCGTCGGTCGTTTGTCATCGTTTGTCGTCGTCGTCGTACCAACTCACTAGCGAGGGCTGCACGTCTCCTCCCAGCGCTGGGCGAGAGCGCTGTCTGCGGCAAGTAAGTCCCTCCACTTGCGAGCAACGTCGACATCCTTGCTCATCAGCCTTGCCACACCAGACTTCAGGTATGTGAAGGCCCCTTTGGCATCTGAGTGGCCGAGGCTGCCACCAAAGAATGTGCGAGCCGCTGCGGCGTCCTGTGCATCTCGTTGCACACGCTGACGTTGCAGAGTGTCGCAGATCTGGGTGTATCCAGCACGCTGTCCACTGGCGTCACTCCATGCTGCCCAGAATGCGTCGTCTGACGCGAAACGTGACCGCTCCTCGACGATGAACTGTGGTTCAAATGGATCAGTGGTCCAAAGGTCTTGTGCGTGAGTACTAAGTATAACTCACCTTCCATTGCCCCCACTGAACTTTTCGCAGCGCCCATGCCTTGCTGTTCTCCCCCGCACATTTCTTGTACACCTCCCCCCAGTACTTGATGGGGATTCCGCGCCCATTCACGACCAGGTACGTCGAGCAGTGCCACTCTCTGAACAGAGCACTGACGTCAGTTGAGAACTGCACCGCCGGTGGGCGCATGACAGCGGTCTTGTCAAATGCCAGCTCTCCATCTTCGAGCTGGACGACGGCAAGATTTCTTGGTGGGATGGTGTGTGCAGGTACGGGGACTGGGTTGGTGACGGCCTGCATCGACAATGCAGACACCACTGGGCGAGTCACAGTCGGTACAGTGGGTGCTGCAGGCTGGTCTGCAGGCTGAAGAGGCCAAAGTGGGTGCTGAGGCACGCTGTTGCCTGACGCATGATCGAAGTTGGCGTGGTTGAAGAGGGGGGCGATTTCACGAGCAACCCTCTTGCTGATCCCAATCTCTAGGTCATATGCGCGCTCTATGAGTGTGTCCTCCAGGCCTGCGACGGTACGCTCCAAGCGTCTGAAGCGCAAACTCAAGCTTCGACCATCCTGATAAGGAATTCATTTAGCTAATTTGGCGCTGATGCGCACGTTCCACCAAACAAGACACAAGCGCACCTCAGCGGTCAGTTCAGCCTCGTCAGGAAGTGATATTTGTGGGTTCCTCAAGTTGGGCTGAGTCGAGCATGGTGATTCTGTCGGTGGTGAAGGAGCGGGCAGCGCAGTGACTTGTCGTGTGGTAGTAGGCTTGCTCTGCCAGGCTTCGATGTTTTGCAGGACTTCAGTTGCCTTGCCAATCTCGCCCGTTAGCATGCGCTGGTAACACTCAGAGGCCTCAAGACTTACCCAAGCATCATTGCTGTTGATGTCAGCGGGTGTGAGACTCTGCACCATGCGGCTGATGCCACCCCGCTTGCTCTTGTGCTGCACTAAAGTCAGCTCGTGCTCCCCAAACTGCGACGTGATTAGTGATGTGCAAAGCCCGGCTTCAGGCCGTGGGCCGAGCCAAGCCGAGCCCATTTAGGCCGGGCCAAGCCGAGCCTTGAGGACGGCCCATAAGGGCTCAAGGCCCGGCTTGAGGTATCTGTAAGCCTGAGCCGGGCCCTCGAGCCACGGCTTTCAATGGGAGTAACACTGGCAGATCATAGATGAGTATTTGAGTACTTCTGCTCGTTTGCGTGCATCTGCATTTGTTCGTATGTAATTCTGCGTGTTCTCACTTACACATACTCATTTATAAATTGTTGCACGTGACACTTTGTTTGTTCGGAACGGGTCATTCATGCTTGCATCCTGTTCATTCACCACTCGTATCTTCACACTCGTGCTCATATTGCACTCATTCCAGCTTGTGTACACCTGTTCTGACTTGTCCCTCGTCGTTCTCATTCATCTGGGCTTGCCTGGCCTCATTTTGGTTCATTATGGCTTGTCCCTTGGCATTCTCATCCATCTAGACTTACCTGCACTCGTCTGGACTCTTCTGCATTCGTCTGCATTCGTCTGGACTTGCCTGAACTCGTTTTGACTTGCCTCTATTCATCTGGGCCTGCCTGCACTTGTTTGGACTCGTCTGCATTCGCTTGTACTTGCCTGCACTCATTCTGCATTCGTTTGAACTCATCTGCATTCGCTTGGACTTGCCTGAACTCATTTGGACTTGACTTGGCTTGTCTGTATTCGTCTGGGCTTGTCTGCAAACGTTTGGACTTGACTTGGCTTGTCTGCATTCATCTGGACTCGCCTGCAATCGTTTGGACTTGCCTGCATTCATTTGCGCTTGCCTGCACTCGTTTGGACTTGTCTGCATTCATCTGCATTCGTCTGGACTTGTCTGCGTTCGTTTGGACTTGCCCTGGCTTGTCTGTATTCGTCTGGGCTTGTCTGCACTTGTTTGCACTTGCATGCATTCATCTGGACTTGCATGCACTCGTTTGGACTCATTTTCATGTACGTTGGTGCCCGTGCATTTTCGACAGCCGTTAATGATATCACACAATTTTTTGCATAGCAAGCCGCGGCCTAAGCCTAGGCCGAGCCGAGCCTAGCCTGAGCCGTCAAGGAAGGCTCGGCCTGCAATCTCAGTGAGCCTGAGCCCAATCAAGCCGAGCCGTGGCCCCGGCTTTTGAGCCGGGCCGGGCCGTGCACATCACTAGACGTGATGCGCTGTGCTGACAATTTCGCCATTCGTTTACCGGTGTAGCTTCCTCTCGTGCCCTTTTGTGTGGGTTGGAAGAGGCTGTGAAGCACGGTCAACTTGCCAGGAACATCAGACGGAGCCCTAGCCTGATGATCAACTCACAGTCTCCAGCTACTGTCGTCAGTCGCATACTCACGCAGTCGTTCGATGAGGTCGACTTTCTTTCCAGTAGACTGGAGGCCATATTCCTTGAGCTTTTCTCTCAGCACCTTCACTGTCGTGTCCTGCCGTCTGTGATTTTGAGTCAGCCGCTACCTTCATCATGGTGAGTGAAATAGAATCCACATGCAAAAATCCACCATCTCTGGCTGCTCATTGGCTCCAAGCATTTTCCCCAGGACAGGGAGGCTGATGATCTCCGCGGGAGGCATACTGACGAGTGGGTGACAAGAGAGATGTTTTAGCCGAACTCCTGAGATAGGGGGTTCAATTCTCGGCGATCACACTGCTTAATGATACCACTACTACCGTCTGCACCACGGCCACCACCGTCGACGACATATCTCACGCCATGGAGCTGCACACACCTCCTCTAGGGGGTGCAAAGCGCTACCTTACTGATGCTGCAGCAATGGTAACATACGAGGCTGTTGCCAATGACCAGGAGGAGGAGATCGAGTCATTGATGGCTGCTGCTGACATTGACGACAAGCAGCAGTCATCGAGTGGCACTTACTTACGCCAGCCAGCGGAACCCTCGAAAAAGCGCAAGCTAGACAGTGACATGATGTTGAAGAACTTGAAGACGGCCTCACAGAACATCATCGTGAGCAACACGCTGTCTGAATACAAAAGGTGAACATCTTCACGTCCCAGCCATATTCTACATCTAATTGCCTTGCTTTCAGGCTTTGGGAGCAGTTCAAAAACTTCTGCTGCAACGTTGACAAGGTTAAGCATGCCAGCGATGTCGAGGACCTCTACCCAGATCTCCCTGCCGACTTTCCAGAATGGATTGCAATGTGGATCATGGACAAGTTTGTGTCTTGCATTCACTGCCACGTTCATGCATGCTGACGGCGAATGCATTAACAGAGCTGACGACGTTGATATATTCACTGGAAAAGCAAAAGAGCTGACTATGACACGTGTCACGTATGCCACCGCACAAAAGATGCGTGCCGCGATCAGCCACAAGTACGGACGTGACCATGGACGTGGCACACAACCATGGCTGGAGGACTCTTTACGACCAGGCCATTTCAGGGGAAACCCTTCACTCTCTGTCACAGTATCGCAATATATGATCAGCCTTGGTCGTCGGAAGGTCAGCACTCACATCCCAATGCTTGTGGCCCGTGTTCTCACATTCTAGGAACAGGTTCGTGCAGGTGAGGTGGTGACCAGTGCCCGCGCCATCGATGAACAAACCATGAAGGAACTGTACGAGCATAACATCAGCTTTGTCGATGATGATCTCGGACCAGCATCCAAAAAAAGGAAAGCACAGGCACCCCAGAACTGGGCTGGCTCGACCACCCGCTTAATGCTTCAGTTGATGTTCAACACGGCCATGCTCGTGTTGCTTCGCTTCGAGGAAGTCCTTCGGATCACCTGGAATGATGTTCAGTTTGAACACTGTCAACCTCAGCATCTTCGGCGTGTTCATCTCATGCTTCCCTTCCGCAAGACGCATCAATATGGGGGCATCGTGCCATTCTACTTGTACGAAAACCGAGAGAAGCCTTGGATGTGTCCAGTTCGCCTGTGGGCAGCTTGGTGGTGGCGTTGTCGGGAGCTCAACATTGACGTGAATGGGTACGTGTTTCGGAAAAAAATGGGCAGAGATGGAGTCAGTGCCAGTCCGCACGATGCAATGGTAAGGAATGCTCGTGGTTTGCATGGTGTGGCCGCGCTGCTGATACATCATGCCCTCAGACCGCGGACTCCTTCCTGGAGTGCTTTCGCAATAATCTCCTGGACATCGGCATTGATCCGCGGCCCTATGGCACCCACTCGTTCCGCCGTGGAGGCTGTCAGTATCTTGCGATGGTGCTAAGGTGGCCGCTCCGGCAGATCTGCACATGGGGAGGCTGGGCGGAGAACTTCGACAACCCTGGAACAATCTTCAAATACCTCCTCTCGTGGAATGATGCACCTCTCCTCCAGAGAGAAGACTACTTCAACCCGGACCGAGCAGGTAGTGACCCGTGCACAAACTGTGGTCGCACTTGCTCGTGTGCATGAATCAGGCAGTGGGCTGTAGTTGCAGTTGATTGACACAATTAAATTGAATTAATGGGCATTGAATTTGTAAAAAACCACTTGACTAAGGATTCTAAGGTCTTCGGGCGTGACACAGTGTGAACGCCACAAGAACACGTAGCTCGAGCGTAGGCTTGACACAGCGTGAACACAAAACACCATAATTGAGATAAGAATGCGTAGTTCGAGCGTAAGCATGACACAGCGTGAATGCCAGAATATAGCACAGCGCAGGCTCGAGAAGCGTAGGCTTGACACAGCATGAACGCGAGTTCCTGTAGACTAGAGTAAAGGTGAGGGGTAATACAACAACGTGTTCAGGCCACGAACTCACTCACTTGGTCTTCGAGCAATGATATAGTGACTCGGCAATGGCGGGGGGGGGACCTCAAGCCCAGTCCTCCTTGCGCTAATGGCAGCTGGGCATTTCACACCAGCGATAGATGCAGGTGGAGGTTCGGAGGGAGATCCAGGAGGCGAGGGATAGAACATGGAGGGAGAGATCCAGGAGGCGAGGGATAGAACATGGGTAAATATTAAGAACACCAGATAGGACTGGGTGGAGAAGGCAGTAGGCGAGGGATGAGCGGAGAAGGCGGTAGGCGATGGGTAAATATTTTTTAAAAAAAAAGGCAGGACGAGCTCGAGGTGGAGAAGGCAGTAGGTGAGCAAATATTAAGAACACCAGATAGGATGAGGATGAGCGGAGAAGGCAGTATGCGAGGGATGAGAGGAAGAAGGCAGTAGGCGATGGGTAAATATTAAGAACACCAGATAGGACGAGCTCGAGGCGGAGAAGGCAGTGGGGCGACGGGTAAATATTAAGAACACCGGATAGGACGAGCTTGAGTGGAGAAGGCAGTAGGCGAGGGATAGAACAAGAGGGAGGAAGGGTGAACATTAAGAACACCAGATAGGACGAGCTTGAGCGGATAGAAGAGGGAGGAAGGGTAAATATTAAGAACACCAGATAGGACGAGCTTGAGCGGATTGTTCACCTAGGAAGGAATAAAGCAAGAAGTATTCGGCTCCAGGGCAGATGGTAGCCAGTAGTTGAGAGTCTCGTCGATGTGCACTAGCGCAACGGTGACAACAGCACACGAACAAGCGGCATCACCAGTCAACCATTTTCCTGAGGTCATCGATGCCAAACGCGGAGACCTCCGCCGCAGAATGGCAACCTCGCCCACAAACACGGAGACGGTGTGCCAAAATGAGCCACGCGTGGCAGTATGTCACCCTAGGTACATAGGACGGTAAATCTCGAGACCGTGAAGTTTTCAGGCGGGAACACTTCGTACCTTGGGTTTGGCTGGCGCGCCTGCGAGAAAAAGAGACCAAGCAGACAGCTGCGGGTCGAGAAATTTGCGGTTTCTGTGGGAAATTTACGGTTCTTTGACGGCATCAGCTCGCTTGGCCCTTTCTGGCACTCAAGTTCGGCTCTCACCTCGTCAACACGTCAACCCAAACTTGAACTGATGCCACGCTCGTCCTTCCCTCCGCTGCCTCCAGCCTCCCAGCCTGCCCAGATCCACATAAACCGCGCCAATACGTGCCCGGCGCAGCCGCCCGTCAATGGCCCTTCGTTTCGAACGTGTCGGACCGTTCGTTCGTCCTCGAACGCGCTGACAAGTCGTCCTCCCGCTCCCCGCCAGCACAGCACGCGCCTATTCCCTTTCGGGAAGGCTGATGTAAGCCTGTGCTGCGACGGTGAATTTCCTGATGCGAAACCCTTCTTCCTACAATATTCTGCTCAGTGTTCGCGTCATCTCACTGCCTTTTCCTGCATTCTTCTATAGTTCACACGGCTGTAATCGTGAATTCACTAATGCCACAGCCTTAGTACTTGGTACTAGTTCTTACTACATATACAACTTCAGCGCTCACTGAACCATTTACTCTCCAGGTTTCAGTGCTCGAATTTCTATGTGCGTGTGTATTACAATTCAAACATATCCACCTGGATTTTGTACTCATGAAAGGCACAGTGTCATCTTCGCCCAATTACGCTCTTCAGCTTCATCCTCCCTGTGTTCTTGACCAGTGACAGTCCAGTGTAACTTGATAATAACAGCATGGCAGACAGGGTGCAAGAGTGTCGAGTGGCCTTGCAGAGCTGTCCCCCCGGTCATTCTGATCTATCAGCGTTTCTCAACAGTCTTGCCCTCAGCCTTCAAAACAGATTCGAGCAGCGGGGCGCCCCGTCTGACCTTGATGAGGCCATCGAGCTCTATCAGGCTGCACTACTCCTTCTTCCCCCCGGTCATTCTCATCGATCGATGACTCTCAACAATCTTGCCCTCAGCCTTCAAAACAGATTCGAGCATCGGGGCGTCCCGTCTGACCTTGATGAGGTCATCGAGCTCCATCAGGCTGCACTACTCCTTCGTCCCCCCGGTCATTCTGATCGATCGATGACTCTCAACAATCTTGCCCTCAGCATTCAAAACAGATTCGAGCAGCGGGGCGTCCCGTCTGACCTTGATGAGGCCGTCGAGCTCCATCAGGCTGCACTACTCCTTCGTCCCCTCGGTCATTCTGATCGATCGATGACTCTCAGCAATCTTGCCTTTAGTCTTCAAAACAGATTCGAGCAGCGGGGCGTCCCATCTGACCTTGATGAGACCATCGAGCTCTATCAGGCTGCACTACTCCTTCTTCCCCCCGGTCATGCTGATCGATCGATGACTCTCAACAATCTTGCCCTCAGCCTTCGAAACAGATTCGAGCAGCGGGGCGTCCCATCTGACCTTGATGAGGCCGTCGAGCTCAATCAGGCTGCACTACTCCTTCTTCCCCCCGGTCATTTTCGTCGATCGATGACTCTCAACAATCTTGCCCTCAGCCTTCAAAACAGATTCGAGCAGCGGGGCGTCCCGTCTGACCTTGATGAGGTCATCGAGCTCCATCAGGCTGCACTACTCCTTCGTCCCCCCGGTCATTCTCATCGATTGATGACTCTCAACAATCTTGCCTCTAGCCTTCGAAACAGATTCGAGCAGCGGGGCGTCTCGTCTGACCTCGATGAGACCATCGGGCTCTATCAGGCTGCACTACTCCTTCGTCCCCCCGGTCATTCTGATCGATCGACGACTCTCAACAATCTTGCCTCTAGCCTTCAAAGCAGATTCGAGCAGCGGGGCGTCCCGTCTGACCTTGATGAGACCATCGAGCTCTATCAGGCTGCACTACTCCTAGTTATGTCACCACTCGGCTCGGCCCAGCCCGGGTTCGGCTTTTACCAGCTACACCTGTAGTTCGGCTATTCCCGTAAGCTGAACCACTTTGTCCAGCTTGGTTTGACCTGTTAGCTGTGTGAATCGGCTACAAGCCATGACTCCAGCAACATCGACTCGAGCTGGTTCAAGCTGGTTGCAGTCGGCTTCAGTCACGTGGAAGTTGAACTATCTTCTTTCTGTGCGTCGTTGACTCGTTGTCCATTCATTCAATTTCATTGTTCAATCCCTCACTGCAATATTCAGTCCTGTTGTAAAGCATGAAGGCCCCGAATCGCATTGATGGTAGATTTAGGCTGGAAGATATTTTGGGGTCTGGTTCATATGGTGCGTTCATATGATATTGATTCAAATTCAGGTTTTCAACATACATTAATGTTACTAGCTGTTGTGTACCGTGCGCAGAACTTCCTCAATGATGACATTGTTGCTATCAAACTCGAGCCAGTCACCAACAAACCATCTTCTGTGGAGCATGAGCATGAGATTCTCAAGCAACTTGAAGGTGGAGTTGGGATTCCCCGCGCCCTTTGGTTTGGCAGGGAGTCAACACATTACGCCTTGGCTCTCGACCTCCTCGGGCCGTCACTATACGATCTCTTCATTGCATGCAACCACAAATTTAGCCTTCAAACTGTTGTTAATTTAGGAGACCAGCTGGTACCGTTTATCAATTTGTTGTTCGCTACTGCAGATACTAATATATTTTCCAGCTGTCGCGTCTCGAGTATATTCACTCACATGACATTGTTCATGGGGATATCAAACCGCATAACGTCTTAGTGGACCATTCAAGACAAACTACCTATATCATCGATTTCGGTATCGCGAAGAAGTACTGGAACAATGCAACCAAATCCCACATCCCGTTTCGCCGAGGTCGACATCTCACAGGCACCCCCGCCTTTGCTTCAATCAACAATCACTTGGGATTGGAGCCGGGTCGTCGTGACGATCTCGAATCACTTGCTTACATGCTAATATATTTCTTGCGCGGCTCCCTTCCATGGTTAAATAGTGACCATGAGAGGCTGTCCAGCTCCGTCATACTCGAGCGCAAAGGCGATACCAGCATTGCTGATTTATGTGGTGGAATTCCTGCTGCATTTGCAAATATTCTCGTCTACTCGCGCTCTCTCTCATTTTCAGAGGATCCCGATTATGACCATCTTCGTTCTTTCCTTCACGATCTTCGCACTGCAGGGCCCGCACCAGCTATGCACTCCCTGGATTTCAATTGTCACGCTGCACCCTCCCCTCAACGTTCTCAAGTCTCTGAATCGGTGCCCCTATGTCAGCCGAAGACGCCTGTTCGTAAATCAACTCGTGTGTAAGTAGTTTCGTTTATCTTTACATATTGATTTATGAACTCATCGTTTGCAAGGTTACGTCCGCGCAATGGTACCGTAATGCCTGCACCTACTCCTGTCTCGCGTCGAATGAAGAAAAGAGTTCTATAGTCTACTTCTTATTCTTCTTTTTTCAGTACTACTTATCTGCGCAGTGCGCTTGTTTTTTGATATGATGTGACTCATGTGAGAGTATATCTACATATGTGTATATTGTACATGGTCTGTGCGCATGCTGCATAATTCCCGTATTAACTCCCACATGCCACGATACTGAGATAGATGCCCTTTCAATGTTATCACCCACGCTTGATTGAACTTCAACTTTATCTTGATCATTCCCTGAGTCAAGAATCGCAACCAACACTATCATTCAATCATCCGATCTCTCCCAGACTCCCACTCCTCAGCAGGAATCACCCTCAATATCATCTTAATGTATCTACTCGCGTTCTCCACATGGAGATTACACCTAATGCACCTTGATTCTGTGCCATCGTGCACATCGGTATTTTCCTGGGTCTCCCCAGAATGAAAGTATATAAAGATAGGTGAGTCTGTCGTTGCATCTCCAGCATCCAACACTACTAACATGCAACGTCGTGGCGGCCGTCGTCGCAAAAACACCAATATCCCCCAGGTTGAGGAGACTCCTCCTGCTCCCGTACTTGTCGCTCTTGCGCCTTCCATACCTATCGCTCCTGCTGCACCCGTTCCTGTTACTCCTGCGTCTTCCTTACCTGTTCCTCCTGCACCTTCCATACATGTCGCTCATGCGGCTACTCCTTCTGGACCTGCCGCACCTGTTCCTGCTGCAACTACCACTGCAGCAGCTGCAATCGCTACTACTCTTCACCGCCCTAGGAGACAACGACAACTTCCTCACCGATTCCGGGCGGACAACGCAGCTCATCCAGATGATGGCGAGTATATCGACATAGATAACGTCAGCGGCGGCAGTGAAGATGATGCCAACCCGCCTGAAGTCATAGCCGACGTGAATGCAAACCTGAGTCCACTACATACCGCGACTAGCACTCTCGCCACAAATCCCTTGGCCACGAGAAAACGAGGCCTCAAGACTACTGCTGATATCCAGTTTTTCTTCAGGAAGAACTCAGATACTGGCGAGCGAATTTGTGTGCCGTGCGAGTGAGTGACATTTGAGAGTCTTTCTGCTCTTTCTCACCCCCTTTACCAGGGATTACCATAAGGCCGACTCATCCTGTCCCCTTGCGGTTTATGGTCCATCCACGAGCAACAGTCCTCTCCGTGCCCATATATACAAGGTTCATATCGAACTTTATCTCCAGGAGTCCGAGAAGCAGCAATGGCCAATCGGCATACATACTGTAGGGACTCGCCTTAATGAAGGCTGGACCTTCGCCGAGATGCTGGAACGACTCAAAGTTCCCACTTGCACAATCGAGACGCTTGGCCCTCCCCCCAGTCGCGGCGATGGTAGTTTGCAGCTGATTGTCGGAAGGTCAGAAGTTTCAGACTTGCCAAGCTTCTCCATCGAGGAGATGCATAAACACATTGTGAGGTTTATCGTGGCTGACGATCAGGTGCGTACTGTCTACCATTTGTGTACTCTCATTAACGTCTATCTCTAGCCGATTAGTGTTGTCGAGTGTCCCGAGTTCCGCCGGCTGCTCTGCCTCTTGCGGCAAGACCTAAAGGAGTCCGATATCCCCCATCGTTCAAAGTTCCGGCAACTGATCATTGACGCTTGGCATGAATACTTTACAGTAATTAAACTTGACCTCGCTGTAAGTGTACAGCTATCATTTGCATATAGTTTTTGATATCTTGTAGACCGCCCAAGGACGAATTTCGTTCACCTCTGATCTCTGGGCTGATGCCAAGCTTCGTCCCTTCCTTGCTATGACCGCCCATTGGATCGCGAAAGAAATCGGGAACTCGAGACTGATTCTGAAGGCCGCTCTCATCGCCTTTCATCATATCCCTGGTAGTCATACCGGGAAGGTACTCGGTTCAACCATGTTGAAGCTGATTGATCGTGCTGAAGTAAAACACAATGTCAGTGTCTCGTTGTACATCATCGCATGCTCTGACTTCGTTTAGGTCGGACACTTCACATTGGACAATGCCAGTAACAACAGGACCGCGATGGACGAACTCTCACATTTATTGCGGAAAGATGGGATCGAATTCGACGCGATCAATCACCGAATTCCGTGTTTCCCTCACATAGTGAACATATGTGTCCAACACATTCTTGATGAATACTCTACTGTAGACCTTTCGTGTTTGGATGACACGTTCGTAGCTGGCCCTTACACTTTCAAGAAGGTGGAGTATATCGAGACACTGCAAAGTAAAGTGATCGATCGGGCCAGAACCATCGTCCGTGCAATCCGTGCATCAGGCCAGCGCCGCGATAGCTTTCGAGCTGCCATCACTTCTGGCAATGCAGAGGGATGGTTTGTAAACGACAACAATGAGCGTATGGCCCTTCCACTTGTCGAGTTGCTATGTGACGAGCCTACTCGTTGGGATTCAACGTACGTCATGCTCAATCGTTTGAGAATCCTGCGACAGGTAACATTTTGTCTCCCTAAATTTTTCGCATCACCTAACGCTTGCCTAGGCTATCGACCATTGGATTGATCTTCCCACTCAACGCACCATAGTCCACCATAAACTGAGCCCCATGAATTGGCAAGTCCTGCAGGATCTCGAGGTTATTCTAGAGGTACATTTTAATTTATCTTAATTCAATATCGTATTTACTGTTCTACATTAGGCACCGCACCACGCTCAACAATGCATGTCCGGCGAAACCAGTCCTCTACTGGGCAACACCATTCCGGCCTTCGAAGGGTTGATCCAAAGGTGGAAGCTTGTGGCGGACCTTGTTCCGCATTGTGCCCCTTTGGTTGACATAGGTTTAACTTGGGCAGCTAAGTACGATGACCGAATGTCCCTCACGGGAGCGTATGCTGTTGCGATGTGTAAGTCTCGCATGTTTTTGTAAAGGTAAATTCTCATTGTTGCGCACAGTCGTGGATCCCACCAGACGCATGTCATGGATGAACGATAATTGGGAAGCCCCACGAATCAAAGAGGCAAAAGACTACATTCTCAAACTGGTATGTCTGCCCGACGGTAATAACAGCAAAATGTGGGCTGATACGTCCCACAGATGCAGAACCAGAGGACGACAAATGTCTCCGCACCATCCAATCAGTTGATTCGTCAGCCACGTCCTGCAACATTAGGCTCGACAATCTACGGACTTCCTGAGATCAATATACTGCCGCATCGCCAGGGTGGCCCCCAATCGGTCGAAGATGAGTTCAATGCTTATAGCACCGGTGTTCTTAGCCCCGCGGGTACAGATATACAGTGGCTCAAAAAAGTGTCCGAATGTTTGTGTGATTTTGAGTAATTGGATCATAGCAAGCCAGCACCTAAATATAACATATTGGTATAGGGACATGTCTGAAAGCCCTACATCATGGCTCGAATCTGAGCTATGTAGCGTGGGAACAAACCCTTATATGGGCAAGATATGGTAATTCTATTCTTATGACTCATTCGGACACTTTTTTGACTTTATATTAAAATCACAAAATAAGACCATTCATACATAATAATCTTAATGAAAGTGGTACCATAATAATAATATGGTCTGATTTTAATATTATTTGAATATATAAACCCACATAAGATCATGAAATTTAACATACTCATCATGAAGCCCATCTCCTCTACTCAAAAGGATAATATCCTTGTTCTCTCTACCTCTGGTTTATCTATCAGGAACATTGCTTCCAAAACTGGTCTTGGCAAGTCTACTATTGCTACAGTTATAAAGCAGAACATACCAGATAAGGAAAATGTCAAAATGGGATGTCCTCCTAAGCTTACCCCACAGAACAAAAGAGCTGTTGTTCATCAAATTCTGTCTGGCAAGGCTTCAAATGCTGTACAAGCCACCAAGTTCATCAATTCCATTATCTCTACTCCTGTCTCCACCCAAACAATCAGAAACACCCTCAAGGCAGCCAATCTCAAGGCTGTAACTAAGAAAAAGAAACCTCTTCTCTCAGCAACTCACAGGAAGAAGAGACTAGCCTTTGCTTTAAAGCACCAGCATTGGACTGTTGAGGATTGGAAGAGGGTCATTTGGTCAGATGAGTCTAAAATCAACAGATTGGGGTCAGATGGTCAGGAGTATGTGTGGAAAAAGGCAGGAGAACCACTAGGGGACAGAGAAATCAAAGGTACACTCAAGTTTGGAGGAGGAAACTTGATGGTATGGGGCTGCATGGGGTGGAATGGTGTTGGGATTCTCTGTGAGGTGGAGGGAAGGATGAATGCAGAGCAGTACATCTCCATCCTAGAGGAGTGTCTACTCAAAAGCATGCAGGAGTCAGGAATTGATGAAGAAGACATTATCTTTCAACAAGATAATGACCCCAAGCATACCTCAAAGCTGGCCACAAAATGGTTTGAAGACCATGACATCAATGTTTTATTATGGCCAGCACAGTCCCAGACCTCAATCCCATTGAACATCTCTGGGAATTACTCAAGAGACTACTTGCTGCCTATCAAGATCCTCCAAAGGGGCTATTTGAACTATGGGAGAGAGTTGCAGTAGAATGGGAAAAAATTGCCAAAGAGGAGTGTCAGAAATTGATAGAAAGTATGCCTAGAAGGGTTGCAGCAGTTATTAAAGCCAAGGGAGGCAACACAAAGTACTAGAATCATACAATAAGATTGGTTTGACACAAAGTCAAAAAAGTGTCCGAATGAGTCATAAGAATAGAATTACCATATCTTGCCCATATAAGGGTTTGTTCCCACGCTACATAGCTCAGATTCGAGCCATGATGTAGGGCTTTCAGACATGTCCCTATACCAATATGTTATATTTAGGTGCTGGCTTGCTATGATCCAATTACTCAAAATCACACAAACATTCGGACACTTTTTTGAGCCACTGTACTATCTTTTTGGACGGTAAGATCCCTTGTTTCTGTAATATGTTTAATTGATGACGAGGCATCAATGGTGGGCTAGGTTTCGAAACCCATGTTTCCGACAATCTACAAACTCGCAATGGACTTTCTGCCAATCCAAGCCTCCTCCGTTCCGTGCGAGCGCGTATTCTCCTCCAGCAGTGACACTTATACAAAGAAGCGCAATCGTCTCAGCCCGTACTTGATGGAAGTCCTACAGATCGTGAAATTCACGCTGAAAAAGGACCGACTTCACTTTACCAAGGGCTGGGCAGCGTCCCAGAATGACATGGAGTATCACTTGATGTGCGTCACGGGCGTGGGCCGTGAAGATCTCTTGATATGTGGCTCCGACGATCTACTAGTATCCGCCGGAAGCGGAACTACGTCTGGCAGTCACGATTATGAGGTCCTTCTCAGAGTCATCGCAGAGGACGAATGTGATGATGTTCCAGATGATGTTCCTGACATATCTCTTGCCGTCGACTAATTCTTGCCTGCTCATGTTTACTGCTACTTTTACGATTCCTGTCGTCTTACGCATGCCGCTGCTGCTTTTGTCATCGAACTGACTTTTTGACTATGGATTTATGTTTCCTCTCAGCTTTCTCAGCGATTTCATGATGCCGACCTGCTTGACCCTGCTTTCGTCCTCTATTTTCTTTCAATGCCTTACTCACATATTCGTTCTCGCACAGGAGCCCTCCTAAGTCAACTGCCTTTGGCCCCAGTTCCTGAAAAACCCTTCTGCACGCACAGTTCCTTGCATATGCATTCTTGGGTGCTGCAAGCCTGCTTGCTCGTATCGGATCCAGTGCGTTCTTCCTTAGTGCTGGCGGATAACCTGACGAGAGTAGGCGAGCACCCACGACCGCCACCACCAACGAAGCCCCAACGGGCACTAGCTGATGCCCGCGCTTCAAGACGCACTTAAGGTAACATACACAGTCACATTTTGACCCCTCATTCTCAATGTCAAGATGGTTGCACCGTGGGTCACATTACCGCTCCCTCCTATGTCGCCACTCACACCCACTCCAGCGTCCCCGTGTTCGAGCACGTTTCATTTTTCGTCTGCTCTGAAAGCAGGTCGTTGCAGCCTGTCCACCTTCACGTGTTGTGGATGATGACTATGACGAAGGCATAGACACACTTCTTCAATTCTCGCAACACCCCACCCCACCGACCGCGGATCTGTTCTCTTCTTCTTCGCGCAGCCGTCCTTCACCTCTTGAAATTTCAGGATCCCTTAAGCGTCCTCTTAGCCCAGTCGCAGATGAAATGGACACGAAGCGATCTCGGGTGGATGGTGGCAAGCGCAGCGTGTCATCTCCATCAGGTGGACGACGCACTCCCATACCTTCGTCGCGACCATCGCCTATACCCTTCCGTACCCAACCCTTGCATTCCCCCGAGTCGCGTCATACTGAGTCTCACTACGATCAAGGAGGCCACGGAGTAGGCTGATGAAAATGGCCAGAGTGCTACCACCGAGCAGTTCCCTTCCGTACCCAACCCTCGCATTCCCCCGAGTCGCGTCATACTGAGTCTCACTACGTTACCAGCTAGCTGTGGTGTTTCCGCCTCATCCCCGCCCCATTGGCCATGCATCGCATACTGGTCCATCTGCCCCTATCGCACTTCCTCCCATTGCCACACTGTCCCCTCTGCATCAAATGTCCCTTCGCCATCCGATGACCGGATGATTCTCGACTCCCACCGTTCCTCGACTCCTCCATCACGAGGAAAACCTTCCCAGGTCATGAACCCAGCAGCAGGCTCTCCACCAATGAAGCCAACCACATCTCCCGCTCGCTCGCAAGATAGACCTGCTCCTACTCCTCCTTAATGCCGGTCAACTATCCCTATGTTCTTGTATACGCCTTGCTATTTAGGCTTGAGGCTTGACCCTGTTGCACTTTTCAATTCCAGTCGCCACGAAGATGCAATGCGGCGAGTTGGAGACCTCGCTACTGCTTACCAACACTCAGATTCACTTCCGTGCAGCGTTGTCAACGTGAGTTTTATGTCAGCACTTATGTGTTTTCTCATTCTCAAATGTAATCCTCAGAGATATCTACGTGTGCAGCTTGGAATGATTGCTTTCGAGAACGGGCGGTATAGCGAAGCCGCCGATAAATTCAAAGAGAGTATTCCCAGTCTAACCATCATCAACGGCATCCATCCTGATCCTCAGCCAATTGAACATCCAGCTCCGCTACCGCCTTCTGTCTGCGTCTCTTCTACCCCCTACATCAAAAATATTAGCACCCGGTTCTACCACCTGCAATGATCCCCATACCCTTCATCTTCAAGATCCAACGCCGCCACCTCGTCCTCCATGGTACCCGTGCTCTTTTGCTGCGTTTCTTCGTCGCGCGTGGCTCATGTAGCTGCCGTGGGGGAGAAACGCAGCACATTTCCTACTTTTCATTAGTTTTTGATCACACGCTAACGAAATAACGACTCACTGGATCTTGGGGGGCCATTTAGCGCTTATCGATCGTGCGTAGATAGTTTGATCTTCGATAATCTTACATTGTAATCTATTTTTAATTAATTGTAAATTTGTATTTCTAAATTTAAATCAAGCTAAAATTATCAGTCTGAGCCAGTTTAAAGCCGCTTACCGTGGTTGCATCAGCCGGACCGAGTTGATATTATGTAAGCAGTCTGACTTTGAAGTTCCGGTTAAACCGGTGAATCAGAACCGGCTTTAGCCGGCGCTAGCCAAACCTGCGGCAACACTAACTACTCCTTCTTCCCCCCGGTCATTCTCATCGATCGACGACTTTCAACAATCTTGCCCTCAGCCTTCAAAACAGATTCGAGCAGCGGGGCGTCCCGTCTGACCTTGATGAGGCCATTGAGCTCCATCAGGCTGCACTACTCCTTCGTCCCCCCGGTCATTCTTGTCGATCGATTACTCTCAACAGTCTTGCCTCTAGCCTTCGAAACAGATTCGAGCATCGGGGCGTCCCGTCTGACCTTGATGAGGCCATCGAGCTCCACCAGGCTGCACTACTCCTTCGTCCCCTCGGTCATTCTGATCGATCGATGACTCTCAACAATCTTGCCCTCAGCATTCAAAACAGATTCGAGCAGCGGGGCGTCCCGTCTGACCTTGATGAGACCATCGAGCTCTATCAGGCTGCACTACTCCTTCTTCCCCCCGGTCATTCTCATCGATCGACGACTCTCAACAATCTTGCCCTCAGCCTTCACAACAGATTCGAGCAGCGGGGCGTCCCGTCTGACCTTGATGAGACCATCGAGCTCTATCAGGCTGCACTACTCCTTCTTCCCCCCGGTCATTCTCATCGATCGACGACTCTCAACAATCTTGCCCTCAGCCTTCAAAACGGATTCGAGCAGCGGGGCGTCCCGTCTGACCTTGATGAGGCCATCGAGCTCCATCAGGCTGCACTACTCCTTCGTCCCCCCGGTCATTCTCATCGATCATGGTCTCTCAACGATCTTGCAAACAGCCTTAAAACCAGATTCGAGCAGTGTGGCGTCCCGTCTGACCTGGATGAAGCATTTAGGCTGTATGTGCAACTCTCCTACCTATCCCATGCAGTCTCTCGTAGGGATCTTACTACCGCCAAGTCATGGGCCACCTCTGCCGAAAACACGAACCATGACTCTGCATTGCTTGCCTATCAAACTGCATTGAAATTCTTAGATCAGCATGTTACTATACTATCGCCTTCTCCACACCTATTTGATGTCGTCAGGATGGCCACAGCTTCACTTGCCATGGACGCTTTCTCGTGCAGTACAGACCCTTCAGTCATTTTTCATGTAGAACCCCTGCCCCGGATGTGCCAAAAGGTCGTAGAATCATGGCTAGCCAGTCCGCGGCCGGTGCATGTAGGATAAGTGCTGGCCGGTGTACTATCTTATTATCACTTCAGTATCATTATTTCATGTAGGATTGGTGCTGGCCGAGGTATTATAGGCCAATCTCTTGTATGTAGTATCAGTGCCGGCCAGTCTATAATACTATAACCATCTCTTTTGTCTTGTATGTAGAATGAGTGCCGGCCGATATATCATATGACATATACTAGCCATAAGATCAAGCTGGCTGGTATATGTAGAATATATCTACTGCAGTCTGATTTCATTAGTAGACTGGCCAGCTTGTATCTACGTGGGTAGGAGCATGGCTGGCCAGTTCATAGTCCTTAAGTTAATATACTGGCCATTGAGTGTACTAACCATAGGATCAGGCTGGCTAGTATATGTAGTCATTGGTGAACCTGCCAGTCTGTATATACATATGTAGGAACATGGCTGGCCGGTTTGCTTATGTTTCACTAGCAGACCGGCCAGCATGGTTCCACATGTGTAAGACCATGGCTGGCCAGTTTGCTTATATTTCACAAGCAAACCGGCCAGCCTGGTTCCACATATGTAAGACCATGGCTGGCCAGTTTGCTTATATTTCACTAGCAGACCGGCCAGCATGGTTCCACATGTGTAAGACCATGGCTGGCCAGTTTGCTTATATTTCACAAGCAAACCGGCCAGCTTGGTCCTACATGTGTAAGAGCATGGCTGGCCAGTTTGCTAATATATGACTAGCAAACCGGCCAGCACAGTTCCATGTGTGTAAGACCATGGCTGGCCAGTTTGCTAATATTTGACTAGCAAACCGGCCAGCATGGTTCCACGTGTGTAAGACCATGGCTGGCCAGTTTGCTTATATGTCACTAGCAAACTGGCCAGCCTGGTTCTACATGCGTAGGAACATGGCTGGCCAGTGTAGAGCTTTTAAATTATCACTTTTCATTAGTATACTGGCCTTTTTCGTCTATGTATGTAGGAGCTAATGGTTCAATTCTCATCCAAGTCTTGACAAGTAGATATATTTGTTGTACAAAATTGATCAGCAATGAAGACAAAGGAGTATATAAGATCAGTTCTGGGCTCTCTTAGAAGGTTGCCTTGTCCTGCCTGATCTGCGGACTTCAGGCTCAATCCTAGGCTTCTTAGACTCACTGGTCGAAGCTTGGGGCATTCTTCTCTTCCTCCCTTTCTGCTGCTCCTGCTCCTGCTCCTGCTCCTGCTCCTGCTCCTCCTGCTCCTGCTCCTCCTGCTCCTCCTCCTGCTCCTGCTCCTCCTGCTCCTCCTGCTCCTGCTCCTGCTCCTCATGCTCCTGCTGCTGCTGCTCCTCCTCCTGTGTCTCCTTCGCTTTCGCCTTCTCCTTCCCCTTTGTCAAAACAACCTCCTCCCCTGGCACCTCACCAAGTCCCTCTTTTGCCAGCTTCTCTATGTGCTCAACAACTGTGGCCAAGACCTGCCGAACAACTTGATCAAGAGAAACCAAGACTTCTAGATCGAAAGCAGAACCAGGTAGGTAGAAAGGTGTATTGGGGTCAGCCTCATCTTCCTCATACTCTATGACGCGTTTAGACTCCCTATAGAGGAGCCCAATTCCTAGAATCACTGGCATGGCGGATGCTGCCCCTGAGATTGGAGATGTTCGTAGCTTTTCCAAGCTAGCCTTCAAAGTGTCATAAGACACATGCACGTCCTCAGGAAGATAAGATTCTCCCCAAGACCAGTTAGCCCAGATAGGCAAATCTGGATTCTCCTCTGAAGTTGGCTATTGGACGAACTATGAGCTATGAGATTAAGATACACTCAAAGTTATACTGACCTTCTGCTTGGCAAACTTTGCCAGATCCCTAATGGCATCTATAAGCTCCAGGTAGTCCTCATTCTTGCTTAGAGATTCGAGGAATGCACTATCGATCATCGATTGAAACATCATCTGGGGTTGTGATCGGCCGGCTGGGTTCTACGTTCTGTGAAATCAGAGCTGTTCAAGGAAGGAAGCCGGTCGCTGTCTTCTTCGTCTGAGTCAAGTAAGCTTACTCTTTTCTCCTTAGACTTCTTCTTTCTTTCTTCATTCCTTACATTTGCCCGCACATCACCATCCTTGGCTTTGACAAAAACGACTAGCTTCTTGTTTGCAGCCGAATTTTGTTCCCAATGGTTCCATAGACGATTTACCTCCTCAGTTTTCATATGAGAAGGGTCTTTGACCACAAATGCAGTGGGAACAGAACCATGTTCCAAATAATTGGACGAGGCAGCAGTTATCATACCCCAAGGCACAGGTCTAGAGCCCCCAGTGCAGACTTCTACAAACCAAAGCATCAATCAAATGCTAACAAATATGAAGACATAAGAACTTACTATACGAAGCATGAAATATACCCCTAATCAATTCATGTTGGCCCCTAAGGCCAATACCATCACGACTAGGAAGTTTGGCATATCCATCATCATCTAGGATAATTTCGGGTATAGCAGCTTCATTGCCAGCATCCTCATTGTCTGAACCCTCCAGGTCCTGATCATCTGAAGGATCTATTAGTTTGAGTGAATAATTAGTGTTAGTACGCGCAAGATTCAAATTCCCATTAGCCACATACAAAACTCGGTCTTTGACCATTCTGCAAAGGATTCAAATCCAGTTGCAGTCCACTCCTTGATCCCATTGGAGCTGACAGAAAACCTCTTCTTGACATTTTGAGGGTCGGTTTCATGTCTGAGACATAGTGATTAGTTAGTCTAGTTAGCCTTGAGAATTATGAAAGTTCAATCACTTACAGACTGACAGACAATGTCTGACTAGCTTTTTTCTTGTGGCTAACGAACATCACCACTCGACAACCCATAGTACGTCGGATTTGCTCTGAAAAGTCTTCAAGTGTTTTCTTGAGGTTGTTCTTCCTATACCTTAAGGAAGATCTTAGACGAGATCAATGGTAAATCTTAAGTCAAACTTACACTACTTGACTTTCTTCTGGTGCCCCCTCCCTATTCCATTTGGTCATGGCGAACTTGACCTCCTCCTGTTGTGAAGGAGACATATTGTCAAACCATTCCCTGGCATGGCCAGTCCGATACTTGATTGAACGTTGGACACCTTTCCTTCTCTGCTCATCCTTGTCAAACTTATCTATTTCTTCCTTGAACAACCTCTGTGCAACATCCCATTCGGTAAGTGATTTCTTGTAGAAGGACGCTTCTCTTGGACGACTTGCGGCCTCTCGTTCCTCGGCCTCTTCCTTGTAGGCGATGATTTGGGAACAGTATTGTTTGATTTCCTATAATGTAGCATTCACACATCAATCAAATGTATCTACATACACAAATAAAATTTTGTTACCTTTTTCAAAGAAGTAGGCAATTGGGGCACATCTTCCTCTTCATCGTCTTCAAGTTCCTTTTGGGCTGCAAGTATAGCCTTACGAATTTTCTTCACCATGCGTTTGAGAGCCTGTGGTGAATCTGCAGTCACAATACCTTGATGATAATGATCAAGAATATATTTAAAGTGAGTTGTCCAGTCAGAAGGCATTGTAGTTCAGTCAAAAAAAAAGGCTGAAAATTTTGATAGAGCTGACAAGTACTTGCGGTAGGAGGGCGGCTGGCCGACAAACTGATTTGAATCCCATATTTAGGTAGTGTAACATTAATATGACCATATTAAGATTATATTCAACAATCAACAATCAGTTCACATGATCATATTCAACACGTTGATTTAATCATGTGACCGTGTGTTGCTAGCCATGCTAGTGAAACTGGCTAGCTATGCTAGTGAAATATAAGCAAACCGGCCGCCATGGTCATACATATGTAGAACCAGGCTGGCCGGTTTGCTAGTGAAATATAAGCAAACCGGCCAGCATGGTTTCACACATGTAAGGCCATGGCTGGCCGGTTTGCTTATATTTCACTAGCATAGCTAGCCAGTTTGCTTATATTTGACTAGCAAACCGGCCAGCATGGTTCCACGTGTGTAAGACCATGGCTGGCCAGTTTGCTTATATTTCACAAGCAAACCGGCCAGCCTGGTTCTACATGTGTAGGAACATGGCTGGCCACTTAATCATATGACCATATCAAGATGATTTTCAACAATCAACAATCAGTTCGCACGATCGTATTCAACGAGTTGATTTTATCATGTGATTGTGTTTGAACCACTTAAATTTTGAAGTCTTCAAAGGCTAAGGCAAACAACTGATATTCAAGGGCATGAGAACAAGCAACTATTTGTAATCCAAAACATGCAAAAAAGCAAATCTAACAAGGGTAAAAGTAGTAGTAAAAAAAAGAGATGAAATTCAATTGGTGTTCACACAAACTGCAATCCAGCAGGAACCACTCTTTCTGGCATGAGATAGGGTGACTGAGTTCTCTGGGGGGCTGAAGAGATACCCTTTCCTGCACTTTGAGTTCATGCATTCAAAGGAGTAGGTCTTCTTGTGGTTGGCTGAACGCCAAGAGTTAGCCCATCCACACTGAGGGCATTGGAGTGGAAGATGGTGGCCCCAAGGGCATTCCTTGCAATGCGTCCATGCGAATCTAGTGATGTCCAAGGCATGACGAGCATTAGTCATCAATAAGAACACATCAGTGTGTCTGCCAAGTTTGTAGGACTGCATAAGCATGTCCGGAAAAACTTCGCGAATAGGCAGACACTCAGTCAGGACGAGTTCTGCAAATGATAGAAGAAGGGGAGCCGCAAAGTTTGGCTGGAAACGGATGGCGTTGAAGCAGATGGTAGCTGTAATATGATGACTGGCAGTATGTGTCAGGCTTTGCAGAAGTGCAGGATGATAGACTATGGTACTTACTGAAGGACGGCCTTTTGCAAGGACGAAAAGGACTCCTCGTTGTTAACCAGAGCGCCACAAGACAAAAACCATAGGTAAGAGTCTTTGGCAGCTCTGATGAGCGGCTGCCATGGCGTGAGGATGATGTCCAAAAACTGTAGGTAGAACGGTGAGCAAACAGCATGTCATAAAAGACACTACTCACACCGTCGACTCGGCCAGACACATACAATTTTTTCTTCCTCTCATAGCCCAGGAATGGATCTCCGAGATCGTCGTCAGTATGGTTGGAGATGGCGAACACGATGCGGGGCCAGTTACGCTGAGCCATTAGGCTACGGACCAATTCGCCCACCTTGACTTGGTACACGTCGCTCTTTACCTTGGAGCCGACGTCGAAGACGAGCTCGTGGAAAGCGATACCTCCGCGTGGAAAGTAGGGGGAGAGGAAGCGGTACATGAGGTCGAAAGGTCCGCCGGAAGTTTCGAAGTCGACAAGCGTGAGGTGGATCAATACCACAGGCGTGGAAGAAATCTGCGATTGCAGAGATACTTCCAACGCACCGCGGATTGGGAGGAAGGTGGGCAAAACCGGTAAATTGTTCCTGTAAAATCCCTACATAGCGCGTTAAGACACAACTACAGAAGAAGAAAGGACTTACAAAGTAGGCAGCGCGTGTTTCTTCTGCGCGAGAGTCTTGTGCTGCCAAGTGGCAATATATGCACGTGAACATGACGTCGTCGCAGTTGACAGCGTCGGCGTGAGTGACGGGAATGTCGACTGCAGCGAGAGCACATTGTGCGGGGACAAAGGTCACACAAGTACAGAAACTCGTGGCCTGCTTGAACCGTCCCGGCAGACGATGCACCACTGTAAAACACGCGGATTAGTTATTGACAAGGTATGGGGCAAGTACTCACCTCATTATGGCTTGACTGCGCCTCACCAGCTCCCATCCCATCATCCATCCCATCCGCCTTGTCCACCTCTTCTCCTCCAGTCTCCTCATCCTCAACCGTCTCCTCCATCGCCAGATCGGAGTTGAGATCCGCGCCGATCGAAGAATCGAAGCCGAGATCGACGCCGATCGAAGAGAAGTCGAGCAAGGGCGCGTAGTCGACAGTTATACGCTTGGCGGTGCCTCCAGTCGACTTCTTGCAGGTTTGCTTGGTGCGCGTCATTGGATTGGTAAGCTGAGGAAAGAGGATGAGCGTCACAAGCGGGAACAGAGAAAGACTTACTATTGAATAAGCTAGATGAGCCGCAGAAGCAAAGACAGAGAAAAGACTTACACACATTTTCCGCATGTAGTACAAATAGACACAAACTGGTTGGTAAGCCAAATAAAGACACGGTTGAATTAACGCCAAGTGCCAAACAACCAAACAAGGACAAACGCACACGTGTCATATCAACAACAACTTCAATTCCCACGGTTCATTTTCTTCGCTCATTACCTTCATCATCATTTCTTTCTTTTCCCCCATTACTTCCTTCACTTCCACTCCCATATCATTCTAAAGGGCGCCTTCTGGTGTACCCTTTAGGTCCTTGCAGACTGCAGCTGCAAGGATCTAAAGGCAATGCACTGGAGTCGCCTTACAGTAATGGTGAGTGCTCATTTTCTATTCACTCATTTACTAACTTTCTTTCTATGTTTATTTTCATCCAGGTGTTTTGGCGGCGCCTATGGTAAGTACTAGCACCATATACTTTTATGGCGGTTGTGTGGCTCCGCGCCCCCTGCTTCTTACTAACTTCTCTCCTTTTCAGTGCATGTCCTTTGGGTCTTGGGGGCTACTTTTATGGCGGTTGTGTGGCTCCGCGCCCCCTGCTTCTTACTACTTCTCTCCTTTTCAGCGCATGTCCTTTGGGTCTTGGGGGCTACTTTTATGGCGGTTGTGTGGCTCCGCGCCCCCTGCTGCTTACTGACTTTCTTTCCTTTTCAGCGCATGTCCTTTGGGTCTTGGGGGCTACTTTTATGGCGGTTGTGTGGCTCCGCGCCCCCTGCTTCTTACTAACTTCTCTCCTTTTCAGCGCATGTCCTTTGGGTCTTGGGGGCTACTTTTATGGCGGTTGTGTGGCTCTGCGCCCCCTGCTTCTTACTGACTTATCTTCCTTTTCAGCGCATGTTCCTTTGGGTCTTGGGGGTTACTTTTGTGGCGGTTGTGTGGCTCCGCGCCCCCTGCTTACTACTTATCTCCTTTCAGCGCATGTCTGTTGGGTCTTGGGGGCTTACTTTTGTGGCAGGTTGTGTGGCTCCGCGCCCCCTGCTTCTGCTTCAATGTCTGTTGGGTCTGGGGGTTACTTTAGTGGCGGTTGTGTGGCACCGTGCCCCCTGCTTCTGCTTCAATGTCTGTTGGGTCTGGGGGTTAATTTGTTGGCGGTTGTGTGGCACCACGCCCCCTGCTTATCTTGGGTCTGGGGGTTTATCACTGACTCCGTCTTTTTTTCAGCACTGGTCTTGGCTTGGCTTGGTGCGCCTCTTGCTTCTCTTGTATCACTGACTCCGTCTTTTTTCAGCACTGGTCTTGGCTTGGTTTGTGTGTGGTGCGCCTCTTGCTTCTCTTGTGTCTTGGGGTGGGTGTTTGTCACTGACTTCTTTTTTTCAGCGATTGTTCTTGGTTTGTTGGCAGTTGTGTTGTACTGCGCCCCCTGCTTCTTTGTGGTAAGTGTCGTTTGTCTAATCAACGTCTGTCTAACACAGTTGTAGGATGTATATGGTACTGCGCCCCCTGCTTCTTTGTGGTAAGCATCGTTTTTCTAATCAACATCTGTCTAACACAGTTGTAGGATGTATATTACACATTTTACTACTTAGTATTCTCTTCGAGCGTGAGGCTTTGGTGAGGAGGGCTCCCTCATCAAAGTCTCACTGCTTGCCTTTGACTTCCACTTTCAATGTTCGCATTAAACTTGTAGTAAAATATTAGCTTGTGTACTTCGCACTATTTCTTTGAATAGTATGCCAAAATGACGCGAATTCTTGCTAGTGGAAAAAATCACGTGACCGTGTGCATTTTCTTGATACACCAGCTGTGCCGGTGGAAAATGAACTCAACACCAATGTTCTCAGTGCGAACTGCAAGTGTAAAATCTACAGAGATCATGTAAATAGCTTTAGAATCATATCAAATGGACAAAGCGACTGAAAAATCTAACGCAAAGAATCTAACACAAAGATGCTTTATGAAATCGAAGCTTGGTTGATTCAACTTGAAGCACACAAAATAAAAGTAACCAATGTGAAACACCATCGAAACACTTTGTTTTGCATGCAACGCATAATTTCACTAGCAGTACCTGCCGCCTTCACTATTACTTACTACTACTCCAAGAAGGTAAGCTTTGACAACTCTCTGCCTTGTCAAGTGCGCCATTTGGTGTGCTGAAAGTGCCGATCAGTAACATTTGAGACTCGATGTTACTTCCAGTCCCGTTCTAACTAAACCCCCAATGTTGACTTTGACTTTGACTTTTCAGATCACTTTTCCCTTCACAACACCACACTGCCCGTTCCACTCATCACCCCATCATGGCTGCTGTGCATGGTCCACTTGCACCTACCCACCCACCCCCCTTTCAGAATGCCCGGAGCATTCCTCATTCGTGTATTGTTATCATCCTACACTGTTGGTGGGTCCACTCATCACCCTATCACAGCTGCTGTGCATGGTCCACTTGTACCTATCCCCCTTTCAGAATGCTCAGAGCATTCCTCATTCACGTATGGGTTATGATCCTGCACAGTTGGTGAGCCCACTCATCACCCTATCACTGCTGCTGTGCATGGTCCACTTGTACCTACCCCCCATCCCCCTTTCAGAATGCCCAGAGTGTTCCTCATTCACGTATTGTTATCATCCTACACTGTTGGTGAGTCAACTCATCACCCCATCATGGCTGCTGTGCATGGTCCACTTGTACCTACCCCCCCCCCCCCTCCCCCAACCCCCCTTTCAGAAAGTTCTTATTAGCTGCTCATCATTCCACACGTTCAACTTCGCATAAGCGCCACCCAAACCCCAACCAACTCAACCTTCCACGAGACACTCTGACCCATTTCATGGTCATGAGCAGCCTTCGTGGTTGTGCACAAGGTTCATAACCCATCTGTTTGCTTGTCCCAAATTACCTCCCCCCCATTGTCTTCTAACTCTCAAGTGAAGCTCCCACATTTCATCGCATATGCCCTCCACCGCACGAAGTATCATCCCACACCATTAGTGAGTTCTTATTAGCCGCTCATCATTCCACATGTTCAACTTTGAAAATCATAGAATACTTAGAGCGCGTTCCTTATTCAAAATTCAAGGGTAACAAGGCACTTGTCACTTGGAACCGAGCTGACCGGCCTTATGTGTGATGTAATCTATTAGAGTTCCGAATTCGTGGAACTGTTGATTTCATATATGTATACCATTTTAGTCAAATTAGCCACTACTGTTTTCTATCAGTTGCTTCCATCATTTCATAATCATCTACAATGTACCTAAATTGGGACAAATTGACAGTGTGGGAATTCAGACGGCTATTTTTGCTTTGTTTCAGTCGGTTCATATTTTCTCCCTCCCTCACATGGACAACTCAAGAAGTGAAACAACAAAGCTAAGGGCTGCACTGACTGGTCAGATCACTCAAATTATGAGGGATTCTGCAAACACAAGTGTTTTCAAGGAGGGGAAAGTACAATCTCACCTTCTACACAAGGCAAGGTATGACAGTTCATCATTTAACATTATGTTTTGACTTGCTAACCTGTTCAGGTTGAGAATTGGAGTGCAACTAAACAGTTGCTTGGCAACAGCTGATGCCCCATCAAAGTGTCCTTCCTCAATATCTGAATATGAAATAACTCGAGCAGCACTCACAATTGCTTATGCAATGGTAAACCCTTGTGAGTTACTTATGTAATAACTGTATTACCAGGGTTTTGATCTAAGTGGCAGATCATGTAGACTGGGATGTTGAGAGATATGCCGAAATGGCAAAGTGCTCTCCACCCAAGGCAGACGGTTCACCCTCCCCAGAAATAGAACGATTACAGAAATACTTCCCCCCAGCAGCAATAGGCAAAATGTCTGCACCAGCAACCATTGTGGACAAACATGGTAAAATAATGATGGTGTACTTGCCTGGTATCTTGTCAAGATCTCGAGTTGTAAGTTTGTTATTTGATGGGGATTCCCTCTCGTAACATTATTTCATTTTGTAGGACTATGTGAACACAGCCACTAAGGGTTTGCGAAATATGCTTCTTAGAACTGTTCCGACTTCATCGGCCTCAAAACAATCTTGGCGATCTCAAGGCTTTGTTGTGCCTGAGGGAGGGGGAATTTTCGGAGCTGGAAGAGTTACAGTATCTCCGGCATATTTTATGCAAAGACATGAGGTATTTGTCTAATCAATAACATCTAGCCAGTTCTTGCTCATTTTTGCAGAGAATTCAAGACCCACTGGTCACATCTGCTTCATACTCATCTGCAGAAGTCCAAGAGTGGCTCGCCGCCTTATCGACTACTGAATATTTTTGGAACGCAATTACCGCTGCCTCGGCTCCTGGTCTGTTTGAAGCAGGTTCCACTGCTATTTCGGAAGTTGTACAGCAAGTCAGGAGGGCGAGTAAACCAGATGCAGTGCCTGTGTCTCAATGGCCCTCAATCTTCTCTGGATTGGAAGTAATTGCCAACCGTGTCACATTTTCTCATAGAGACCCTGGTGGGGCACCTTCACTCTTTGATCTTTTAGTGAGTTTGGGTAGTGGTCATGAGGCCAAGTTGACATTACGAGATATCGGAGCGGAGCTGGATTATCACCCTGGGACCATGGTCTTCATTTCAGGCAAGGTTCTGGAGCATTCTATCAGTCCATGGATTAAAGGAGAAAGGATTGTCATTGCCCATTTCATGAAAGATAAAGTTCATTCTAGAGTGGGGGTGCCAAGACCAGCATTTCCAACACAGGACTTTTTTTTGCAGATGGTGGGAAGGCAAACCAAAAGAGAGTGAAGTACGAAATGTCAGAGGGGGTGGGGGGTGAAGGGATAAGTCAGGTGTTTGAGCATACATACTAGATCTAAATGAGGTAGTAGTTTAGCCATTTCTATCAATGATTGTGTCAACTACAACCAAAATATTAAGGACATCCTCTTTTGCCTTAGTAACAGTATGTCTCCTCAAAAAAAAACTCGCCTCAAGGCAGCTACATTTTCCTTCAAAGGAAGAGGTCGATTATCCAAAGGCAAAGACCTAGATGTCGATTACGTGTCTCACAAACAAGTCCTTGGAAAGAAAAGGAAGATGACCTGGGTGGAATCATGTGCTGATGCCTTCTATGACACTGCCCCAACACCATCTCCTTCCTCTAGCCCTCGTAAACGGGTCAGAGAGGAAACTCAAGGGTTGCCAAGCATTCAGGAGGAATTTGATGGAGAAGTCCTCGGTGACTTTAATTCATATACAGAGAACCAATCAAGAAAAACAAAGGTGACCAGATTGATGCATAGCAATTTAATTCTATACTCAATCGAGATCAAATGAACTAGACTCAGAACGACTTTATCCAAGAATATCTGCCTTTCCGAGACTCATATCTCGATATCCTCCTTGACTTGGAGAAGCCCTCTGATGTCTTGGAGTGCCAGTCTTGTCAGATTGGTGAAGGGAAATTCCATTGTTTGACATGCAGTGGGGATCAGACATTTTGTCATCCTTGCATTGTCAAAACCCACCAACATTTGCCCTTTCACAAGGTTCAACAGTGGACTGGAAAATGCTTTGAAGACAAGTCGCTCGAAGAATTGGGTATTGTCTGGTATATGGGCCATGGGGGGCAACCATGTCCGTTTTCCTGAAGACCCACAGGCATGGGAGGATATGCCATTGGATGCAGAGGCTGGGTCTGTGCCAATGGAGACCTTTTCCAGTTCAACTACGACATCCACCCTGACCATCATACATTCAACTGGAGTGTTTTTGCACAATGTTGTTTGGTGTGGTTGTCCTGGGTCTAAGCATCAGCAGCATCTGCAGTTGCTGAAGGCCAGGTTATTTCCTGCAAGCGTCACTCGACCCCGAACTGCCTTCACTTTTGAAGTCTTAGATCATTTTCTAATTGATGCACTAGAGTGCAAGACTTCAGCATCAAGCTTCTTTGAGAAATTCGACGAATGACCAATCACTCATTCCCTGGTACTGTTCCTGTGAGAGCATATAGTTATTCTTTTCAACAGTTGGACTGACCATATCAAATGTCTTTGCTGGCTAGAATCGATATCGAGAACTCATGAGGGTTGTCTCGTCTATGGAGAGACTTGATGAGCCGAAAATGCTTCGGATTTGGCCATGACACTAGGGAGAAACCTGGCAAGGGTGATCTGGCTTGGTTTTGCCCTTCGTGTCCTCAGCCTGGCATCAACATACCTGATAACTGGCAAGACAAGTACGAAAGGCAAGTCATCTATTGTTGGTTCGGATTATAAGAGGCTGGCTTTCTCTTCTATACAACATTCAAGAACATTATACTGACCGGCCGGCTGTGTGCTTCGTGTTGTACAAAAACTCTGGCCTTGCTGGCTTAGTTTCCGACAAAGCTGGCCAGTACTGTATAGACAGGCTGTAGACCTGGGCCGGCCGGCCAAACTCTGATATTGTATTTGGCTGGCCAGGACTGTATAGACAGGACGTAGAACCATTCCGGCCGGCTGACCTCAGATAATACATTGTCAGTCGACACTGTACAGACACAAGTATGCAAGCCTTGGCTAGCTGTACCTTCTATTTATTTTGACCTCATTCATTGAACTTATACTTATTCTTTACACAGTTGGCTCATTTCGCAAAGATTCGTTGTGGATGGAAACTTTACTGCTCAACATATGACTATGAAAAAGCCACAGTTAGACATTAGTCTTTCAGATGGTCTTGGTTATATGGTGAAAGAGAGAGAATATCAGACTCATCTCTCATTGGCTGTCGAAAGTAAGGAGGTGAGTTGACTTTTAGCAAGGGTATTTGACTTTGCTTGACAGCCTGTATAGCGCTCTTCTTGTAGCAATCACCGAGCAATCAACACTGCAAATATCAGCAGGAGTAATCTTCGAGCAACAGGGGTAGGAGCAACTGCCTGTGCCCGACATGGATGCTTTGTTCCACACAGCATAGTTGATTTTCAGAAGGGCGAAAGGTCTGTACATCCTCCTAAACAGCATGTTAACAAGTGAGCTCATGAAGATGTTTAGACACATGAACATTGACTATTCAATATGCAATGCTTTGAATTATCATTCGGCTGGTATAGACTCCTCTCTCATTATTTATGATGTGGGGTGTCAGTGGAGTATTAATTTTTTACAGAGAGTGGCTGAGAGCCAAGGCTTATCCGTTACCAGAAAATATGCAGATCATCCCTGCGGTTGGAAAATTCCATCTCAGCGCTCACAAATTGGCTTGCTTTGCAAGGTACAGCCTCAACTTTGTTCAAGGCGCTGGACATGTTGATGGGGAGATTTTGGAGACCTTATGGGCACCATTCAATAAGATTTCCCCAACTGCTCGGTCAATGAGTCATGCCTCATCGCCAAAGAAGTTCTTGATGATCATATGAGAGACTCAAACTGGAAAAAAATAGTTGGAATAAGTAAGCACTTCAATCATGTATATCTAAAACTGTGCTTGACACTTAAAATTCTAGCGAAGACTCTCTTGACCAAGTATAAACGTGCTCTCAAAGGTGTTGATGAGACAAAATCTCCTTTTGATGAACTGGCCCAGTCCTCTGAATCCTGGGAAGATTTTGATGTGGGAATTGATGAGAAAAGGCTGTGGAAGAACGTGGGGAGTATCTTGACATCTACCAGTTGCAGATCAACAAAGGTAAGTGAGCTCTGTCTGAGGCTTATAAGACATCTAATCTGGAACTGAGTTCAGCCCCAACTATGGCAGAGATTCGGCTCAAATTAACCGAGTCTGAGAACGTTGACGACAGACTTCCAGGAACAGTATCTTGGCTCATCACTGGTATCAATCTGGAGGATTTACAGTACGTAATCAATTTGATTGGAACAACAGAATCGCTTGACAAAGAGCTATTTTAGGGATGCATTGAGATGCGAACATACGACAACTTCCTAATGATGCAACCTCTGCTCAGAAAGCTTCTATAGCAGAAAAGAGACAGAGATTGGCAGCTAGGATTGCCAAATTTCATGAAACTGCCGATGCTATGACTGCTGCATGGATCTTGATATTGGAACAGTGCATTCTGACGATCCTAGATTCTGTCGTACAGATAACGATGGTTAATGAGTGGGTGGAGGTTTCAGATGAAGAGATCTCAGAGGATATAGATGAAGAAATCCTCACAGAAGAGATGGGTATCTGGATGCCATCTTCGACTTCTCGACACAAACAGATTGACTCTTGGGCTGGGCCCCCCTTCCAGCTGAAGAGTTTGGAACTTCGAAAAGGCCCAAGCCAACGCTGCCTAGAAAACCATTCGTATGGCTCTCGGTCAACAGGCCCTTATTTATCGTCAGTATTTTCGCGAAGTGCCGATTCTACATGGGCTGGCACCAGGTCGAAGCAAGAAGCTCGTCGATGTCAGCTCAAAATTGACAAATATGTAAGAAGCTATCAGAGGGCAAGGTCAGCAATGCAACATCTAGGCATGGACGAAGCTACCTTGGGCAGTATTTATCGAGAAATATTGCCCACCGAACTGAGTATAGACAAAGAGGTGACAGAAGAAAATAGATTTGGTCAAGGGTCAGACAGACTGGCTTGGTTTGGAGGGTGAATAATGCCAACGAAGGTCAAGAAGATGCTTGGATGGATGAATGTAAGAACAAAATTTCATCTCAAGTGCAAGTCACTTCAACTCACTCTGATTTAGTCTATAGGGTCAACTGGTTGAAGGCAAAGGCTAGATGGAGTAGATGGCAGGAGGAGTTGAGTCTGGTAAGACATGAAATGGGTTGGACCAAACTGGTTCAAGTATCACCAGAAAGAATGGAACAGAAGGTGGCAGCAAGCGACTAGACCTGGTCATCAAGCCTATGCTTATCAACAGGTCTTGATGTGGGGAAGGTTTGCTCAGGATGCTGAGAAGGCTTTCAATGGGTGTGGATTTGTACCTTGATATATTATACCCACACTCCTGCAAATTGCACATTGAATGAGATGCCCTAAGTCTACCTATGGGCAGATAACTTAAGGACTGCGAACAGGCCAGCCTCTTAAATATGTAGACCCAGGCTGGCCATTTTTCTTAGTGAAATATTACAAACTGGCCAGCATGCTCTTAACACGTAGAACCAGGCTGGCCGGTTTGCTAGCAAATATAAG